CAAGCTACCATACCGCTACTAATACAGCATCAGACGTGGCCCCGGCGCCGCTGACCAAGGAGTTCCCACAACCGACTCCCATAACCATCAATAGCGACGCTGGATCGGCGACTGGGCGTTGGGTGACGTCACGCACTGTCCGGGAGGTGACGTCATATCTGATCTGCCGGTTCCGGGATTGGAGGAATGCAAGGCTCTCACGCCCGGGGTTAACGGATGTGTGACGTCACCCTGCCTTCAGCGGCAATTGTCATGACGTCATAGCACCGCCAGCTTGGCAGTTGCCGTCGTTCGTGTCGGTCGACGCTGCATCGTATTGGCTCTCTGGCTGCAAAAAGTTGCTTGGCGCGCATTATGTCGTGGCAAACAACGTTCAAGGATGAGCTGCTAAACGCGTTGTGTCCTATTGCAGCCGGCTTTGTGAACCGCGGGACGTTCCACAAAACCAGCCGGCTTCGCTAACAGTGTGCAGTGTCGGCGTCATTGTCGTCTAATGTCGAATATGTCCAAGGGCGTACCCTCGAAAACTGGAGCGATGCGGAAAAAGGTACAGTCGCAACAACGCATGCCGATAAACCCGGTGTAGCACAACCCGTGGTTCGTATGCTGTTTGTGTGCATGGTTTTGTGTTACGTCGGTCGATTACACAGATAACTACCGGTCGTCAGTAGGCGGCGCGTGCCAGGATGGCTGTAGCTAGTGCCGGGCATGACAGCATAGCACCGTCACGCCTGCGCCTGAAGCCGCGGAACCTGCGGCTGACTCATCTGTGTCAGACCCACAGTATGCTGACCGAGTACGACACCGCCATACCCGCCTCACCACCCGCACACAGCGCTGGAGTGTCGCGTGCTCCGGCGGTTACGATGCCGCCGTCTAGCATACCCGTGCCCGGAGTCCCAGTCCCTTGATCTGGCCCACGGCGCGGGCACGCCGCCAGCCCGAGCGCGGCCCTGTGACCTGTCCCGACCTGTGTGGAGGAGCGCCGAGCGACGGTCGCCAGCCGCCAGCGTCTGGCGCCGTCGGACGCGACCCTGCGCGCCGCCCAGCGCTGGGCGGCAGGGCTCCCGTATCGTGGCTCTGTCAGCCTGCCGGCAGCGTCGGTCGGAGGGGCGGGCGGCGGGTCTGTTCGCCGAGGTCAGGGGACCCCCTAGCTGCGGAGCGCTGTGAGTGCTGCCCAGCGGCGGGGTCTACTCCTCTGTCGTCCCAGTCCTGCTGGTGTCGTCGGCTGACCAAGGTGTCGTCAGACGAGCCCGTCCTGCTCTCAGCGCGCATCGCACCCGATCCCGCTCCCCGGCCAGCTTGTGGCGCCGCGCGCAGATACGGCTGAGGTGACGCGTCCTTTAGTGGGGCGGAGCCCACCCTCGGAGTCAGCGGCTCCGGGGCGTGTCGAGCGGCGCCGACGCGTCCCGAGCGGCGCCGACGCGTCCTGAGCGGCGCCGACGTCGACGCTCTCGGTCGGACGCGCTGGCCATAGACGCCGCGGTGGCCGGCGTCGGGTGTAGCTCGCCGTGTCTTCCTGTTAAGCTAGAGGCTTATCGTCGTGCACTCTTGTGTGTGGGTAGCGCGGTGTGGGACGAGTGAGGGTTGCAACAAGGGTCAGTTTTGTTAGATGTGAGTGACAGCACGTTGGAGCTGTATCGCTGATTTGTTTTAGGTAGTCTGGTCTAGTTCTAGTTTATTTCATGATGTTTTCGTTTTACGTGGGAATGGTTGTGATTTTGCATTTATTCTGCTGACGGTCAACACTTCATATTGTCGTGGCTGTCTGGCCAAAGAACGTTGTGAATGGGCTGCAGTGTAAGAAACGTTATAGCTTTGCTCGCTTTGGCGTAAACGTAAGGACACCTCAACTGACTTTTGGGTTACTTGTCGTTGCTATTACGAGCAAAGGTGGTAATTAACACGTTTTAAAATGGTGGTTTTTGTTAAGATTATGAGCTGCATCTTAATATTGCAACTTTGCTCTCATTGACTAATGACGCGCAGCAGATGTTCCGGATGCATTTTTTGTTTACTGTTATTGCCGCTGTGTTCGCAGAAGCCGTAGAGAGGAGCAAGTCGGTTGAAGATGTGATATCGTTTCTCAAGAAGGGCACCCTTCTATGGAAGGTGAAATCCCTGAGCAAGTGGTACCGAAGAAATACACCCTGGATTTTGAGCATCTCAAGATCAACTATGAGCCGTCTCATAAGCCCGTCTGTGTGGAAAAAGCACCACGCGTAAGTTTACCGGGACCGAGCTACCGTTTATTTGAACCGTGAGAACGCCGGAGCATCCGGCAGTTCGTGGTAAAAGTGATCCGTGAACGGTACTTTTGCAAGAAACATGTCGCCATTTTTTCAGGATGCTTTGCAAAAGAAGACGCTTTGTGAGCAATGGCTACGCTTCGTGTTGTATTACACGAAAGAAAGTGTATGGACTGGGCCTTTGCCGTGTCCAGGTTATTGCGGGCCTATGGGTTTAAGGGACGGAGAGGCGAGAAGTTATCCTGCCCTCCCGCAGGACAACCCGCGCCGTTCCCCAGGGAACCCGGCCCGGGCCGTCTTGCGAGCAGGGCCCCGCCGGTGCTCCGCCAAACCGGACGGGACGGGACGGGACGGGACGGGGCCGCTCTCTCGGGTGTATGGCCTCGCCACAGTGTCCCGCTGTGGCGGGGCGGTCGGGGGCCGGGGACTGTGCGCGGGAGGGAGGCGCGGGCCGGCGCCGGGCGGACGCGTCATGCTCACACAGCCGACACTTCCAGTGGACATCAGTGACATCCACGACGTTCGGAAAGGATGGAAAACGGACATCTTCAATCGCATCGCGTCAAAAGTGGAGAAGCGCATCGTTAAGATGCCGAACTCGCCTCCGCTGGTCGACGAGAGGAACTGCTTCTCCATCATTATTGGTAAGATGAATGGCTGTGTTGGTCAGACCGCGGCATCTTATACTCAACACCGGTGATGGTGCTGGGTGCTGTGCTGGGCGAGCGGTCGTCGGGAATTCGGCTTACTGCGTGAGGTGCCTAGCTCGGAGGTGTGGCCCAAGTGTGGGGAGCCGGCAGGCAGATGTGCCCGTCTGAAATGCTGCTGGCTGCAACGTGGGGAGTTGTGACACATTGCATATTCTTGCTTTTACTTATCATTGCAGCGTTTTGACGTGGCCCTTGTCTGGATGAGGGGGAGGGGGGACGGGATCGTGTCGACTCTCCAAACTGTGATTGATTTGAGGGTGGGGTGAGCAAAGTGCTTCAGAACCGTATCGTCCCGCGGTGAAACGTAAAAACTTGTACGAAAAGAGCTCGGCCCTTTTACATTTCGATTTGTAATAGTGGTACCAATCGTGGTATGCGTCGCTCACCTGGTACTGGTGGCGATCTATTCCTCCTCTCGTAGTTGCGAGAGCTGCAAGGCACGTTGCCATCTAAGAGCGGAGTTTGTCTACTCTTGTTTCTTACTACTTAAATTAAGGAACCATGCGCGTTGCCGGGACGTCACTCTTAAACGAATGGCTGTATGGTATCCCTCCCATACGGTGTCAGTGTCCCTGTACCTCTTACGCACTATCATCCTCGGAAATAACCTCCGTTCTAACGAGAAATTCAACAGTCAGAGGTCTCCCGTCCCGTATGTCCACATTGACCCAACTCTGCATATCCCCTGGCCATCGCGCTGTGGCCTGGGTACTGGCTGGATACGTCCCCACTCTGTCACTGCACTCCTGATGGATCCGTCCTCATGGGCGAAATGACTCCGTACATTGGCTCAACTGCAACCGGCCGTCTTGACTGCCGCGCTCCTGTGAGCGATTCAAAACAGCGGTGCAGTCGGAGGCGGGGTTGTTATCGGGCGCGGCATTAGGTGCGGATGATGTAACCGGTATTATCTGCGGCGCTTAGCTCGCGGTCGCCTATCCTGCGCACAAGCTGGTAATGCGTCGCCTTCCGTTGATCAGCTGCCAAGCCGTGGCGCCACAAAGCGCCACCCGGCAAGGAAAGCCGCGGAAGTCGTATTGTGGTCTGATCCCCCCCCCCCCTCGTCACGCGAGACACCACATCAGGTACGCTACAGAGACGCGTTGCCGAGCTGTCTGCAAACGGTAGGCTACACATGTGGGCCCACATATCACGCCCGTCAGGTGCGCCACGTGCCTTGTTCCCAGCGCCACCGTACGAGGTACACCGCTGCTGCCCGTGTGCACTTGTCCCTTGTGAGCATATTGGGCAGGCGCAGCATCGGAGGTGCTGGTTGGTACAAATGTTGAAAATGACATTTGATAACGCCGACTCAATCCTCAGAACGGAGGGACTATGGTTTGTTCTTGAGCCCGTCGCTACGAATCAGAGATCTGCCAAAGCTTGTTCCGCAACAAATGTCGTGATCCCATTGCTGTTCTTTCCTAAACGCATCACGGCGGCTCTTTCAGTCACGTCTTCGCCCGCCCCGATCATTGTGGAAATAGGGAAGTAGTAACAGTAATAATATTGATAGTAATCGTGGTAATAGTAATAGTGACGATAGTAATAGAAGGAGTAATGATAGCAGTAATGGAAATACCAATTCGCACCCCCGTTGAAGTCTGTTGTCAGGTTTCCAAGGAAGCGGTCGCCATCTTGCCGTTTTTCGAGGCTCACTGGACGAGCCGGTTTTTTCGAGGCTCGCTGGACGAGCCCGTTTTTAGGTTTGCTGGGCGAGCCATGGACGGCCAGAGATGTCCGAATGCCGTTTTTTTTGTTGCTTTTTTAGGAGAGGGCAGTGTCCAAATGTCACGGCTGTGTGGGAACGGAGTGATGTCGTTAAGCACCCGCGGCTGACACGCTGATGACGCTCCGATGTGTTGATACTGCGGGGCGTGAGGCGAGTGGGAGAGGTTCGGGTGTGTTTGTCACGAGAGCAGGGTGTATTTAGTGCTGTGAGCTCGCGACGCGTGAGCGGTACTCGGGTGCTTGCCTGTGGTGGGCGTAAGGGTCTTCACGCCGTGGGTTTTGCGCACGAGGGCATGCGTTTCATATGCGTGGGAATGTCGGACGACGTGCGTGACTGGCGCGCCATCTCCGCCCCCCCCCCCCCCCCCCCGGCGTCGGGCTGACCTCTTGATCTGGGGTGTTGGACAGGTCGGAGGGCGCGGTCGGGAATTGGAGGTACGGTTGCGTGGTGGGTCGTGCTTGCACCACTTGCGTTGTTCGTGTCATGTCGCTACATGTCGCCCTCCTCCGTTGGAGGCTGTTTTAGCTGGACTCGTGGTTGATTTTTGTGGCATCTACGATGTTACAGTCGGCTTGTACTTTTGCATGTGGGATTGGTAGAGTTTGTGTAGGTGGAGAATGCCTTTGGCACGTGTGGGGTTTTGTTGATGTCCTTATGTGAAGCATGTAGCATGTTCTTGTGCATTCTGCATGGATTTAAACGCACATAAACCTAGATTGGGACATTTCTTGACGATATCTCATGAAATATATGTTAGCCTTTGGGAGGCGCTCAGATATGGGATATCGTGAATATCGGAAATATGAGGATAGTATATTCATCCTCAGATATGATATGAAGATATGACGAATAAATAATATCAGAATAGGATAACCAAGGCCAGTAGTAAGATAGTGTGCAACGGAAAATCTCAACGTAAATCAGGGCACTCTAAACTTCCTGTAGCCGTTGACAGAGACCTGCTAACCTTCCCACATGCTCTGCTGTCCCAACTTGTACGCGCGGCACACGTGTGTATACTCTCCGCGCTAGCAAGTGGTTCCCATGGCCAGGCCCCCGTTATTACAGTGAGTCATCGTCACCGCCAGTGCCGTGCCGCAGATAACGTCACGCCTAGCAAGGCGGCCACAGCTCGAGTGTGTGCGCTGCTATCGCTGGCGCCTCTCGAAGAGCAGGCGAAGCGTAGTCCGATTAGGGCGTCTTTTTGTCCGGCGACCTCCGGCGGGCGGGGCTGAGGCCCTGCGATGATAGCACAGCCCGGCTGTTAGCGGGGACCTCCGGCGGGCGGGGCTGAGGCCCTGCGATGATAGCACAGCCCGGCTGCTAGCGGGGACCTCCGGCGGGCGGGGCTGAGGCCCTGCGATGATAGCACAGCCCGGCTGCTGGCGGGGACCTCCGGCGGGCTGGGCTGAGGCCCTGCGATGATAGCACAGCCCGGCTGTTAGCGGGGACCTCCGGCGGGCGGGGCTGAGGCCCTGCGATGATAGCACAGCCCGGCTGCTAGCGGGGACCTCCGGCGGGCGGGGCTGAGGCCCTGCAATGACAGCACGGCCCGGCTGCTAGTGGGAACGGCTCCACATTGTCTCAGAAGGTCCCCATTCCACTGCCATGCCACGGCTTCAGGAGGATCCGTGAGATATTGTCTTGTGAGTGATGTGGTCCGTGTAACGCACCGGCTCCAGGCAGCTGCGGGTTTGTCAAAGCTGGCCGGGTCGGTCCCACTCACCAACAGGGCTGTAGTCTGACCGCTGGGGGTGGTGGCGTGCTTTAAGCCATAATGCAAGGTTCACCATTCCAGCCAACATACAACTGGCCGTGTTAACTGAACTTTATTACCGTCATTCTGACATATCAAATACCTTTACTGGTCGCGTGAACCGCAAACGTTCACAACGAACACAGGGTCATACCGTGGTCTACGCTGACAGCTTATGGGTCATGTGCCTCAGTGACTTTGGAACGGAAACAACAGCAAAGGCAGCGATGGTGGGGAGGGGGAGGGGGTCTGTGTTCCCAGTGTACTGTGGTAGTACTGAAGCAGATCCAGAATGACGGCTCGGATGGGAGCAAGACTGGGCGTGAATGACAGGATATTGCGCATGACTCTGATCGGATCATATTTTGCCATGCTGCATTGGCGTACGGTAAGGCTGTGGACAGCTGCGGCAGTTGCTACTGCTGCCAGTGACCCAGTAACCCAGAAGATGTTTAATGTTGTAAGTTATGCTATCTTATGAGCAGTGAATGTATTTATCAGCATTTATTTTCGCAGTTCTTTGAAATTGGTCCCTGTAGATGCCAGTCCTTTGAATTGTTTGTTCTGGCTACGTCCGAACTGGAGAACTCTGGCAATGGTGAATCACCGAGGCTTGTATTTGACAAGCCAGGTGTGTTGGACTCCGCTTGGTTTATCGTCCACGTGTTTGGGGTTCTTATCAGCACCACGCGTCGGAATTGTATTGCGTCGATTGAAATCATGTTCATTGATTATCTGTGCACGTTGTAAGTGAGGCACGTGGGATTTGCACGAGAGTAACTTTTGAATTATTACAGAAATTGTTGCCGCACAACTGATGTGCATGGTCTCAGTCTGTCCGTTCAGCTGTAGAAGTGGCCAATCACTGGCGAAGAGCACCCTCACACTGCCATGACTCATTTCTTCTGTTAACCGAAGAGAATCGATAGAGAAGAGCGTTTCTAAACCCTCCGGAGACGACCAGATGCGGCTGACGTGGCTGGTTTTGCACCCAGTTCGTCTGCGATGGGGAAGGCGCAGGTCCAAAAGGGGGTGGCTGGCGCGAGGTGAGCAGTGGGCGCGGCGCGCTCGCGTTGCGCCGTGTCCTTGTGCTCGTCCTCGTCCTCGTCCTCGTCCCAGGCCGGCGGCCGAGCCCAGGCAGCAGACGCGTCGGCCGCGGACGGGCTGTCGCGCCCGGGCGGCGGCTTTGTGACCGAGCGCCGTGTATTTGCTTGGCGTTTGTTTTGCCGTGCCCGCCTCACTACATAGCTCACGCTGTTTGTGTTGGCTTGTAGGCGATCACTTCTTGGTCGGGCTGCCATGATGTTATTTTGACCAGCCGCTCGTGCTTTGTTGCTGCAGACTGGGGCTGGCCGTGTTACTCAAAACTGAACGTAAACCGAGGGAGAACAAAATTGCGCCACCGTGCAAGGGCGTACACAAGAGGTGGCGCCCGGGGGGTACTTTTCCTCCGCTCCCGTATCAGGTTTAGTACACGTATTGAATGTGCTCGAGCAAATGTTAACTCTAGAAAATTCGGGGCAGGCTCATTGATAGTAAGTAGATTAAGAACGCGCGGCCTTGTTTTACGTCAACAAGTTCTGCGCGTATGCGGCACGCTAAACTAGGTTTTCAGTAAATACTTTAGGTTGCGCCCCCCCCCCCCTCGCAGATCCCCCGCGTACGTCCCTGCCACCTTACCTTCTCCGTCGCAAGTATGGGATTATTCCAAAGTCAGCCCTCTGGGATGTACCGTGATAGTGGTTTTGCTGGTTTTGGCACACGCGCTACAGGTGAATCATGGGTGTCGCGGATGGTGGAGGTCAAGGCATAGGCATACATGTCGCGGCGTGCGGTCCAAGCCTAGCTCGCTTTACAGTCTTGCGGGCATAGGCGGACATCTCGGTCGCTCAGTACTACTCCAGGTCTGTTGAACTCGCGAAGCGTGGCAGACGCTCGCGCTCGGTATGAGTGCCGCGGGCTGTGCAGACACTGCTGGACCTCACTCATCCACGGTCTCCAGATGCATTGTGATCTGGTCGCTGGTCTCCCCTCCCTTCCGCGTCTGTCTCGGCGGAAGAGTTCCGGGCATGCTTAGTTTTTTAGCGGATGAATGAGCATCAAGAGGCGTTTTAACATAGCCAACCCTACGGCTTTTATCGTGCCGAGCGGGACATATGATGAGCGCAGGCGAAAACTAGGAAAGAACGTCAGCAATCGGGTCTGGATTGGCATGTTGCGCCTTCTCAGGAAAGGATCCCCGCACAGAGCAATATTTGGGTTTAGGGACGCTTTAATTGCCTTGGTCATTTCGCTCCCCACACGGAGCATTTCTAACTGGCTTGAGATGTGTTATTGGGCCCTTGCATCCCCCCACCCTTGTCCCCACCCTCGGCATAGACCGCTGACACCGCGCCGTGCCGCCGGGGACGCGGCGTTCCCACGTGTATAAATCAGCCGCTTCAATTGCCGCCGCGTGTGATTGCCTTGTCTTGCCTTAGCTGCCCCGTCCAGCCCAGTGGACCGGGCTGGAGCGGTGGCGCTTGCTCGTGAGCATTGTCCGTCAGTATGGCGTGGCGTGCTGCTGGGACGGGCACTCGGCGGCGTGCCAGCGCGAGCCTCTGCGATGCCCTAGCCGGCCTGCTCGCAGCGCGCTGACGGCTGCCCTGGTCGTCCGGCTTCGGTCATCACATCACCAGGTCCGGGCGACCGCTCTGGTGACCGGGGGCTTCTGGTGATGTTCCGGCTTTTTGTCTTCTGCTTGTGGTGGTGTAGTGGTGCTATAGGACGCCTGCCACTATATTTAGCGTTGGTTCGCATTCTGCCTGAATAGCATAGTCACTTCCCATTTACGTGGTATGAGCATGTGGATTTGTCGCTCATGTTTGTCAATGATTTTGACCGTGAGATTCGTGGTTGGAAGTGGCCCATTTCGGTTCACATGCTTACTGGAAGTATTAAAGATCGGATGGTGTAGTTTTACGTGACCACTTCGCCCTGCCTAGAGCGTGTTCCGGTGTCTGCTTGCATCCGCCCGAGCGTCGCCGTCTGGCCGGGTCTCGGCCCCTGTTTCGGCCGCCCTGTCGGCCGTGCACGTGGCCGTCCGACCTTTGCGTGCCCCCCCCCCCCCCCCCCCCCATTCTCCCCGGCTCGTGTGTGACGGCGCGCTGCCGCCGCCGTCGCCGCAGGCACCAACAAGAGCTCGGTGGACCTGGTGGCGCCGGACGAGCACGTGTGTGACATGTGGGTGCGGGGCCTGCAGCACCTGGTGGCCGTCGTGCGCAGCCTCGAGCAGGAGAAGAACTACGACAGGTGAGCCGATGCGCCGGGCTGGTGGCGCGCCGTCCGGGAGAGTGGCGGGAACGCGCGCCGAGCATGGCGGTGGTGGGGACGCGTCTCAGCGATGCACGGCTGGTGACGGTATGTTCCCGGTGCGGGACATTGGTGAGACGGGCGCTCCGGCTGGCTCGCCCGCTCGTCCCGCTCTGGCGTTGGCGCCGTGCTCACCCGCGTGATGCAGCCTGCCAGGTGCCGGGACGGCCTCCAGGCGGCGACACTGAGACTTGTCTCCCCGGCGGCGAGACGACTGGGCCGAGGTGCCGCCAATTTGGCAAACGTGAGAATGTTGGGCAGTATTCTCTGTAAACACCCTGGAGAGCATTCCTTGTAGTCGCGCTTTTGTTCGAGCTCGGATATTTATGAACCCCTTAGAGTCAGTAAGCGGTTGACTTTAGCGAGGCACAACGCACGCAGTACGTCGTGCGTACACCGTTACCCCACCAGAGTTCGTTTAGGGTGAATCTGCCAATCTGCCCTTCTTGCGCAGCAGAGTATGGTACTTTTTGTCGGCCTTTCGCGATGGCTCGTTTGCAGCTGTATCGTACTAAGAGGGATCCACTTTTTGAAAAGCGATGAATTCGCTCACGCTCCTAGGCCATGCCCGCCCTCAGAAGCCCAGTTAGGGCCTGCTATGTCAAAGCTATCACTGCCGCCAAACCACTGTAGCAAGCATAGGCAAGTATGCGGCAATACATTGAGCTAAAAAGAGGTTTTGACTAGTGTGTGGATACGATTTTTGATCGTTTTCGTCTGTTGTCAAAATGAGGTTATGACTGGGAGGTGTTTCAATATTCGCCTCTTGGATCTCGTGGACGCGTCACTCGACGGTGATAAGCCCTGGCCGGTGAGGACTGCTGCCTGTGTTGAGGACCGGTCACTGTGTGACAACGATCCACTGTGTGACGAAGGCTCGTTGTGTGACGACGGCTCGCTGTGTGACGACGGCTCGCTGTGTGACGACGGCTCGCTATGTGACGACGATCCGCTGTGTGACGAAGGCTCGCTGTGTGACGACAGCTCGCTGTGTGACGACGATCCACTGTGTGACGACGGCTCGCTGTGTGACGGTGGCTCGCAGCGTGACGTCCTTCCGCCGCTGACGGCCGCCGACTGCGCGCAGGTGGCTGAAGCGCCAGTTCCAGTCGGCTGACCGTGACCACAACGGCGTGCTGACGTTCGACGAGTGCCTGGACCTGCTGAAGCAGCTCAACATCCAGCTGGACAAGGACTCGGCTCGCCAGCTGTTTGACGTACGTCAGCGCCGGCCGCGGGACCCGGCCAGCTCCGGGCTCTGTGGCCTGGTGCTCGCATTCAGCCTGCCGGCGGTGTTTAGGGACGAGATCTGTTGCGGCATATTGTGTCATGTGGTCGTTGGGACGTGAGGTATTGTGGTTATTTGGGTCGTTTGTTTCGCAAATGCCTGTGGTGGGTGCATGTTGGCGATGAGGGAGGGGTGAAAAGGGTGATTCTTGATGACTAGTCTGGGAAGTGGATGGGGGTAATCTTGCCACTGCCCCCTTTCACTCCCACATAACTGCAATAAGCTCAGGTAGGGCCGAATTTGTGACTGAGCGAGGCCATGGGGTATTAAAACTACATGCCCACAGGCATTATTTCATTAGTATTTGTGACTCCGTGTGTGATCTGTTATAAAGTTTCCCATCGTCTCTGGCCCGTTGAAGTTGCTGTCCTGCACCTGCCGTTCACGTCGGGGCTGCACCCAGACCATGCTAACGAGTGCGTGCGGCGCCCGGCTCCGGTGGCGCCGCCAGCTCCGGCCTGACGTATGAGCCCCGGCCTCCGCAGGCGGCCGACACCGACAAGCGGACCAAGGGCGACGAGGCGGCTCTGGACGACCAGGAGTTCGTCGCCTTCTACCACAGCCTGCTGCAGCGGCCGGAGCTGGAGGTGATCTTCAACAGGTGCGCCGCCGCGCCACGGCAGAGCCGGCGGTCGGGAGGCCGGCCCGGGGGGACTGGGCGCGACAGGCTGGTGTGCTTACGTACGATAGACTGAGGGAACTGACTTCTTCGTATCGGGTGGTGCCCGCGCCAGAGCCGGGCGCATGTCCATGCGTATGCCCGCCTCCTTAGGGGAGGTTGCCTTTCTTGAACAAGATCCGTGAGCGCGGGCCGCAATGCCCGTCAACACATCACCCGTATAATCACAGCATCATCATCGCCCGACGCGCCGTCCGCCAGGTACACCAACAACGAGAAGCTGATGACGACTGAGGAGCTGGCCGACTTCCTGCGCGGCGAGCAGAAGATGAAGGACGTTTCGAGCGATTTCTGCCGGGAGGTGATCGAGACGTACGAGCCGTCCGAGTCCAAGTATCAGGGCCTGCTCTCGCTCGACGGTCAGTGATGGCGTCGCCCCTGCGCGGGTCGGGCGCGGCGCGGGGTGCCACCCGCGACCTGACCTGACCTGACCTGACCTGATCTGACCTCAGGGGTGAGGGTGCCGTGTCCGGGGCAGTGGTTTGGGGAACAGCGTTTGTCTGAGAGACGCGTAAGTTCCGTGACAGGTGACAGGTACTACTCAGTTGTGCCAGGTTAAAGCTGTCCCAGTTCCATGCAGACGACTGTTAGAGGCCGTTCGTCAGTGCCGTCGTTGGTCAGTGTGTTGCGTGTTGGTGGTTGGCGTACGCTCAGTGCTTTGCGCTGATTAAGTCCGAATCGTCCTCCCGTGCCGGTGGTTTGTCCCGTTGCTGAATGGGCCCAAAGCAAATTTTTAAAGTGCAAAACGTAAAGTTGAAAAGCGCACTGTCGTGTTTCAATGTCATGCAGATATCGCCTCCACTTTCTAGACTGTACGCGGCCGATGCAGGTGAGTGTCACTGTTGATGCCGGTTGCCCCGCGCTCAGTCGAAGGCTCATCTCCGCCGTGTTCTGTCCGGCTGCAGGCTTCCACATGCTCATGAGCTCGAAGCAGGTGCACATCTTCAACCCGGAGCACAGCCTGGTGTACCAGGACATGAAGCAGCCGCTGGCGCACTACTTCATCGCCTCCTCTCACAACACGTGAGTGTCGGCGGCGGGCCGCGCCGTCTGGTGGTGTGGAGTCGCGTCCGGCCCGGCGTGCAACCCTTCGGCTCCATGCGAATTGTTTGTGGTGACCAGCACTCGATGGCTTAGTACGTGGGCAAGGTATATATGGGACGTTCTGATAGGGCGAAAGCGGTGTCCGTGAGTATGGCCCAGACGTTGCCACGTATCAGTGGCATTAGATTAGAAAGCAGCAAAGCATTAGATTAGAAAGCAGCAAAGCATTAGATTAGAAAGCAGCAGTGACACTTTCATTAGAAAATATGCGGCGTTATTCATTATTATGAGCAGGACTGTGAGTGCTGTCCTGTGCTTACGTCAGTCGAACGCCTCGGACCGCCACGCACGCGGTCTGATGACCCCGACCGCCCCCAGGTACCTGCTGGGTAACCAGCTGACGGGGATGTCCAGCGTCGAGGCGTACATCATCGCACTTCAGAAGGGCTGCCGCTGTGTGGAGCGTGAGTGACCGCTAGGGGACGGCCCTTGCTGGGGTGGGACGGCGGGCACCGGGGGCTCCACCTAAGCTGCAGGCTGACGTAGAGGGCTGTGCACGGGGCTGGCCTGAAACGGTTGCAGGTGTTGCATGATTTCGCGATTTCATTACGTGCAATCGTGCATTACGATTGCACGTGATGCACGATTAATGATTTCTCGGCAGTGCCTGTTTTTCCCGTCTTATGTCCGCGCCTTGGGCTCGGGCGCTCGCCTGGCCAGGGTCGACGCCGCGAGACGGGCCCGCTGTCCTCCGTGTCACGTCTCAGTCCTGGTGAACCGATGCTCGGCGCGGTGTGAGGCGTGGGATCGCCGAGCCGGTGCGGGGGACGCGACGAGCTGACGCACCCCGCTCGCCGCCCGCAGTCGACTGCTGGGACGGCGACGACGGCGAGCCCATCATCTACCACGGCTACACGCTCACCTCCAAGATCCGCTTCTGTGACGTCATCAGCGACGCCATCAAGCCGTACGCGTTCCAGTACTCGGAGTACCCGCTGATCCTGAGCATGGAGAACCACTGCTCCGTGCGGCAGCAGGAGAAGATGGCCCATCACCTGAAGACCATCCTAGGCGGTGAGTGGTCTTTTTGGGTGGTTTGTGCAGCGGGCGGTGAATTCCCGGGCATCACTTCTGCGTATTTTCTAAATCAGTGAGCTCGTGTTCTGTTCCATGTCCTTAAGGTCTGCTAAGAACGTGCTACTAGGTCGCTTTTTGTCAACTTGCCAATAGTAGGAGCTCATTGCTTTGGTGGTGATTGCATTGGTGAGGCTGCGTGCTGGGGGTTTGTCTGCGCCGTCCCACGAAGTACATCACGGTCCCCCCCCCCTCCCCCCCCCGCTAGCCGTAATGGTCTGGCTGTCATGACGATCCGAGATGTGGTTACGGCAGCACGGCGCGCCTGACGCTGCCGCCGTGCTGCCGCAGACATGCTGTACGTCCTGCCGGTCGACGAGTCCTTGGGAGCGCTGCCTTCGCCCGAGGACTTCCGCAAGAAGATCTTGCTCAAGGCGAAGAAGCTGCCGGCGGACAAGGAGAAGACGGGCCTGGGGGCCTTCCAGCAGAAGGTACAGCTCATGGGGGCTCGGTGACGCCAGTTCTGGAGGCCGGCGAGTGACTCCACCTACCCAGGTCTACCGCCCCACCACGGATCTTGGTAGCGCCTGTCCTTGCCGAACGTGCGCTGCGGTCGTCAGCCATGAGTTGGCTGTTTTGCCGCTCCGGCTGGCAACACCGTCCGTTGAACCGAAACTGGGCGCCGCGGTAGTCACGTGATGACCACAGCACCCTCTCACTTCTCTGTCTTCCTCTCTCACTCTCTCCGTAATTGCAACTGTCAGCAGCGGCCCGGAGGACTCAATCCCACCAGACTAACCCAAACCAGGCCGAGGAGCGGGCTGGATGTCACTGGTGATGCTCCGTGTTCTGGCTTCGTTATGCCGGTTGTCATGTGTTGTCGCCCTGGTTTTGTCGCCCCGCAGCGAATGGCTTTGCTGTCAAGACACTGGATCCCTAAACATGTGGAACCCATTAAGTGAGCCACGTCCCTGTCGTCGACACGTCTGCAACATCCTTGCGGCGTGCTCTCCGTGTTGACATCGGATTCCCAGCCACGTGACTTGCGTTCCCCAGGTGGGCGAGCTGATCGACGGCAAACCGCCGCCGCCGGCGCAGGAGCAGGACGAGGCCTGCACCGTGGACGACTCCGAGTCGGACTGCAGCGCGCCCGAGGACGAGGCGGCCGGGAAAGAGCAGCAGCAGCGTCACCTTCACGTCAAGGTAGGTACCGCCGCCGCCTCACCGGGCAATCCGCCTGACGGCGTAGACACACAACAGTGCAGCGAAGAAGGATGCGCCCGGATGTACACAGGGCTTGGTGACCGGCACGCACTGCAACTTCGCTTACCAGCTGGGTTTGGCTGGTCGTCAGTCGTGGTGATCGGTGCGCATGTAGTATCGTTGGGTTGTACGAAAATGGCAGGCGCCCCCCCCCCCCTCCGGAATTTTTCGCTGCAAGTTGTGGCCGTGGTTGCGATTGCTGGCGTTTTCCGCTGTCGGCTATCCGGGCATAGCCACCGACTCCAACGTCACAGCTCGAACTCCCCGCAGGGCAAGAAGAAGAAGATGATAGCGCCGGTGCTCTCCTCGCTCGTGAACTACATCAAGGCGGTGCACTTCCACTCGTTCGACGCCTCGCTGGCGGCCGACCTGTGGTGGACGATGAGCTCCTTTCGGCGAGAGCAAGGCCCTTGGGTGAGAGCGACACACGGGCGCACATGGTCCTCTGTAGCAGCCGGGGCGGCTACCGCCGCGCGATGCAGGAGTCCATTATCGGTGGAGTATTTCAGTTGTTTTCGGGTTGGGCAGCGGCCCCGCGGGTCGCGGGCTGTGGGCCTTACGCGGTGATGGATGTGGGACTGGTGCGTTCGTCGCGATCCGGCTCAAGTCGTGACCTGCTGATTGTCTGAGAGCCGTTCAGTCAGATGCGTTCTGGCGGCTCTGGCGTGGGCGAGTGAGAGTCGTCTTTGTGTACGGGCCGTGGAGTCGTGGCCAAGTTGTTGCGAATCACACGCGATCCAGATACTGGGCAGTGGCGCAGGCCACGGGGCGCGGTCCACGGGTGGCGGCTGCGACGCTCCAGCGCTGAACACCTGTTCTCAATCCCTTCTCCACCCTCGCAGACCCTTTACCACGGATGCGCTCCTTCCATTTTGTATCGGCCCCTCCTCCGCGATCGCACTCCCACAGCCTTCACAGTTACGTGCGGCGACGGCCACAGCTTCGCCTGCTGTATACGCTCGTCGTCCCGACAGGTTCGTGGATCAGCAGGCGGCGGCGCTGGTCGAGTACAACAAACGTCAGCTGAGCCGTATCTACCCGAGCGGCAAGCGGCAGAACTCCAGCAACCTGAACCCGGTGCCCTTCTGGAACACCGGCTGTCAGATCGGTGGGTGGCCGCCTCCAACGGCATGCCTTGCTGTGGTTGCGACGCCGTGGCCACCTATCTGTTCTCTCAGCAGAATTCCCCTTGGTGCTAACGTTTCTGTGAACTTAAAGCAGAGACAGCGTACATCACTGCGTGAGTAGCAATGATACGTGTCACACAGAAGTTGTGCTTAAACGTGTGAATTTCATGTCTTACACACAGCTTTATCTTCCAAATCGCTGCAACACAGTGTTATGTTTACGCTAGGCTAGAAGTTTAATGGTCTGTAGGGGTGGCTGCGTGGTCGCGTGAGCTGATGCCCCGCGCTATCCTACGCCCCGCGCCGCCGCTCCCCGCGTCGCCTGCGTCGTGCGCGACGCTGCTGACGGCGCCCGGCCGTCCCCCGGCAGTGGCTCTCAACTACCAGTCGCCGGGCAAGTCGACCAGCTACAACCAGGGCATGTTCCGACGCAACGGCGGCTGCGGGTTCGTGCTGAAGCCGACCGTGCTGCGCTCTCCTGACTGGTTCGACCCGACCGCCAGCCCCGGCGACATGTGAGTACGCGCCGTCCGCTGCGGCTGCGGCTGCGGCTGCGGCTGCGGCTGCGGCTGCGGCTGCGGCTGCGGCTGCGGCTGCGGCTGCGGCTGCGGACTGCGGCTGCGGCTGCGGCTGCGACTGCGGCTGCGGCTACGGCTGCGGCTGCGGCTGCGGCTGCGGCTGCGGCTGCGGCTGTGACTGCGACTGCGGCTGCGACTGCGGCTGCCGCTGCCGCTGCCGCTGCCGCCGGCAGACTGGACGTGACGGGTCGTGGTGGAGGTGTGCTCGGGTATCGTATCTGCCTGGGGGTCCAGGCTGGCTAGCGGTGTTGGTCTCGGCTGGACGTGGTGCGGCGGTGAAGTGGGCGCGGTCGTGGAAACAACGGTCTCTGTAGTGTCGCAGGCCGTTCCAACCGGATTTGGGATTGATGTGATCAAGAAAGGCGTTACGCACGTTTCTCGGAATTTTTATGCTGTTGCCCTTAAAGATGCCTACACAATGATAATTATTGACCTTTCTTGTGCCAGAAGTTGTTGGTAAGCAAACAAACTTAAAAAGCTACCATAAAAAGTAGACTTTTGGTTAGAGATCGGGACGAGAGTTTCATCGTTGAGAGACTCCGATACTGATCTCTGCTTTAAATGACTAAGCCTTTTAGTATGGTTGCTTGGCTGTTCACGAGTATTCCGGGACCATTTTATGCCAGTTATGATCACTCTGAGCTGTTGCATCATCAGCAGTATTGAACTGGACGTGTGATGGTAATGCCCTTAATAAAGCTAAGAATTTGCCAGCACGTGGGGCAGAAAGGTGAGAAACAGTCCGTACATTGAATTTAATGTCATTGATGGTCGTACGGTACGGCTCTCACGCGATGCCCAGGCGTCGCGCCATGCCTGTTTGGTGCATACCTTGCAAACAATGTCCTGGCACTACCGCCCGAGTGGCCTAACTTGCGGGCGCCGGCCCCACCGTCGGCAGTGTTTTGGAGGAGCGGTCGGTGGGAAGACCGCCGACGCCTCCGCCGCCGCCGTCGCCGTCGCCGTCGCCGTCGCCGCCGCCTCTGCCTCCCCGGCAGTCGTACGTGCGCCGAGCCTTGTGCGGCTGCCTCTCCTTCCTCACGCTGACCATCCGGCCCTGGATCCAAACCACGCCCGGCGCCTGGTACCTCCCCCTGTCCGGGTCAGTCCTCGTCCTGCACGCGCCCCGTGTGCCAAGTGCCGTCCCGTAGCGTCCTGTTGTTTTCGCAGGCTTCTTTGTCCTGTATCACACTCGACACCGTACCGCTACGTTCACGGGCCTCTGCCCTCGTATCGCATTCCACGTTGCCCCTGTGCCTGCCGGTCACGAGATGTGCCTGGCGCCTCGTCCCGCGGTCCGCGCTCCGCGCCCCGCGTTGTCCGGGTGCATGCGCTTCTGTTGGCTTCCTTTTGGTGGTGTCTGGTCGTGATAAGCTCGTTGGCTTTTGTGTGTGGATGCAGCATATGCGGCATGGTTTGTTTTGCCCAAAGGCATCGCTTGCAAGCCGGAGGTCCTGTCTCGTGTGATCTTTTGACTTGCGCGATTGTGCGCCGTGGTTCGTCGTCCTCGCACGTTTTGGTGGTGGTTGTTCCGTGCGCTTTTCGCTTGCGCTTCGTTGTATAGTGACAGCTGTCTGCTTGAGCACTGTCAGGTCGGCAAACGCCTGTGAATATGTGGACAGACCCAATTGGTGTCTCTGCCGTCGATTATTTGTGCTGAGTTTTGAGCTATCTGCCACTTCGTGCGCAAATATTAACCGTCGTCTGCATCACGCTACCATCCGATGTCGATGTTCTTGGGAGAAATGATGTAGAGCTATCCTGAGCGTAGCTAGATTCTTCCACCTCTCACGATATATATATATATATATATATATATATATATATATATATATATATATATATATATGTAAATATATATGCATACATACATACATACATACATACATACATACATACATGCATACATACATACATACATACATATATACATACATACATACATACATACGCCTCTCCCACCTCGGATCCTAAGAGACGCCTTATTCCACTGCCAACCGATTTAACATTGACCTGGTCGCTCGTCAAGACCCAGTCGACAGCTGGGGAACTACGGCATCCTTCGACTTTCTTATCATATCTCCAAGGAACCGGTGGGCTGTGTAGCGGGATGATATATTCCCCGACTCATATCCTCACTTGCCGACGACATTCTAGCCAATCTCGGGCCGCCCTCCACGGGGCTCAAGCCACGCCTCACGCCTGTTACGAGTCATGACCGACGCAAATTTCGGGGCGTGACCCTGGCCGACCTCAGGGCGTGACGTCACACGGGTCGGCAGGTTCCGCCGGACCCTGCAGCTGCGCATCATCAGCGGCTCCTGCATCCCCAAGCCGCCCGGCTCCAGCCTGTACGACATCATCGACCCCTACGTCTGCGTCTACGTCACCGGCCACCCGGCCGACGAGGGCAAGTTCAAGACGGACGTCGTCAAGAACAACGGTGGGTGCACAGTGCTCCCCTCCCCCCTCTCCTATGCTAGCTGAAGTGGCAGGCGGTTTGGTGTCCCACGAGAGACGAACGTTAGATCACGCAAGGAGAAAACAACATGAGGGAAAATGCCTCCGATGTGCGAAAAGCTGCGTGCCTGCGTTGTTCGTTGTTTTACTCGCACACCGCGCATCGGGTGATATCACCATTTCTCTACGTCTGTGCTCGGTCAGTGCGTAGCGCCAGGTAGGTGCTCTGGAGGCCACGGAGACTGGCGCTGTGACCCCGTGGCGTGCCCCGTTAGATCACGCAAGGAGAAAACAACATGAGGGAAAAGCTGCGTGCCTGCGTTGTTCGTTGTTTTACTCGCACACCGCGCATCGGGTGATATCACCATTTCTCTACGTCTGTGCTCGGTCAGTGCGTAGCGCCAGGTAGGTGCTCTGGAGGCCACGGAGACTGGCGCTGTGACCCCGTGGCGTGCCCCCCCCCCCCCCGCCCCCTCCGGCCCGCTGACGACACGGCCGCGCTCGGCAGGCTTTAACCCGGTGTGGGAGGAGCAGCTGACGATCCCGGTGCACATGCCGGACTTCTGCCTGCTGGAGCTGGTGGTGCGTGACCACAGCACCACCGGCTCCAACTACGTGCTCGGTCACTACTGCATGCACTTCGACGATCTGATGCCCGGTGAGCGTCGAACCCGGGCAGAGCGGAGCAGAGCAGGACAGGACAAGACAGGACAGGACAGGACGGGACAGGACAGGACAGGACAGGACAGGACAGGACAGGACAGGACAGGACAGGACAGGACAGGACAGGACAGGACAGGACAGGACGGGACGGGACGGGACGGGACGGGACGGGACGGGACGGGACGGGACGGGACGGGACAGGACAGGACAGGACAGGGCGGGATAGGACAGGGACAGGTGTAAAGGGAGGACAGGAATGTGGGCAGGGGCAGGGGTATGAGGAGGATTCGCCCGATCCTCCTCCTCGGCAGACCTCGCGCTCCGGTTTCGGCGCTGTGGTTTGGTTTGGTTTGGAGTGGGGGTCGTGCTGTTGCCACGACGTGACGTGCTGACGGTCATTTGAGCTTGGCGCGTTGTTCTGTGCTAGCTCGAGCTGGTACTGACTTGTGCCGTCGCCTGTTCTATGAACGCTGCACATTTTGGCTCGCCATTCATTCCAAATGGCTTTTGACGATGCCGTACGGAAACGTTGCGTTCTGCTGTAACCGGCTTGCGTTCCTTCAATCTCGTGTATGGATGCGTCTCAGCTGCACGAAGCTGCTTCGGCGCGGCAAACTGGCCCGGAATGAGATGTTCCGTGTCCGGCAGGGTACCGTTACGTCCCCCTGGAGGACGTGGAGGGTAACTCGCTGAGCCCGGCCTCGCTCTTCGTGCACGTCAGCGTGCAGTGAGAGCCGGGCTGCCGTCCAGCCGGGCCAAGCCGTGCTGTCGTCCAACCGGGCTAAAACCGCGCTGCCGTCCAGCCGGGCCGGGCCGCCGGTCGCCCTCCGAGCGGACGCCGCCTGCCGCCGCTCGGGCAGCTCTGGGGACGGGCCGCACCGTGCGAGCCGCGCTGGTGCGCCGCCGGCTCCAGGAGACGGTCAGCTGGTTTGCCGGCCCGTGCTCAGGCGCTTAATGCTGGCGGCCCGCGCGCAGGCCGAGACACGGGGTTCTATGACGCTCATGTGTGTATGTCTGTGTGTGGGGGGGGGGGGATCAGGGCTCCACGCGGGTGCTGGCTGCGGGACTAGTGAGGCTAGGCGACCTGCCAGGTCACGAGGCCTGCTAGGTGGATCTTGCACAGCGCGAGGTGCTGCCGCCATCTGTGTTTCGGCCGGCGACTCTTGTGGTGGGATGTGCGCACATGGGCCCGTTGCAGTTTTTATGTGACGGAGAACCGGGCCATTTTATACTTTGTTACAACCTGCGCGTCGGAAGCCAATCAAAAGGAAAGGCAACTGCTGTTTGTAGTGCGAAATGAGATTTTCGCCAGGATGTTCGCGTTTTGAACGCCGGCATGTGTTATTACGGCTTCGCGCGAGCCGCTCCCGCCTCTCCGCTGCCGTGCGAACTCATGTATGCATGGCTGCGGTGGCCGCTATCCGTAGTTAGTTTTACCCTGCCTGAGTCCTTCGGGGTTGCCGCGGAATGACTGCTTCTCGACGCCAGCGCTGCGGTACTGCTGGAGCCGGCGCCCGTTTCACTGTGTGACGTTGGTGGGTTACGCTGGCGCATGGCCATTGTCAACTGACGGCAATACATTCCTGCAATGCTGGTGGCGTTTCCGAGAGCGCTGGTAGGTTTTGTCCAATATGTATGCATGGAAGTCATGGATTTCGGCGCCCGCTACAAATGCGCCTGTGATCTTGTCACGGACACTCCGAATGAGCAGCGAGCCTACATCTGTCGTCACGGTGTTATATCAAAGAAGCTGCAGACTCGAAGGGAATTAAAAAAGTCAACTGTTAATTGGATTTCATATATTAATCAGAAAAACAGGCTCAACATCAACACGCACGCACGTCTCATCTCAGCAAGAAATACCGGATCGATGCGTGCCATACCAAGCTGCCCACGTCAACCCCCAGAAGCACCGATCCCATCTGATGCAAACGGGCTTCGGTGACCGTAGACGCTCAGCGGCCGGCCTTATTCAAATACAGCACAAACATCGACACTTCAAAACAGCACCAATGATATGCAAACAAGCCGGGAGTCTGCACCACCGCCTCTCCGCATGGCCACGGACTGCTGGCGACAGTCGTGCATCGAGGGAAGCCCAGTCAGGTATATCACGCGGAAGCCTTTGTCGTGGAGCAGTTTCTGACAGCGGCTGCGAGTGAGGCGGAACCTCCACTGATCTTGTGTTTCTGCATCAGCATCTTACTGCGCGGCATGCATCCAGCAGTCGCAGGTGATAGAGCGTTCGCTGATGTCATCAAAAACGCCTATCGGTCCTTGGAATAGCTCCGGCGGCGGGGCGCGCGAGCCGTTCGCAGGACTCCCCCGGCCAAAACAAACAACGCTCAGTTGATCTTGCCTGTCGCGAAGCTCCACGTGTGTATGGTGCGAAATCCCGAAGCATGCATGGTGAGCGACGCTCGTCTGCTCACCTCGCCGCCGGGACTTCTTAGAAGCGCAAGCGGAGGACGCCTTCTCGCTCCGGCCGGCAGCCCCGAACCCCGCCGCCGCCGCCGCCGCCGCCGCCGCCGCCGCCGCCGCGTCCGGCGTCAGTCGGTGACGGAGCAGCCGAGCCGAGCCCAGAGAAGCGGGCCGCGCGGCAGCCGCTGGCTAGCCGTCAGCGGCAGCGGGCGCCGCTCGGCCAGCAGACGTCGGAAGCGCTCGTGCTCGCTGCGGTGCCAGCTGGCCGCCTCCTCGAGTCGCGCCGCCACGAAGTCGAGCAGCGTCGGGCCGCGTGTCCACGAGCCGGCGCGCAGGCGGTCGCTGTGCCACGAGCGCAGCAGGAGGCCGGCCGGCCGCCGCTCGGGCGAGCCGCGCCGGCTCTGGTACGGTGAGCTCGGCGCCGACTGGCTCGAGCCGCTCGAGAGAGTGCGCAGCGCCTGCCGCAGCCGGCGCAGACCGGCTCCCGGCCGCTCCGCGCCGGCGCAGTCCAGCTCCTCGGCGCCGTGCGGCCCCGCGCAGCCCTGAACCTCAATCTGGATCACGTGCTCGCGGGGCCGCCGTCCGTTTTTTGACGGTTGTGCCGGGGACTGGTCACCGCTGTTCTTCAGCGCGCTGTCATTGGCCTCGGTTCTCTCTTTCGTTTTCGGTGGCTTCTTTCCCTTGACGCCGTTGTCACACTCGGCTTTCTGCCGTGTCAGCGTAGGCCTTTCCTTTGCGCTGCCGTGACTGCTCAGTGCGGGATCTGATGGCCTGGTGCGCTTGAGTTTGACCTGGGCTGCCTCACCTTCGGCTCTTGTCTTGGAAAGTGCAACGTCAGATTTGGAGGAGGGAACCTTCCGCAACTGCACCAAACCAAGGGCGGGAGCTTTGACGGCCAACGTCGCCACCGGACCAGGATTCGCTGCTCTTTTCACTGGCTTTAGATTCATGATCATTGAGTTGAAGCTGCTGGAAAGACGCTCTTCCGGTGTCTTTACCGCTCGCTGGTCGGGACTCTCCTTCCCAGACGACACCGATGTGGAGGTAGATGAGGGGGCTCCAGGCACCACTGGCTCCAGCAGGAAGTTCTGACTGGGACTAACTCGCCCGGGCGAAGCCCTCTCTGCCGACAGCCCATCAACGAGGATCGTTCTTTCTCCACCCAGCTTAGCCTTTTCTGTCGTCGACTCGCCGTCGTCGGTTGTCCGACGTCGGCGAGCACCGATCGGGCTCAGCAGCGGGCTCGATCGACCGCCAGCAACGCTGGATGGCTGACTGTCCGTCTGCTGGTGCCCTGCGCCTGCCGTTTCGGGCGACAGCGAGCCTCCCGCGGCTTCCGGCACGGTCGGCGTCTTAGACCGGCGCCGCCGCGGAGTCGCCGCCTCCAGCGACGCAGAGTCCCCGCTCTGTTTCGGCTGCGAGGCTGCCGCGACGGAGGCTTTTCCAGTTTGCTCTGCTGGAGACGGAACCGGTTTGGAGTCGCTTTTACCTGTGCTGCTTGTGACGCGGCCGGTTTGGAGTCATTGCCGGCCTGTGCGCCTTGTGACGACGCTTGGTTTAGAGTCGCTTCCCTTCTGCGCCGGCTGTGGGCTTCGACCAGCGCTGGGGGAGCGCGATTTGGACGGCGACTTACGCGGCTTCCCATCGGAGGCCGACTTGCCGGACGCGTCGCTGTCCAGCGGCGGCTGACGGCCGGCTGGTTCTCCAGCAAGACCGGGCGCAGCCTCTGCCGCAGCACCAGTCACTGTCACGCTGGGCGTCCGGGAACGAGACGGGATGGAGAGCTTCGAGCCGGAAGACCCTAGAGGTCGGGCCTCTGGACCCGGAACGGTGGCGGGGCGTGGCGAGGGGCTCTTGGACTTCGGTGGGGGCTCGCCCCCGGCCGCCAACGGTGACGCCGCCCCGGAGAGGCGTCGGGGTGATGGGGTCAGCTCTTTGCCAGCCGCAGACCGACGCCGCCGGGCGTTGGGCTCACCCGCCAGGCCGCCACCGGGTTCGGGCGACGGTGTCAGCAGCCGCCGATCCGTATCGCCGTCGGCAAGCGCGGTCGTCGCCTCCTGCATGACCCGGTCGCAGACGGTGGCCTGTCGACCCGGTGAGCCGGCGCGGCGCGGCGGCGCAGCCAGCGGCGACGGCGTCTGGCGGCGCGCCGCGTCGGCGGCCGCCTCCTGCAGCAGCCGCGGCACCGGCTGTGTCACGCTGCCCCGCCGCGAGCTGGCCGGCGAGCTCGTCACCTTCAGCACCATCTCGTCCAGACTGCCCTGCTGCTTGAGCGTCTTCACGTCGTCGATGCTGATGTAGTGTTCCTCCTTGCTGGCCTGCTGCACGAGGCGGCCGCGCGCGCGCTTCAGCGATTCCTCGCGGCGCAGCGAGCAGACGCGCGCGTGCTCGGCCGGCCGCGGCCGCGCCTCGGGCCGCAGCAGGCCCCGGCTCGACTCGTCCTCGCTGCTCGAGTCGGCCTCGTCCGACAGCTCGGGCGAGGTGAGCGAGGCGCAGGCCGACGGCGAGCACAGGCCGACCGAGGCCGCCGAGCCGACGCGCGACAGCACCAGCTCGGCGCTGCTGTCTGAGAAGGCGTACGGGCTGTCCGGATGATCCACCCAGCGGCCGACGAACTGCGTCAGGTTGAGCTGGGCTGCCTCGAGCGGCGCCTCCAGGCTGGCCAGCGACGCCTGGCGCGAGCGCACCTTGGAGGGCACCGGCGCGTCGCGCATGTTGAGCCAGCGGTGCGCCAGCGCCTGCTCGGACGTCAGGCGCTTGCTGCGGCAGGACGGCGCGGTCAACGGCCGAGGTTATGGCCCGGATCCGGCCCACTGCACCGGCAGATTTGGCTGTAATTGGCGGGACATGGGCCTGCCACGCTTTCGCCATGCCGAATACTTTCGGAGACAAAAAGCGTCGATCTAACGAACGAAAACCGATGCGAAGCCAGAGGCCATATGCGATGGCACGGGTCGAAGCACAGCACGGACATGACAGACTGTCCGGACGATAAAGAGCTGACACGAGCTCGATGCGAACTTCGCTCACCCGTTTCGACACCCGAGCTGTCATATTTCCACCAAATTCCGACTCGCCAAATGTAGATCAGACCATGGTCTCCGACGATAAGGCAGCGGGCTCCACTTTGGCAGTCAGTGAGTGTCACTGACAGGAGGTGTGGCAAACACATCCGCCCCCAGCCCTCTAAAAAAAGGCAGAACGTTGTGCCAGAGCCGCCCTCGCTCAGCGCCCAGGCCGCCGACTGTTACCTCTTGTCTTTGATGAGGATCTGGGCGATGAATTCCTTGCACTCGTCGCTCACATCGTCGAACGCTTCGTCGTCGAAGTCGTACTTGGCGATGGTGACGTTGGCCATCGTCTCGCAGTCCGTGTCGCCCATGAACGGACTGAGACCCGACACCCTGTGGAATAGCCTCAACGTCAGTGGCCAGAGCACCGACTTGTGGGAGTGTGACGACGCGTGGCAGCCACGAGGCGACCACTTCGTCGCTAAAGCAAGAGCTCACTGCTGCGCGAGACGCCCACGGATGTGCCAGTTTCCACTGAGCGCGAGGGAGAGCGTAAGGGAGCGGAGCTGAACTGAGCGGAGCGTGAAGGAGACCACCGTAAAACAACACATGGTCAAAAATGCGAATATTTTTGAAACTGGCCGGCTGGCATCAAAGTGACCAACATCACCCAAGGCACTTTTAGTTGAACAAGGACAGAAACGACAGCGAGCGCGTGGCCCGGCACGTTTCAGAGGCGGCCGCAGTTTTGGCCGCAGCGAGGGAGGAGTTAAGTCCAAAGCAGTGGATGGCGAGCTCGTGGAGCATTCGGAGCGGCCGAGCGAGAGTGTGCTGCCAGATGTCGCCAGCTATCTCCCGACACGGCTGCTGGCGACGCGGGACGGCCATCTTGGCGTTCCTATTTACCGATCCGATAGGCTAATTGCCAGCGGAATGTGAGCAAAGTTAGCGCGGGCAGCGTCCCCGCCAATCGGCGGGAGCTTTTTGACGGGGCTGTGCGAGGATGGATCCTTTGCGAAAGGTGCACGAAGACCTCTCAAAAACACAAGTGTGAAGGTTTTCGGGTCCAGGTACTTTTAGGTCGTTGGCGGAGGTAATGTGGCAAATGCATCCAAATAAAAACGACAGAAAATATCAGCGGTCACATAGCGGGCGGGTTGACGGTGGGCGGAAGCACGTCCCCAACACCAGACGACGCACTCACAGGACGTAAGCGATGACGCCGACAGACCACATATCCGTGGGGTAGCCGATGGCGTCGAAGTTGACCACCTCAGGCGCCACGAACTCCGGCGTGCCGAACAGCACCTGCAGCTTCTTGGTCGGGTCGTACCGGCGCGCCAGGCCAAAGTCGATGATCTTGATCCGGTTGCCGGTCTTTGACAGACAGAGTATGTTCTCCGGCTGGGGGATGAATGGTCAGATGAGCCTTGGCTGCGGGCATCTGATGGTCCCGTAGAGGTGGCGCGTGGCGGCCATCACATCTCTGGAGCTGTGTGTGGCCGGCGGACTCCGCAGCTCGCGAGAACGATGGGGAAGACAGACAGTAGTTGTGGATAACAAATTCACGTAGGAGAATCCCTAAGCGAATTGCAATGGATCTGCAGATCTTGCACAGCGTAAGCCCGATGCGTGCTGTGATATCGTTCGTCACGGGCTGACCTTGCAGTGGAAACCGGCATACACTATCATTCACAGCAGCACTTGTCATGCCGCAGTGCAACTTCTAACAGACACAAAACATTGCATTCAAACAGCGCTTCTTCACACATAGCATATTACGTAAGCATTTGTACGCCACTGCATGCGTCGGCGTACGGCTCATGCGTTTCACTTTAAATGTACGCACTGCAAGGTGAGAAGTTTGAAGGTCATGCTGGCTGTGATCATTCTAGTTGGTGCGCCCCAGAACGCCAATATCATCAATATCTCGGCTGAAGGAATCCGAGACCCTTACTTATGATGTTGCGTACTTAAGACCTACTAGACGTCAGCGGATCTCTCATTAAATGCTGCGCTGGCATTGGCCGTCAACGGCGCGGACGCACACATCCGGCGCCCAGTCAGCCACTCTTAGCACCCGCGCCCCGGGCCGCCGCGTGCGCGCCGCGCGCCCCTCGCGTGGCGCCGGTCGGTGGTATTATTAGCCGGCGGCGGGCGGCGCGCCGTCGCGCGCATTATGAGTAGCTCTCGTTCGCGGTTCGACGCGCGCCTGCCAGCGGGTGGCGCCGGCGGGGTTCCGCGCACGCCCGCCGCGACCGAGGCACGCCGCCGCCCGGCGAAAACTGGGGCGGCCGACGCCAGGGCACAGACCACTGGCGGCGGTTCGGTCGGAGGTGTCAGGCGCCTCAGGTGTTGGACTGTGTGGTGCTGCGGGCTCGGCCGGCGGGGCACGAGATGGGTCATGGCTGTCAATGGTGCGCGGCTCACTGGAGAACGGAGCGCGAGGGTGGGCAACGTTGACGCCTGCCCACGTTGCTTTATGTGTTGCATGTCGGTTGACCTGTCACGATCCGGTTGACCTGTCACGATCCGGTTGACCTGTCACGATCCGGTTGACCTGTCACGATCCGGTTGACCTGTCACGATCCGGTTGACCTGTCACGATCCGGTTGACCTGTCACGATCCGGTTAACCTGTCACGATCCGGTTGACCTGTCACGAGCTGATTGACCTGTCACTTTTTTAGCTGTCACGTGGCAGTTGACCTGCCGTGTGCCAGTTGACCTGTCAGTTAACGCCGCTGCGTACACACTGACCTTCATGTCCAGATGGAGCACGTTCTTCTGGTGCATGAAGCCGACGCCGGCACACACCTGGCGCATGAACATGGCGCAGGCCTTCTCCGTGAGGATGTAGTCGTCCTCGATCACGCGATCGAACAGCTCGCCACCCTCCACCCTGAGGACACGCGCACATGGTGCCGGGGTTACATGCTGGGCGGTGACGCGGTCAGAGGGAGAGCGGTCCGTTAACCGATGCGTCACCTAGCGGAAGCTTTAGATTAATATGTACTCCGTAAAATGGTTGCACATTACATAAGGCAGGCCATAGAGGACACTGTATGCCACGGCAGCCACCACGGAATGCATGAAACCCATCGCACTGAGCGTGTCGCCAACGCAGAAAAAATAATTTTGCTCTAAGTCACCTCAGTCTACCGGGCGGCAAATGGCGCCCGTCGAAGTGTCCGCGACTTGGACTGCCGCCCCGGCCGCTACTGCCCAAGAGACGACCCCCAGCTCACAGTTCCATGACGAGCGCCATCTCCTTGCCGCCGTCGAAGGCGTCGTAGATCTGGATGATGCCCGGGTGCTGCAGGTAGTTCATGATCTCCACCTCACGCTCCACGTCGCGTTTATCGTCGCGGCGTGGCGTCGCCACAAACTTGGCGGCCAGCACGAGGCCGGTGGTCTTGTCCGTGCACCGGTACACGATGCCGAACTTGCCCCTGGCGGCGCGTGGGAATGGCTGAGCGGCGGCAAAATGGGCGCAGCGGCCCTGGATCCACCTCAGCGCAGACACAGTTTACTTACAGGCCGCTAAAATCAACACGCGCCGCTGATGGCGACAGTCAGACCCAAAAAGTTCCAGCAGCAGCTACAGTCAAGCGTGAGCAGCGCAGGAGGCGGCTGCAGCCAGCGGCACCCGTGCCGGGACGGCAGCGTTAGCCGCGCTCCGTCACCGCATAGGCGGGGCCTGACCCGTGACCCCGGATCGTCGTCGCGCGGCCCGGCGCCGCGGATGTCGGCCGAGTCGGGCCGGCAGCGGCTCCCGGCGCCGGGCGGCACAACTGTCACAGCCCGGCAGAATGCGACCAAGGGCAGCAGCACCAATGTCGGGCGAGCCGGCGTCGGCAGCGCTGCCAGCTGGGCTCGGGCGCGCGGCGGCGGGGCCGATCGAGGCCGGCAGGTGGAGACCTGGGGAGGGCGGCTGACACTGCGGCGGAGGAGACTGAGGATCACACGGCGGCGGGGCCGATCGAGGCCGGCAGGTGGAGACCTGGGGAGGGCGGCTGACACTGCGGCGGAGGAGACTGAGGATCACACGGCGGAGGGGCAGATCGAGGCCGGCAGGTGGAGACCTGGGGAGGGCGGCTGACACTGCGGCGGGGAGGCTGAGGATCACACGGCGGCGGGGCCGATCGAGGCCGGCAGGTGGAGACCTGGGGAGGGCGGCTGACACTGCGGCGGAGGCTGAGGATCACACGGCGGAGGGGCAGATCGAGGCCGGCAGGTGGAGACCTGGGGAGGGCGGCTGACACTGCGGCGGGGAGGCTGAGGATCACACGGCGGCGGGGCCGATCGAGGCCGGCAGGTGGAGACCTGGGGAGGGCGGCTGACACTGCGACGGGGAGACTGAGGATCACACGGCGGTAGGGCAGGTCGGCACCGGCAGGCGGGGGCCTGGAGAGGGCAGCTGACACCGTCGTGACCTCTGAGACCTCTGAGACCACCCACCTGCCGATCTCCTCTCCCATCGTATACATCTCCCGGACCTCCGCATTTCGGCGCACCTTCACGTCTCGCGGTGGAAACGGAAGAGCCAGCTCTGGAAACGATGCGCGACGTTAGCGGCCGTTTACTGAGGACCGCTGCCGCCGCCCCTGGCCGGACGCCAGAGGCTGACAGAGATTCTCTGCTCGTGGCTCGCACATCACAAGGGACGGTGCAAAACATGTAGAAGCGAAGCGTGTGCTGTGAAGACATGCTGATCGTGATTGACGGGGCCGATGTTGTAATGGTCCCTGTGCGACCTCGGTACTGGAATGTTACACGCTACGAACAACTTGATCAACATCGATAAAAAGCTACGAACATCACACCATTGTACGGGATTTATCGTCCAGGAGCATTGAGTGGAGCACTGAAACGGAATGGAAACAAACCAATCAGACCATGACGAATTTACCTTGAAGTGGGAGGCTTTCATCCACAAATATGGACATCCTGAAACAGACAGCTCTGATTTAAAACCTGACGATATGACGATCACCAGAACAAACATTTGGGATCATAGTGCGATCCAGGCGACGATTATGTGTCGAGATTCAGGAGCAGCGAACACTGTGCGATCTCTGCGCTCATCGCCGCAAGGGTCAAGGACCACTAAGCGAAGCAGCAGTCGAAAAGCTTGGCTTTTCGCGTAAAGATTTTAGCAGAAAACTTTTTCATTGTACATGAAAGACGCCGGTGCCACGGTGCCGACGGCGGGTGATGAAGCGGTGACAGGCGCCGATGATGCGATGCTGACAGCCGGTAATGAAGCTGTGCTGCAGCAGTGACTGGTCTGAGCAATCACAGCCCTGCCGATGACAGAAAATATCGACCTATACTGGACCCATAGTCGGCTTGAGCCGGTGCTGGAGCCGTGCGAACTTTGCTGGTAGCAGGCGAGAAACAGCGCATCTAGGCAGGATACGGTGTCGGTTTTGAACAAGCACTCGCTGTCAACATCAAGCATGCAGGTACAGCACACTCTAAAAACCAATCCAGAAAGCGGGACTGGCCCGTGGTGAAATTAGAGTAAACTGGGAGCAGCTGGGAGCAGCATTTTGCCATCAGTCAGCGCGCGTGGAGCAGACTTTGATCAGTCCGATGAATGAGAGCATGTCTAGCTTTTGTTAGCGTCCAATGGAAACGAGCCAGTAGTGCGGCCCTGGCGCTTGGCAGCGATCGAGCTCCGCATCTCGACTGATGAGCGGACAGACGCGAGGATAATGCAGACTGATTAGCAGACAGACGCGAGGATAATGCCGCTCTCCCAGCGCGAGGAGTCGCAGCCAAGGCCGATGCCGAAACGGGGACCATGACCGAATCTTGCGGCGGCCCCGATCAGTCAGCGTGTTCAGCACGCTCAATGCATGAGACGGAGGTGCGACCGAAGTCCCGTCAGGAGTTACGTGCATGGCATGGAATGTGGACCGCGACGACGCTCGGCGGCGCTGTCACTCAAATGGACAGCTCGTGTATCGCTGGCCGAGGCGTGGTCACGTGGTCACATGCGCGAATTCTGACGCGACCTTCGAACTTGGAAACTGACGTCGTGTTGGAATCTGTTCCCCACTGCGGGGGCGGCGTGGCCGCCCGCACGGGGACTCTCGGAGCCGACCTGACAACGTCCAGCGTGCAGGCCGCCTTTGACCCGGCCGGACGTACCCCACAGCTGCTGCCGGTGTCAGCTCCGGAGACGAGAAGGGCCATCCATGAACGCACGCCAGCGCGCTCTCCCATCGACACGCTGCAGCACTGGCCGAACCTCCCCTGACCCCGGCGCTGCGTGCGCCCCTGACGCGCGCTGCAGCGCGCCCGGAGGCGCATCGTGCGGGCGCCGCGCCGCGCAAGCCCGACAAAGACGCCGGTCGGCGCGACGGCCGCCGACGCCGCCGCCGGCTGCCACGTCGTCTTATTACGCTTGGACGGCGGCCAGCTAGCCGCATTCTTGGGCGGGCGGGCGGCCGGCGGCAGCCACGACGCAGAGGTCGGCCGCGCTCGGCGAACCGCCCCCAGCGCGGCACGGCCGGCGGGCACGCACCGCGCGGGCGGGGCGCAAGGGCGCGTCTCGAGGGCACGTCAAGCTCGCGTGCTGCGCGCCCCTGCGTGCGTTGTCTGTTGCGAACTTTTGTGACGACCGCCCCGCGACGTTCCGAGCGTTCTCCGACGCGGGAAAGTTCTGAAGGCTCTCCTCCCAGGGAGAGAGGGCTCCAACGCTGGGTTCAGCGCATTCGCACCTACCCGGTCATTCTCGAGGGTGTGCCATTGGAGACATCCCCGATCACACAGGCCGGCGCCATCAGCAGAGGGAGACCAGGGGTCGGGGTCAGGGGGTGGAGATCAGGGGCTGCAGCCGTCACCAGAAGGGCAGTGGCCACATGAGCACGGCAGTCAGTCACCAGATGAGGTCACTGCTGGCCCCGGTCCACACCGCAGAGCTGAGTACACGACAGACCCGCCAACAACAGCACCGCCCTTTCCAAAAAGCCGCCCAGTTCAGGCAGGCGGCGGACATACGCCGCCTCCCTCCGCGCCAGGGCTGGGGGCGTCACCGCGCGGGGTCATCGGTAACGACTGGATGACAGTGACAGTGCAATGCCGCTCTCATCTGACGGCCACGCGGGGTAGTGAGTTTGGCCATCTAGAGTGCCCGGATTGGTGACAGGTTACATTATGTGGGTCGTGTTTCGTGCACGTTGTTTGGTAGCGTAGTCAAGCGCGGCACTGGGCCAGATGCCGATGGCATCCATCACTCAACTTTACATGGTTTATGGATACGTATCTTGGAATGCGGACAGACTCGCTTACGCCCCCGCAAGGACGTTCATAAAACATCTTCACAAAACTGCAGAAGGGGGTCTTGTGTGACATCAGATTGGTTCAAGTTCTCTTCAGGGCCGTACGCTTGCCCCCCCCCCCCCCCTCAGTCCTGAATTTGCGGAATTTAGTTTAGTTTCAACCAGGGATGTTCTTAGCGTCGGTTAGGGTGAAAGCGACACCATTTTGCCTACGTCTCGGCAAAAAAGCGTCTTTTCGCACTTTCAGGTAGCTTTCAGAAAGTTGTGATTCGGTTCTAGTGTTATAATCGACTCGAGCGGACTGCCGCGACCATGAGCAGAGGTCATGCACACCGTAAAATAACTGCCCAATACATTACGATCTCATTACAAACATATACGGACGGCGATGTGGGCTACCATGACGGACTTCCAACCAGACCGAACCCTGTACTAAGGTCATACGGCAGCTTGGCTGGCGGAAGGGAGGGAGGGGGGGGGGGGGAGAACACCGTCCGCGAGTACGGCTCGAGCAGGCGGAAAAGTAAAAGCTGTACGGAATACGACATTAGAGAACACGGTCAAGAACAGTAGACCGGAGAAATGTTCAAGACGGATAACGCATCTGCAAAATTATCTGCAGGTAAGAAGGGGATTGAAATAGGAATCCAGGTACTTCCTGGACCCTTCTGCCAAAGACGTGCCATCCAGCTCCAATGCCGACACGCTGGTGTGTGGCAGCATACGGCATATGCGACTTCTCACACACCACCTGACTCTCTTCTACATAAACTTAAGGAACATCTTGGGGCCGTAGACATAACACGTGTTACTTAGTAAGCCGCTTGATAATTCCCACTTGCAGTTCTCCGAGTCCGCTTTGTCACCACCCGGTATGCTTAAGATTGACTGATCAGTCGCCGGACAATTATGAAACGTCATAATGCGTGGCTGCTGCACATACAAAATCAATGGCCAGTTCACGGCTGTCAAGGCGATAGCCGAGATGGAAGCTGACCTGAATAGTGATCTCAGAAACAGACCTGCCAATGACAACATTCCGAATACAAATGGCAGCGTGATTGTCGAAACATATGATGTTAGTTGAATGGCATAATTTGTGAATGACAGCATGACAGCACTGAGTAATAATGCAATCATTGATATAGGACTGGCAGGCAAACCAGGTGACTATCTACCAACCTTCCGCTATTTCTATGTTAGGACGCGTTAATGTTCCGTGTTTGTCGCAATGCACGGGGGAGGGGCAAACGGACGTCACGTTATGATCAGCGCAGGAATGCTGAGCACGCGTTACATGTCAGCGTCGCTCCAAGCAGGACTCGCGGCCATAGCTGCAGCTTGATACAACGCTGCGAATACAGGACGGCACGTCGTATTACATGAGAACGCCGACAAGAACCGGTCACAGGCGAATGGCGATGAGCCGCCTCTGCATGCCGGTCTTCGCACACGTCATATCAAATGTTTTTTATTAACGGAGACATGCACCATTCCATTTAATCGAAATCAGGAAAAACGGGTGATATTAAGACGGGCGTTCTAAAGCTAATTACATTCTAGTACCATCATACAAATCTAAATAGTCCGACGTGGGAAATTCGAGTTGAACGAGCCCGATTCTACAATCATGCAACTGACTTAGCATAATTTCACACCACTGGCATTTGGTCGGCTGAAAATACACCGGCGCAACCATGTGCGGTCGACGGCCACCCCCGAACATTGCGCTGGTTACAATTACCTGGTATCGTGCCAAGACCAGGGCTGCAGGCGGAGCGCCGGCAGCAGGCGCCCGTCCGCCGGCAGGAGAAGTCACGCCACCGGCAGCAGAAGTCGCCGCGCCGCGTCCGACGGCGAGCCCCGATCGGCGGTCGACGGGTGCCCGGCACGTCCGGGCGACGGTGCTGCCACGCAGCGGCGGAACAGTTGGCACCGCGCCGCCGACGCCACCTCCTGGTCAGCGTCCAAATTACCACCCCCGCCGCCGCGCATCGCAAACAAACGGGCGCGCCCGGCCCGCCATCTGTGATCGCGGCGTCGAACTGCGCCGCCAACGAGGTGAGAGGGGCTGGACGAGCTGGCCGCCTTCTCAGAACTTTTGCGATCCCTGTCACCCTCCCCGAGGTGTCTCTATAAGGCATCAATGTCAGCTGAAAACCGCTATTGCCCAGCGCTCGGCACGTTCAAACCTTCTGGCACTGGCCGCTGCGTAGGTCTAAAGCCAAATGTTAGGCGGGCCCTCGTAGCCGCTGGAGAACGTCCGTCTCATTATTTCCACCTCTGCACATTTACTATACACATATGATCACACAATCTAACCCATGCTCTTATTATGTCCCATTCCAGGACTATCCAGCAGTCATGGGCTGTGTGCAGTGACCGACCTCAGCTCCCGCTGCTGGCTGAGTGCCTGACAGCCGGCACGGAAGACATGCGGTTGCACGAGCCTCCGGGGCACCCATGTGTACTCCTTTCAACTCCAGTCCAGCATGCGCCCTCTCCCATCTCACACCTTCCGAGATTTTTCGTGGTCATGCGGGTCGAAGGGTTCGACGAGAGTAACGTCAACAAGTTGTACTTTCAGGTGCCCCGACAGCGCGATGCGTGGTGAAATGTCAGTCACCTCAGCAGCATCCCGGCGCATTGCAAGAACACGGGAAGTGTAGCGGAAGGTCGTAACAAATGTGTATTTCGTGCGTATTCAAGGACACGCTGTTTACTTTCTTCAACGGGAAATTGCAGCTCGGTACTTTTCTGCAGATTGGTTCGTCCCAGAGTGAGCGGGTGCCGTCAAAAATTGCCCGAGAACTCCTCGGCGCCGAGCGTGAATCTTCGATAGCAGTTGGGCCGCAGCGGGTTCGGCTTCGGTGTCGCACCCAACGCCTGGCTCAGCCTCCACAGATCCCCGAGCCATTCAAAACACACCACGTACAAAAAGAGCGTGATACAATCTTCCACCAACCGCAACACGAGCCTTCCCGCACTCTCCAGGAGCGAAACAGCCCATCGCTTCCAACGAACAACGGTCTTAACGCGCTGCTCGAACCACAGACTGCCCGGTAGGCAAGGCAGCACGGCGACCGAGGTCACCACCGGGTCACGGAAGGTCACGCCCAGTAGCAGCAGGAATAGGCCAGAGGTCAGGGCCAGGTCGGGGCCGAGCGGAGTGAGGCCCTCCTGCACCACGGACGTCAGCGCGCAGGAGGCAAGAATGCTCAGCGGCAAAACCAAGATGAAGCGGACGGAAATCCGGTAAGCGATGGAGACGAGGACCAGGATGTGGGAGAAGCAGAGTCCGGGGTTCTTCAGTCCGTCGAAGTTAAAGTTGTTGTATGGGAAGAAGAGAAGCGATGTTTCGGCGAACAAAGCCATGTAGAACGGGACGAAACTTGAGGTTAGAAATGTGTTCGCGCAGGACCACACCATGAAGACGACGGTATCAGCAGAGCAGCTTCACAAGCTGCTCCGCTGATATCCTGCAGTACGATGTGACTGAAGCTTTGAATTTTGAATTTTTGAAACTGAATTTTTGAAAACAGAAATACAAGCAAATGGGGTTAAGCCATGTTTGCAGGTGACGCAACGAATTTGCTAATTAGTCAAGAATGTCGACGGCCACAACTCTACATGGCTGACACAAATTTCGGATGGCCGAATGAAACCGACTGAAACAGCGGCAAGAAAGTCGCATGTTCTCAGTCTGTTGGTTTTCGAATCCCTCTCGCGACAAAATGCACCACATCACTTCCATCACGGCGGGCTCGCGATGCATTGATGGGCATGTCCAGCGTGACAGCTGGCGCGAAGTAGAGTGTAGAAGATATTGGAATCATATCAGACCGGTTGCACACATATCGCTAAAACCTAAGCCCGGCTCACTTCCATTTGGACCAAATATCATGCACCGCGGTGGTGGAACATCTGAAATGGAATCCTGCCCCCGATAGTCCACCAGTCGGGAATTACCTTAGGACGGATGCAGGCAATGACAAAATACTACTCACTGCTGTCTTTACGTAAAACGAGGACTTCTTGCTCCATATATTATTCAGGTGTACGGGCGAATCATCACCAAGCCTTCATTTGTCAGCCAAAACCTGAGCAAGCAGCCAGTTTCGGCCCAGGCTCCCCGACATTAACGCAGCAACAGCATTCGTCACGTAACCCACACCGCAGTAACAGTGGCCGGCCACTTCATCACACCCAAACGTACGCGCCTCCCCCGCCCCTCCCCACCTCATCACGCGGCCAGCGACATCACTGGAACCAGCGCGCGCCGGCGGCCGGCGCCGCTGCCAGCTTCTGCCGGTACTTGTCCACCAGGCTGGTGAACTTGACGTCGTCCGGCCGCTCCTTCTGACGACTCTTCACCGCCTTCTTCTTCTCGCGTCGCGAGTTCTTCTTCTGGAAGCGGTGCAGTGAAATGCATGAAACACGGCAGGCAGCGAGGCATTCTGACAAGGATGCAGTTAAAATAATCACACACGTTTCAAAAGCATAACCTTCATGAAGACGGTCCCCGATAAAATGCCAACCAAATCCGCGGAAACATAAGGCCATAGTTATGACAGCTGAGTCTGGAGCTGTCATCACTACACAACATGTAGAGCATTATGGATGACAGGTTTCGCGTCAAATACAGTGCCAGGCAAAAGCGGTGCCACTTAAGTATAGAGAGAACAGCGTGGTGAAAGACGAGGATTGAATACACCTTGAACTGACATGCATGCTGCAACAAGATCACGGCGTCATGATGAGACATTAACACTGCTCTTACACTTCACACTCAATCATAACCTTATCAAATTAAGCACCAGGTCGAGCCCCCCCCCCCCCCTTCCCATGTGGGATTCTCCCCACCTTGTCGGCGGTGGCCGGCTGCTCCCAATCTTGCACCACGTCCCGCTTCTGGCCGGCACGCTCGCGCCGCTGGCCGCGCCCGCCCGCCTTCAGCATCTTGCGCGTGATGGCCTTGGCGTTCTCCCTCGCGCCGGCGCGCTCCTTCAGCTTCGGCAGCGCCTTATTGGCGCGGTCGGCGGCCATGCCGGCGTGTGCGGGGCGGGCGGGCGCAGCGGCGGCGGCAGCGGGCCCGGGTCGCGTCCGCCCGGCAGCAGCCGCCCGCGCCCGCCTGCTGCCGCCACCGGCCGCCGCCGTCGGCGCCGGCGCCGCCTGCGTGTTCATCTGGCGACTCTTCTCCTCGCGGCGCCGGCGCGCCTCCAGTGCGGTCCGGTTCTCCACGGCGAACTCGACGATCGGCCGCTGAAACAGCGCGAGAACGTGAGGGGCCGACGCTGAGGGCGCACGCGAACGTGAGGGGCCGGCGCCGCGGGCGCGCGCGGACAGAGGGGGCCGACGCCGCGGGCGTGTGCGGACGTGACGGACCGACGCCGTGGGCGCGTGCGGAAGGAGGGACCGACGACGCGGGCGCGCTCATGAGGAGACGCTCGACTACACGTGACTCAACGATGACCGAGGCCCAGATCCACGGCTGGTGGAGGACCACGGCGAGCAGACCTAGCGCGCAGGCAGCCAGCGGTCCATCGGACTCATCAGTGACACGCGCACCTCTGTTCTCCGGCTGGTCCTCGGAGTCCCGGCAAATGCCAGGTGAACTTAGCAGCAAACATCGAGACAAACAGTCAACGGCCTGATCATATCGCTGCTGAGAAGACAGTCGTCTACTTATGCGATTACGCATTAAACTGGGCGGATGATTGTGCAAACGAAATCTCCCCAGGGCCGGTAGCTTGGACCTGGGTCGGCTCCCGGCAGTGGGCGGTCCTCCACGTGTTCACTAACGCATCATCGCCGTCCAGAGTGATACCAGTGCAGAGACCCAGCGTCACAGGAGCGAGGAAACGTACCCTGTTTTGCGTGAATATCTCCGGGTTATTGTTGATGTTGCGCAGCGCCGCCAGCGACTGCTCGTGCTCTGCGAAGGTGACGAAGCCGTACTCCTTGGACTGGCCCCGGGGGTGGGAGGTCACGTCCCTCCTGTCTCGCATCACACGAGCCTGCCAGAGAGGGCGCCCTCTTACTGAAGAGCAGTCGCCAATTCACTGGCGACGGCAAACAATCAACTGGCGCCCGCTAGCGAGCAATCCGTGCCAGGGAATGCAGTCTTGCTTCACACTGTTTGCCAACCCCGAACATTACGGTACCAGCAAAATATGTAACATACTTACGTTAACTTCTGACTGTAAAGCAGCATCGCATCATACAGCGGTCAATAAAAGCAAACGACAGCTCTTCCAAAAAAACAAAACAAAACAAAAAAGATAACGTTTTTGAGCATGATCAAAATTAATGCAATGAAGATTAAATCGCCAACTTATGTCATGTTATGATACACAACTTGGGCCGAAAAGTCGGTGCATTTCTCCCTGCAGCCTCCTCAGGATTTGGCGTTGGTAACTGTATTGACATGGGCATAGGATATTTAATTTACCTCACAAACGAGTCAATCATCGCTTCATTAGTGCTTGCTGCACTGCCTGCTGTGTGTCAGTAGCGCGCTACACTAAACCAGCTGCCTGCCACAACACACCAAATGCAAAGCGAATCGTGCGACATTTGCAGCCACCTAAGCCGCGCACGACGAGCCGGGCCACCCCTCAGCAGTGTACGGCCGCCGCTGGCATGCGGCCGGCCGCGCCCGGCGCGACGGCCGCACCTCTGTGATCTGAGCGCCGGCCGGCGCGCCGCTCTGGAAGATCTGGCGCAGCTTCGCGTCGTCCACGTCCGCCGGCACGTTGTGCACGCACAGGCGCACAGTCGACACGAACATGTTGAGGTTCTTCAGCATCTTGGTCTTCCACTTCTCGAGGCCGACCCGCTTGTTGAGGTCGGCCCTGGAGACGCCCTCGGCGGCCCGGCTGCCCTCGCGCACCACTGGGGGACGGCAGCGAGCGCTGGGAGGCGTCCACACGACAGCTATCGATGCCGGTCGGCACGTGGCGACCGCGCTGATCACGCTCTCAACAGAGAAGTTCAATGTCCAGATGTTTAGAGAGACGCATTGACAGTAAGTAACAGTATGAACCATGTTTAGACTGTGTCACTGACTACCAGTGGGACAAGCAGCCGAAGCGCTGTTAAACATTCACATTATCCTTATACTAGCGAGGCCAATAAGCTTCCAAGCAGTGGACTGCAGCTTGTATGGATTGCTTGTCAACTGGCCAGCCACTTCTCGGGCTATTCTTGTACTATAAGACCAACACGATTCGTCTTGCGTCATACTCGCACTCGCATAAACGCATTCGAACTAGATCGATGGGTGCGCTACTTGAACCACAAATCCCAAAAAAGCACGGCAAAATTTGCGCCCTATTTCCTGATGCTGAGCTGACCACCTCGCACGACACATCCTGGTAACGATAGAACACGCGCAAAATCCGCCACGCCGCGTACACCAGGAGAAGCACGTGCGACACACCCCGGTCTACTTACGTCCCTCGCGCGCCAGGTAGAGGTTGCGCCTGTCCTTGCCCTGCACGGCGCGCCCCTTGTCGAGCTGGCGGCGCTGCTGCAGCTCGCGTCGATCGACGGCCGGCAGCACCTCGATGCGCCGGTCGTCCAGCGTGAAGCGGGCGGTGTTATCGGGGTCGGCGGCCGCAGCCAGCGCCGCCTCCGCCTCCGCGCCGCTCTGCAGACGGCGGACGGTGAGCCCGGCGGACGCCGCACACACGTCAGCGGCCCGAGGCGGCTCAGGGGCCGGTGCCGGGGCGGTGCAGGACCGGCGGTGATTATACTGTGTGCCCAACTGGACAGTGGTCACACCCTAACTGTCTAACAAACCACTCCGGTGTACACGGGAGTAAAGATCCCGCGACGACCCGCACGACAAATATCTGCGCTTTTTAGCTCTCCTTTACAGCTCTGCAGCCGGTAACTGGGGTGGGCAAGCGTTCATCGTACAGCTACATCCCAATCCAACGCCCAGCTATATGTTGGAAGACGATGACACTTGCCGAGAAGCAAGAATGGCCAGGCTATCCCTTCACTGCGGTCTGTCCACAGCCCCGCAGGCCGTCCATACCTTGAATTGTACGAAGGCTGTTCCACGCGGGTGCTCCGTCAGAGGATCGATGCAGATGAGTGCGTATTTCACGCGACCAAACTGAGAAAACAACTCCTTCAGTGTGTTCTTGTCCGTGTCGAATGACATGTTTTTAATGAACAGCGTGGTTCCTTCGCTGACGTCGCTCTTTCTTTCGCGTTTTTGTTTTGTGAAGTTGGCTTCTACTTTAGCCGCACCATCGTCCGACGCATTGTCTTCTGCGAATCCATCGTCACCAGGAGAGTCGTCGTCGCTGTCTTCACCTTCCACGCCGGAATCAGCGTCAGACCCCGGCTCGGAATCGCCGCTTTCAGCGCCCTCATCGCTCTCTTCTTCACCCGAGGAGGACCCACCCTCTTCGTCTTCTTCCTCCTCTCCTTCGCTTTCGTCATCAGAGGAGTCCAAAGCGGCGGAGTCTGGTTTTTCGGATGACCTGAAACAGCGTGGAAATACCTCACACGTGCCCCGCTAAAAACCACGAAGAGATCCTGCACTGAGACGGGGAGAATGAAAGGGGCTCATCATACAGACGCTCTCTTATACAATTACTGAGCAGGCTTGAGAATCGGAACCGGAAATCAAAATTATATATACCACAACAGGGCTTCAACCTACCAGTTCTTGCGGCAATGTTCCTGATGACATGATTGCCAAGCGCGCCTTCGCCAAGCGCACCAAATGCCAGACAGACGCCTCCGCAGCGGCACATGCGGTCACACCTGAATGGGAGGGGTGCGACACCGGGAGCGCTTGGGCGGACGGAGCTGTGTCAGATCTGTACAACACAGCACGTGTTGCGCATGCGATCCTAATGTTACCCGCGCCTGTGTATTTTTGGCACCTGTGAGCGATGGAGCCGTCGTCTTCCTCTTCTCCGCCCTCGCCTTCTTCGTCGACATCTTCGTGCGTCCTCTTGCGTCCCTTGCTGCTGTCTGGAGCGGGTTTCTGTGCAGCCTCATAGCGCGCCTTGTCTACGGCCCAGTCCACCACGATCGGGCGACCTGGCGATACAATGTCATGTGGCGATTGGAGCGTGGCCGAAACTCGGCGGGTTCACGAGGCCTTGCTACGATTTAAGCACTTAAAATACAAGCGGATTGAAAAAGGAATTTGTATTTCAGCACTTTAAATGGAGAGTTTTACATATGTATGAGGTTTTCAACTGAAACAGCAATCTTGAAGACCATTCGGTGCAGTTCACAGACCTTCTCATCTTAAGACCTGAGCCCTTCTTGTTTCTGCGCTATACGCCCGGGAAGATGTGCACTTCTTCGGGGAGACTACTTCAGAGTCACCTAGGTATCCACAATGCCACTGAAACGCCATTCAAATCCTGCCACTCCATTGGGCATGCAGCGATCAAGGCCAAGAAAAAATGTACTTGTTGACCGGTTCATATCTGGCGCTCGTATGCACGATTTCCAGATCTTTCAGGTCAATGGGCTCTCAATGTTGTGCAAGGTACGATAACGTAATCAAACAATGACGTATTATGTGGCATATTTACTTAACAGAGAAATCGTGTCATCTGGGGCAGCCTTTTCCACTTACAAGCATAACAATAGTCACAAGTGAGCTTATTTCATCACATCTAATGCTCGCTTCATTATCTCCAAATGTGGAACACTTCCTTTTATGCTAATTACTAAACACGTTTTAAGATTAATCTTGCTCTGGCGCCGTGGGACAGTTCGTGCCCCAACCGTACATTTACGAGAACATGATTCCGAGGTCCTGTCGCTAGACGCCGCGGGCCATTTTGCGTGGGTACTTTATATTTACGCATTAACTGTACAGTTCCAACCCCACAAATGTACCTCGAACCACAGCATCCTCTAGTCTCGCTTGAAAAATAGTCAGGTGAATTTGGGTAAATAATTAGTCACGAATTTCATACCTAATGTCACGCCGTTTAAAACAGAAGCCGACAAAACACTGGGCCGGAAGCTGCACACAAACCCAATGTTTGGACCATGGTCAGAGCTCTGCTCACTGCACTGTGCCTTCACCTGCCTTACCCAAGAATGGTTTAGTATTGCGCTTTCTGATGGCCTCTTCCGCGTGCTTTTCATGCTTGTACTGGATAAAGCCGCATCCAACGAGCAAGTCCATTAGGCTTCTTCAGCAGCTTTACTTTCTGTGACAGGGCCCAAGGTCGCAAAGTGCTTTCGAAATGACTCCTCTGTAACCTGGTGCACATAGTATGTTACCATTGGGATCACATCATTATACCATGGGTATCACATGTGGTGCTACAATCTTTACCACATAAGCAGTTGAACAATACCCCACATAGACTGTCAGCAACTCAAATCAATGGGATAGATCACAACCATGTCACATGAAAGAGTGCAAGCAGATCTTATCAAAAATGTGAGCAAGATGCATAGTCATACCTTGAAGGACAAATTTCTGACAATGAGTCGGCCCTTTTTGTTTGGAAGAGCATGGTGACTGAATGCCTCCGCAGCCACAACCGCTTGCCAGTTTCTGCTTTTTGGGAACAGGTCTTTCCTTTGGTTCAGGATTTTCAGAGCTTTTTTGTGTGACTTCATTTTTATTCTGTTTTTGTTTTTGCTTTCTGTTTGAAACAGACACTTTAAGTTTGTTTCCCCTAATGGTGGCATCTTGCAGCTCCTCAGCAGCTGTGTCAGTATCTTCAGGCAATGCATATGTCACAAATGCGTATGCAGATGCCTCATCTTTCGCTGAAACAAACGTGTGTCAAAATGGGAGTAGAGGTGATTTTCATTGACTTAAAAATATATCTGGCATGATTCATATGACTCCTACATTCTACTGCATCACCATGGAGATACAACTACCCAAAAATGTGTGAAACAATTCAATAAAAGATCAAGTAATAACTGCCAACAAATAAATGGCCATGGTTAGCCAATAGCATGTGGCATACATGAAACTAGGCCAGAGAGGCTTAAGGAAAGAAATATAATAAACATAAATATGACACCAAAACAATCATTACCTTTCACAACAAAGCATTTCTTGATTGGTCCTGTTTCACCAAATACATCTTCAACTTCTGCTCTGGTAGCATCCACAGGAAGATTCCCCACATAGAGGGTTGCAGACTTCACCTTGGAGGCCATCACAGCTTATTGTAGCATTTGGTGGTGACTTAGTTAATCAAATGGCTATGAGAAAGGGAAGATAATGTCAGATGTGATAAAACACATGACATGTACAGGATTGCATTCATTGTTAATCCAACTTGTGGTTATGCATATTTGTGATCTGATCATAAGCACACAATCAAAATACAAAAGCCAAGAAGAATTGCACATTTCTTTGTTGTTGGAAAGTATGGAGAAGAAGAAAACAACCCCAGAAAGGGAGAGTTTGGTAGCCCTTCTATATCCAACATATCCAGTGCAATATTGGGTTTTTCAGTCCGGAGCATTGTCCCCAGCTAAAGCGATCTGATCGCTCAGGCCATAGCTGACAAGCACAACAGGCAGTATTTCATCTGAACATATTCTTCTTTAGTAAGGTAAGCACCTATATAGAACACACCCTTTAGAACAATACAGATAATATGAACTTAACGCTTGAGAGATTAACGCCTAACGATTAAGATAAGCAGTGTGGTGGACTGGGTGAGTGCGTGGTAATTTACAAATGTAACCAAATCTGACTACCATATGCCAATCAGATTTGACAGAATGGTGCGTTACACAGATTTTCCATATTTCTTCAACATTCATCTCAGTGTGCCACTGTTGACTGATTTAAATGAGATCGAGAACCTCAAATCCCCAATACGCACGTGGCGGTCTCAAGCCCCTCCAGCTTGAGCACGCACGGGTTTGGCGCAGGTGACGGCAAATGTCAAAGGAAACCGGCGTCCCAAGAAGAAAGGCCCCAAATTTATCATGACGTAAATATGACGCATTTGGAAATAGTTTTACGAAAGGATTGAAACACGACACTAGGATCACTGTGAAAAGATTGTGGTTCAGACTTTCATCATCATATCGTGTGTTGCCTGTGCATGACTTTGTGATTGTGCACATGCTGTTGGTGTCGCACGCAGTATTGGCTTGCATGGTGGCTGGTCGTGGACACCATTGTTGCTGCATGCTGCATGCCCTTATGATAGCTCTCAAGGCTTCATGCTGTGTATGGCTAGTTGCCAGCTAACGAGTCCATCGCATGTGTTGCGGAAAAGGAGCGTGTAGTTCGACGGTGTACTACTTTCCGAATAAACTACAGTTTGACAGTTTTCACAATATGGTGTGTTGGTATATGTACAGCGTTTCGGCCAGCAAAGTCCCGGGCTGTTGTCATGTGCTGCTGAGTCACGAGAATAGCTGGATGCTGTTTGGCGTCGAACCACGTATGTTTCACAACAGGAATTCTCTTCTTGAAATTGGTGGGATTCGAGCCAGGGTCTTCTGATGGTGAGAGAAGGACTTGAGAGTTCTACCAACTGAGCTAGCCGGGAGGGGAAGGCCGTTTAGATATTAGCCTTCTAGACGACGGCAACAGTTTGAGCAGTAATTATGTCAGACGTTGTTGGCAACCCGGGGCGTTATTTCGAAATATAATGTATCAGTGACGTCATTAGACCACAACCTTGGCAAAATAACAACAGTCAAAACGGACCGCAAAGAAAACGAACTTCTCAAATACAGCGGAAACTGGCGAGGCTGTGTCGAAAAGTAAGCATTCATAAACAAAAAGTACTTCTTACATCGTTAGATAGCGATTCGCGTTCGAGTACTGCTGAAGCCAACACGTTCCGGCCGTCTGGGGTGGCGCGTGTTGGTGTCTGGATAAGTGTAGAGCATTTTTGACAGGCCATACGAACGGTGGAAGCGAGTTCTGTGGGGTCACATTTAATTTACTTCTGAATTTCTTCCTGTTTCAAGACTTCGGGTGAATCTCAGTGTAATGTTCTTTCTTCTTGGTGGTGATGGAGTGAAGTGAAGATGACTGGGCCGAGCCGACCCGGTAAGCGAGTGCGTACAGATTAACTTTTCTTTTCTCAGGTAGGGGGGGAATCCTCAGGCTCATACCTGAAAATAACACTCAACTCAGGGAAATCATTCAAGTCCAAAGGTTGGCCATGGATCCAGATGTGCGTGAGAGGAGTTCTGGGAGGCTCTGAGAAGGTTGAAAAGGCGAATCTTCTGGCTGCAGGCAGCCTTCTGATAAAAACCAAAAAATCATGGACAGACTGAAAAGTTCATGAAAAACAAAAAGTTTGGGAATGAGGAGTGTGAGGTTGTTCGGGAACAAAGAATGAACACATCCAGGGGAACCATCATTGCATATGACCTTGTAGATTTGTCCGAGACCGAGATTGTGGGATGGCTGGGTGAATTTGGGGTAGTGGGTGCTCGGAGATTCACCAAGAGGGTGGATGGAAAGATGGAGAATACCCCAACCATACTTTTGACATTTGACAGGTCCTCATGCCCAGCCAAAATGGAGCTAGATTACATCACATACCATGTCCACCAATATATCCCCAACCCACTGATATGTTTTGGTTGTGGCAGATTTGGCCACACTGAAACAAGATGCCCTGGTGATCCCCTATGCCTTCGTTGTGGGAAAGGAAAGCATGAAGGGGAATGTGAGCGCTGGTGTGTGAACTGCAAACAGTCAGGACACTCATGCATGGCCAGAGAGTGTGAAATATGGAAAAAAGAAAAGGAGATATGTAAGATTAAAACTGAACAAGAACTCTCATACCCTCAGGCTAGAAGGCAATATGAAAAAGAGCATGACCCCCCTGTCCTGAAGTCATATGCTGCAACTGTCCGGCACCCAAGTGTGGCTCCCACTAACAAGCAGCATGATGACCTCAGGGAAAAAGTAGGAAAACTGGAAGAAAAGGTGGGTGAGATGATTGCTCTGCTTCAGCAACTGCTGATGAAACAAGGTGCCCAGGGGAATACCAGGGGGAGGGATGACAGTACCAGACCTGTAGGTAGACAGGATGAGGAAGTTGAGGTGGATGTTATAGCGGAGGGACAGAAGGACACTCAAAAAGATGAGCAGGAAACCTATGAGAGGAGGAATGATGGAGAGGTTCAAGTGATGCAGAGAGATGATGTAGAAAGTGAAAGAGTGGACAGGGAGATGAATCATATGACTGTGGAGCATAATGAGGAGATGGAGGGTTGGCAGAGAGCATGTAGGGCAAAGAAAAAGGACAAACAACAATGTAACATATCTGAGGTACCTAATGACACTACCCCATCACCAATGATTAGCCGAGCAGGGAGATCTACGGAGAGGCCGAAGAGAAACTCCAGCCAAAGGAGGTCATGGAAGGAAGACTAACTAGTATTGAAATGGAGTGAACCACGTTTCTTTCTTCTTTGTTAATAGCTGAATAGTTTGTTGGTGATTGGTTGACAGGTATGTTGAATATTTGAATGAATAGGCCAGCAAATTCAGACGTTCTCCACGTAACTGTTCTCGTGCGGAGGGCATACAGAGGTCGGTGGTGTTTGTTTTCATAGTTATTTTAGGACCCTTAATGCCGGGATTGTTATGCGAAATGGTTTGCAAAGTTGAGGGAGACTTAAATAACGAGTTCATGGTGTTTTTCGGAGGCAGCTGCGTTTTCGGTTTGAGCAGAGGTCGCCCGGTTGGGCTAGTCCCAGCCCACTTGGTTCTCGGAGGTAAGGTTAAACATCCAGGTGCGATACCTAATTCGGGTCAGGGGGTGGACGAGCTGAGGTTGTTTGTCTCGTGGAGGTCACCCTTCGGAGGGTGCGGGGTGATCCTTGCCGGGGGCAATGGTACAGGCGCTATTTCCACTCGACCGGCCGGAGCGCGTCTGGTTCCGACCGCGGGGTTGGGGCTGGCTGGGGAGGGGAATAAGGGAAAGGGAAATGTGTATGTACTGAGATGTTTTGTTCGCAGTTACAGGACAAGTAGTACATACCGATGTTTGGCATATTTATTAATTATTTATCTGATTTTTTCATGTTTTTGGTGGCGGTCCTTTGTTGGATTTCGGCGTTCGGGCTGCGCATTGGTTGTATGTTTGTGTGTGGGGATATGGTACGCGGTACAGGCTACTCGCGTGATTTTCTGATGTTCAAGTTTAAAAGTTCAATAAATGTCGAACTGTTGTCGGCGTGTGTGCTTGACTGGACGGAGTCTGCAGTCTAAGGCAACAATAAAATGACTTTCAGCATTATGCAGTGGAACTGTAGAGGTGTGATTTCAAAGTGGGCGGAGATAAAACCACTGCTGCTGGCAAGACCACATAGTGCCGTATGTCTCCAAGAGACACACTTCCTCCCTACTGACCAATATGATTTCAGAATTCCCGGATATACTCTTTATAACGCTTATTCTGACGCACATATTAGACGAGGCGGAGCATCAATCTACGTCAGCAACGACCTACCTCATTTTCAGGTCACACTAAATACTAATTTTCAGGCGGTGGCATGTTCGGTGACAATGGGGCATTCTCGTATTTGTGTTTGTTCTTTATACTTACCACCAAACGAGAATTTGACGTACCTTGAACTGAACGACTTGGTTACACAGCTACCGCAGCCGTATATCATAAACACGGACGCCAATAGTCGGCATTTCTTATGGGGTGCAGACCGGTGCGATTCTCGTGGAAAGGTGTGGGAAATGATAATACGGCAACATGCCTTAAAAGTGATGAACGATGGTTCCCCAACCAGAATGGACGAGTACACAGGATTATGGTCACATATCGACCTGACTGTGACGTCAAGCAGTGTGGGACAATTCATGCATTGGCAAACGGACACTGACTTACACTCCAGTGATCATCTCCCAGTTTATATTACATATGATAGGTATGGAGATATTCCACCACGACGTGACGAATTTACTGGTTGGAATATTAACAAGGCGAACTGGTCTGAATTTACTGACAGATGTTGTTTGCGATTCAATGAAAGGGACGGTATGCAAAACTACCAAAACATTACGAAGGTTATGCTGGGAGCAGCAAAAGAAAGTATTCCTCGGAAAATCAGAAACACCAAATATAGCTGCCCCTGGTGGACTGACGAGTGCAAGGAGGCAATTCGGGCAAGGAAACGGGCGCTCAATCGATTCCGACGTTCGCACACACATCTGCATTTATTGGCTTATAAGGAGGCGAAGGCGAAAGCCAGAAGGATAATTCGTACGGCAAAGAAAGATTCGTGGGAAAAACTATTGCATATGTTCAATGTGAATACGCCGATACAACACTTATGGGACATCATTAGGAAATTTACCAGAAAGGAGCGATTTGCGAGACCCTTACCTGTTCTGAAGGTGGCTGGTAACATAATTGACGACCCAACTGAAGTTGGAAATATCTTCGGACGGTTGTTTTCTGACATGTCGTCCTCTCGGAACTACCGAGCCACTTTTAGAGAGCTGGAATGGCAGATGATGGATCAAATGCCGTCATTATTTCTGACAATGAGGAGGTTTATAATGATGTATTCACGATGACTGAGCTACAAATGTCTATTGCTAAATGCGGCAATACATCCATTGGACCGGATGAGATACATTACGCGTTTTTTAGACACCTACCTGATGAACAATTGCATTCAATTTTGGAAATGATGAACTGCATATGGTGTGGAGGTGATATCCCTGATGAATGGAGACACTCGATTATTGTTCCTATTTTGAAACCAGGCAAACCTAGGGAAAACCCTGAGTCATATAGACCAATTCAGCTAACTTCATGTTTTAGCAAAATAATGGAACGAATGGTCGCCAGACGGTTATCCTGGTTTCTTGAGCGGAACAATATGTTGTCTAAATATCAGTGTGCATTTAGGAATGGAAGAAGTACCACAGACCATGTAGTCAGGCTGGAGTCCGAGATTAGAAAAGGTTTTTTCTACAACAAATATACCTTGGCTGTTTTTTTGGACCTTAAAAATGCATATAATCTCACGTCTAAAGTTGCTTTGCTCACAAAATGTTTAATATGGGTTTTAGAGGACGCCTTATGTATTTCGTTAGATCGTACCTTGATAACAGAACCTTTCAGGTGCGCAATGGAACATTATCGGATACGTTCGAACAGGAAAACGGCTTAGTCCAAGGAGGAGTTATATCCCCGATATTGTTTAACATCATGATTGATGACGTGTGTGGAAATGTCCCGAGTGAAGTGTCCCGAGCGCTGTACGCTGACGATTGCTCTCTATGGGTGCAGGGAAGGAGAATTTTTCATCTAGTTAATAAAATGCAGGGGGCGTTGAACCATGTGAGTGCATGGGCTGATCGGTGGGGTTTCCTTTTCTCACCTCACAAATGCAACGCAATTGTATTTCGAAGGTATATGAAGGCAAGAGAGATGACGAACATACCTAACTTACATATATATAACCAGCCGTTAACATACACCGACACCGTCAAGTTTTTGGGAGTGATGCTGGACTCTAGGCTGAACTTAAACACGATGATGCAGTACATTAAAACAAAAGCTGTCAAAAGGATATCAATATTAAAATGTTTATCTGGAAAAGGCTGTGGCGCAGATCGTTCTACACTATTGAGAATATACAAAGCCATGATAAGACCGATATTAGAGTACGCATGCCAAGTTTTTGATGGTCCCCGTAACAAGGCAGTGGAAATGATTGATGTCATTCAAAATGAATGCATTAGAATTGCTACTGGAGCCTTTAGAACTTCGCCCATTCTACCATTGATGGTTGAAGCAGACATACTTCCCTTGAGACTGAGGAGATGCGACTTGTCTCTCCGTTATTCCCTGAAGATACTAAGTCGAGAGGATCATCCATGCAGAAAACTTATGGCCAATGAGGCTGCGTTACATGAGGTAGAGACTGGATATATGAAAAGGATTTCTGGTTTCCCGCTATATGAGAGAATACTTAATATGTGTCATGAAACAGGATTCGATTTCCCAGAAGAGGTGACCTTAAAACGCAGCGTCGTTCCGCCATGGAGATTACGTAAATGTACGTTGATAAAGTTGACTAACAGGAGCAAGAGAACGCTAGATGAAGTGCAAATTCAATGTGAGTTTAATGATTTGAGAAGCAGGTATACAGAATACGAGTTCATATTTACCGATGGAGCAAAAAGTGCAGACGGAGTTGGATGTGCTTTTGTCCACGGTGAAAGACGTCAAAAATTTAAACTTCCTGAACTTTGTTCGATATTTATAGCTGAAGGATTCGCAGTATTACAGGCTCTGAATTATACACATACAAATCGCATCCTCAAATGTGTTATATGCACAGACTCCTTGTCCATTATAACAGCCCTGGGAAATCCGACTTCTGAAAACCCGATCGTGATCCATTTACTAGAGACGGTCAGTCAGCTTATTGAAATGGGCAGTATAATCATTGTCCTCTGGATCCCAAGCCATAGTAATATACGCGGAAACGAGACAGCGGATGCACAAGCAAAGATGGCTATAAGATTGAATGACGTGTGTAATTTTCAAATGGGTCCTAAAGATTATTTTCCTAAAGTGCGTCGAAGTATTCGTGAATTATTCAACAAATATTGGACAGATTACAACCCTAGGACTAATTTAAAACGCATCAAAGAAGAGGTAGGAGACTGGGTCTCCTGTAAGCGAGCAGTCCGACGCGAAGAGATAGTGCTGTGCCGGCTGAGACTTGGGCATACTCGCTATACCCACGCATACATGATAGATAGAAACCTCCAACCTGAATGTGAACGATGTCAATGTCCATTAACAGTGTATCACATTCTTCTTGAATGCCCCGTATATTTTCACGAAAGACGATCATTGGTAACACTATGTCAACGGTCCGGAACACAATTTTGTGTGAGGTCGCTGGTAGGAAATCAATTCCCGGACATCATTGATGGAGTGATGAAATATTTGCGACACTGCGACCTACTGAAACAATTGTGAAGTGCTGCCTTTGCGTGCGGGACAAGTGCAATTTTGCTTTGCTGTCATTGATTGCTGCCATGCTGTTTATACTATATTGTAATTGTTTGAAATGAGTTGTTTATTCTATGTATAATTTAAGCTTGCGTGCATATCTGCGTACGATGTCTGACTGGATGCTTGAGAAATGTGAGAAGCAAGGAAGTGGTATAGGAATTATGTGTAGCAAATATGTGTATATGTGTGATACGTGGGTGTGTGCGTAAGCAGAGGAGATAACATGAATGAGGTTTGAACGAGCATGGTGAAGACAGATGAATGTGCGTGCATGCGTTAGAGTACACGGCATGGCAGATATGTGAAATTTCCATCTGGTAAATGCTTTGTTAAACGGCAATGTTGTGACTGCCGACTGACTGATGACTAACCTGCAACGTCTATCATGTGGGGAAGCTGCGGTTAAAAGAAAATGATAAAAAAGAGCCTGGCAAAAAAACCGGACTTTTTGTTCTCTTGTTTTAGTTCACTAATCAGTTTATGTATCTGAACATTTAACACCGAGTTTTCTAGAAACTAACACCGTTTACTGCACCTCCTTGCTACACCACTATCCTGCACGAAAATTCCTGACCAGTGCGACACATTCCTTCTATCCTCTGTCGCGCTTAGTTACCACCTGTGCTACCAAACTTGCAAGACAACACTTCAACGATGGACGCCTGAGCCCAAGAGGCTATGCGCCCTTAAACAACAACAACAACAACAGTACTTCTTACATCGTAGCGTGGGGTCGCTTATAAACTTGGGAATCGCTGAATGGTCGCGACTGCAGTGTATACCATCGTTACTGAATGTGAAATGAGTGATTGTAGATTGAGACGGTCATTGCGAAGGATAAAGATGACACTGCCAGGTTTGTTCGAGGGGAGGGGGGGGGGGGAAGAAATGCGTTATAACGTTACTTCAGATGAGTATGCCTAAGACGGCAGGCCAGCATTAATACTATAAGTATTTTTTCCTGGCCATCCTTCGAGAAGCTACATGCATGGCAGACTGACATTGCTTTTGATGTGTGAGGGTAAAGCCTCACATGTTAATAACATTTATGGCACTCACAGAGATTTGATCTTTCTCAGAGGCTTGATGTGCTGAACCAATAAGTAGAAAAGCTGCGGCCATGGTACCGTACTGTCTCTTGCATTGGAAGAGATGTGTTTTGACAAGCTTTAATGGAAGACAAAGATTAGGAAAAAGGCTCTTTAATTCTGTGAAGCAAGGAAATGAACAAGTTGCACGTTCTTCCAAAGTGCAATGCAGTAATGCACTACACCATGAAAAGAGCTATCAGGCAGATCAAGGCTCCCTCGTTCTTCATGGCAACTGGTCTAAGGAAACCAGGGCTACCGTGCTGCAAGATATGCTGGTTTTTAACGATTTCATCACTGAGTCTGAAGAGGAATGTATCATGGGAGAAATTGGCCCATATTTGAAGAGGATGAGGTATGAGTTTGACCATTGGGATGATGTAAGTATCAAGTGCTGGTGATGTGATGTAACCTTGAAACAGTGATGAATAGTATGGGGTTTCATGCTCCTGGGTGCGTACCAACTGTTCCACCAGGTTCTAGGCACCTCAGAACAGTTTCTCATTGTAGACCTTTCCTCATGCTTTTCTAGGTACCAGTTTTGTGAGATCATGCTGTGTGATGAAATATAATGAAAGCAATAACATTATGGTTTAACCAGTGGCAGTGTTTTACCAAAGTGTTTTACCACAGTTGGTATACAGTGTGCATTACATTGTCCACCACAACCATTTTGTTGGATCCATTGTGTTGGAGTTGGTTCAAACTGGTCTCATAGGTCAATGTGACACATCCCCATTAATATCCCTGTTCTGGTCCCTGTAATGCAACATCTTCCCCTCCTCTCCCCTCTCCCACCATCTGCCTCTACCAGCAAGTGGACTTGCTCGGTCCTTCTGGTGGCTAGTTCATGTGACTGGGTCCAGCCAGACCAGATTAGTACCACCTGATTGGCGGCGTGAGGAGTCCGCCTTGGGCGTCTCACGATCCGACTGGAGCACATACCTCGGTCCGACTGGTCTCCAAGCCCTCCCCGTGGCAACACATGCCAACCAGCGACGGCAGCGGCCAGCGGTGCGCCGTCGACGGCAGCTTCATCCCGACGCCGGCCCTGCTGCAGGCGATCCATGGCTTCCGCGAGACGGAGCGGCCGCAGTGGAACCCGGAGAACGCGCGCGTGCTCGACCGCGTGCGCCGGCTGGCCTTCCCGGTCGGCACGGCCCAGTTGCGCCACGTGCACGTGCTCGACCTGGCCGGTGACGGCGTCATCAAGCCGCACGTGGACAGCCGCCGGGTGAGCGTCGCGGCGGGGCGGAGAACGGCGAGGCGCCAGCTGAACCCATGCTGGCTTGCCGTGTTTGTGCCGAGATGGGTTCGTGATATCGCCAAGGGCTGATCACTGCTACTGAATGAAGCCATGCAGTAGCGTGTCTTCGTGCTAGTGCTGGCGGATGTGGAATCTGATAGTGTCAAACTGTCTGTTGGATGCCACTTGGATAGCTTTTAGCACAGGCTGGAGCAGATTCTACTTACCACGCCGACACAACTCCCCTGGCGGCTCATCACGGCATCATAACTTTATGGGTGCTCCGCCGTGTCCGTCGCCACACGCTCATGCGTCGCTAGCAGTTCGTCCAGAGCCGTCGGCCGCCAGTGGAGGCCGACGCTGAAGGCGCCGCCACCGATGTTGCAGTTCTGCGGCAGCGTGATCGCCGGTCTGAGCCTCCTCTCGGACGCCGTGATGCGGCTGGTCAGCTGCGCCGAGCCCGAACGCCGGCTGGACGCCCTGCTGGGGCGGCGCTCGCTTTACGTCATGAGGTAAGGCACCAGCTGCCGCCGGCTCCCCTGGTGCAGTGGTCCGCCGTCTTAGGTGGTGCGGCACCGTCCGTTCGCCACCGGCCTCCGCTGGCATGCCGCGCCACTCACCGCATGGTCGTGCGGCGTGGGAGCTGCGCTTTGTCGCGCTCACCCAGATGCGGACAGATCAGCGTCCCTCTCGTTTCTTCCGAAGTATGAAAGGCCTGTTCCCATGTCCCCAATGCTTACATGCTTTGACCCTGTAGCACATGTTACGTTTTTACTTCGTTCCTTTGTTTGCCTCGTTTTCGCCGCAGTTTCAATCTAATTCCAACACGCTGGAGTGCGACGGAAGAAGCTGACGTTTGGCTGAAAATGGATGACTGTCTTGCTGTCCATGGCTGCTGCACCTGTATATCTTTTATGAGGGCAGCGGCGCCTGGGAATCTGGAGACGGGCGCCGGCGCCGCTGGGCCAGCGCCTGCGTCAGCGTGACAACAGTACATCTGACCGGGCCCCAAACGCTCCTCACATCTCGTCCGCTCGTGCGCGCGCCTGTGTCAGCGTGACCCCAGCACATCTGACCGGGCCCAGAACGCTCCTCACATCCCGTCCGCTCGTGCGCGCGCAGGAACTCGGCCCGCTACGACTACACGCACGAGATCCTGAGCGCGTCGCTGTCGACGTTCGCCGAACGGCGGGTGCCGCGCGGCCGGCGGGTGTCCGTCATCTGCCGAAACGAGCCGACGGCCGCCGACGACGACGGCGACGGCCCGGCGCCCGGCGGACCGGCGGCCAGCTGATGGCAGATCGGCCGGCCAGGAGCGGGTGGCGGTGTAGAGTCCGGTGGCAAACACTGATATGATGCAGCCACATGTGATGTCACGGATCAAATGGCATGTGTCAATGAGACATTGGGCATTGGTTCATGACTTTATCATGTCATTATGGCATGCCGATGTTAAATATATGACATACGTTGTGACATGCTGTATGCTGTGCCACAACAGGGCTGTCTTTTGGCCTTCGTGGTCGTTAGCGTGTGGCGAGGGTACTTGTGACGTCACGGTTAGCAGCTGCCTCGGGCCAGCGTTTGCCGGTGAAGAACGGACCTCTGTTGTTACGGTGAACCCATGTGATACGAGCTGTGCTCGCCAGTGTGTGAAGTTGCGGCGGATGTGAGCAAATAGAGTGTGGTTTGTGTCAACTGCATCTTTCTGGCTCGGGTTGTATTGACGTGATCCCGGGCTGTATTTTGCTTTCTAAAAATAGCACCGCCATTTTCATGCCCACGAATAGGATGCCCAGTAACGTTGAGTAACAGAAGCGTCATCAGACGCCATTTATATTCCAATATACTTTCATTTTTTATTTATGACTGCGGTGACGCCATGCACAAGACAGGGCCAGGCGATGGCACCAGAAACTAGAACATTTGGCGAGGTGCATGCGCTGCGAAACCACTCCAACTGAAGAACAACCGGATGTGTTATAATAGTCCGCCTCCGTCTCCCCTAGTTGGACATCCTGGGGCTAGTCAGTAACTGTGGCAAGTACCTGTGACAGCAAACTCAATGAGTATTTTATGTGACGAGTAGGATGCGGGCTGGAAGGACGGCTGGTACTGTTTGAGAAGTTACGTCGGTTAGTCTTGATTTCGGTGGGCCTGTTAAAGCGCCGTTCCGGCGGTGTAACGGTTAGCATGTGGATCTCGTTACGTGACAAACCACACGCTCGGTTAAGTCTCAGGTACATCTCCTGAGTCTCATTCCCAGCGATGTAACGAACCTGCTCGCCGGTGAAGGGAAACATCCATCGTTGGTGATCATGACTTGGTTTCCGCATTATTGGCATCGCATTTTAAAATTCTGCCGTGCTATTTGGCTAACATCCAGGAAGGCGAATGGTCCTATTGTTCGCGCTCTGCTCTACGACGTGGGTGGTGATGTCAATATCCAAGAAACTCATCGAGCCCAGCGCAACATAAGTGAATGTTCCATGCAAAGGCATAGTTTGCAAAATGAGTTTGGGGTGTGCGTGAGGGGGGGGGGGGGGAGCTGAGCAGTGAAGAATGACCCACCCTTTCCACAAAATATTTCCACGGTTTCTCCCAAATTTGGCCCATTTTTTCTCAAAGTTGGGGGGGGGGAGCCCGAGCTGGAGGAGCTCTCTCGCCTATTCAAAAGAAAATAAAGCCCGGGGTTGCATGGAACAAACATGTAATGCAAACGGATCCACATCGGAAGTCGCCGTGCTCCCCACGCTCGTGTGACTCTGCGATCAGCAGGGCTCTACAGTTGCAGAGCCATGTGTGAAGTCCAGACTTCCAAACGGGCGATGTTTAGAAGTCGGGAACTTGCGCTGATCGATGCAAGCAAGCGGTAGCAGGCCTTACGTTTCGCCATTCGGGCCGTGCTGAAGTCTGTGTTTACACAGCGGGGAAAATAGCGCTGTGCCAGACACCGGGCACGCTACATAAGCAAACCGACGGCTGACTGTCGGCACTGAGCTGGAGTCTGCCAGCAGTGACCAGCTGCGTTGTGGTCTGCGCCGTCACTACGACCGGCGTCACGCGGATCTACTGAACTGCCACGCTGCCCCTGACTGATGCTGGTGGGAGACGCACTGCCCTTCACCGTCGCTTGCGATGGGCCAGCAGCCGCCGCGAACAGCGAATAGCTGAGTCAAACAGTGCACGTGCGAGATATCCGCTGCCACGCGAGTCACCGGACGTGCCCTCCCGATGCGTGACTCCCAGTGAATGGACGTCTGGAGCCATGGCTTTTCCGGCGGACGACGGCCAGCACCGGGCGGCGGTGCAGCCGGACCCTGCAGCCTCGGCCGCCCCCGACAGCTCGCTCTGCTGCGTCTGCGCCGGCCGGCGGCCGGCCGACTGCTGGGACCTGCAGCGCACGGTGACGGACACGGCGCACCAGTCGCTGGCGCACGTGGCACGACAGCTGGGGCTGTGCGCGGCTGCCAGCGGTCGCCCGCTGGTCTGCGGCCAGTGCGCCGGTCTGCTCAACGGCTACCACCGGCACCGGAACGCTCGCGGAGCGGCACAGAGATGAGCTGCTGCTGCGAGCCAGCGCAAGGGGCGGCGACGGCGCCCCCGCTGGCCTTACGCGAGCAGAGCCGGGCGGCGGCGGCGACGGCTCTGCACGCCCCAGAGCGGGGGACGAGGACTCCGCAGAATTTCGCAGAGCCAGCGGGGCTGATGAGGCTGAGTGTGCTGCCGGCAACGCCAGCGTCCGTCTCGCTGTTCCCGAGCAGGACGTCTGCGGCGGTAGCCTGCTCCCGGAACCCCAGGGCAGCGGCTTCGGTGCGGGGACCCTGGCTGCCGCACTGAAGCGTGACTGCCAAGCGATTAGCAGCATGCTCGCCAGTGCGCCCGACCCGACCGCGGATGGCAGAAGCGAAGCCAAGCCAAGTAAGGACGCCAGTTCTCCAAGTAGGCCAACTTCTCCTAGGATCTTGGGAGCCGAGCAGCGTGCATCACGGACATCCAAGCGAAGGCAGACCGGCACCATGACCGGACCAAGAGCGAAACAGTCCACGAGGAAAAAGCTCCGTTTGGGTAGCCAACTAGTGCAGGTGGAGAACCGTGCTGCGGAAGTACCGGTACCAAACGAAGCCGCTCTCCAGGCTGGTATCGCTGGTGTCGCTGCACCAGCGGTGCTCGGTGTCGCCGCATCACCGGTACTCGGCGTTTGCACACCTGGTGAACAGCCACTACCCAGAATCCATTTGACACCACCTGCCAATGGCGGGGAAAAGTCTGGCCTTCCTGGCGGTGCCAAAGAGCAGAGGCCACCGACCGATGACAGCACAGTGCAGATCGCACCGGCCGAGGGAGCTGAGCTGCAGTCACCGAGCGAGGTCCCGGACCATGTGGGAGCCTCCTGCGATCCGCCAGGCGACGTCCGGCCTGCAGAAACACCCGTCCTAACCTGCCAGGCCCGCTGGGACGCCTCGGAGGAGACCACGGCAGCCGCCGGCGCCGCGGGTCAGGTAGCCGGTCAGACTCGGCCCTGCCGCACGCCGCTGGCGGACGACGGCCTGCGCTGCCTGTGCGGCAAGCGCTTCGCCAAGGCGTCGCAGCTAGCGTCGCACCAGCGCATACACTCGGGCGAGAAGCCGTACGGTTGTCCATGTTGCGGCAAGGCGTTCCGGCTGGCCAAGTATCTGACCAGCCACCTGCGCACACACACCAACGAGCGGCCGTACGTGTGCGCCACCTGCGGGCGCGCCTTCAAGGAGCCCCAGACGCTGCACGTGCACGCGCGAGTGCACTCGGGCGAGCGGCCGTACCGCTGCGCCGTCTGCGAGCGCTCCTTCTCACAGAGCGGCCATCTGAAGGAGCACCAGCGGGCGCACGAGGCCGCGCCGCCGCTGCGCTCCGCCCACTGTCCGCGGCAGTTCCCGCGGGCCCGTGCACCTCCTCGGTCACGTAGCCGAGCAGCACGCCGACTCGCGGCACGTGTGCGCCACGTGCGGCGCCGAGTTCGCGCGCTCCTCGTCGCTGCGCAAGCACGCCGTCACGCACGCGCGCCGCGCGTTCCAGTGCGAGCTGTGCGGAAAGCGTTTCGCGTTCGCGTCCGAGCTGCGCGCGCACGCGCGCGCCGTGCACGAGGGCGAGCGGCGCTTCATGTGCGAGCGCTGCGGACGCGCCTTCTCGCAGGGCGGCCACCTGAAGACGCACCTGCGCACGCACTCGGGCGAGCGGCCGCACCGCTGCGGCGTGTGCGGGCGTCGCTTCGCGCGCCGCGACGCGCTGACCGTGCACCAGCGGCGTCACGCGGACACGCGGCCGTTCCAGTGCGCCGGCTGCGGCCGCGCCTACACCCACCGCTCCGGCCTGCGCTGCCACGCGCGGCTGTGCCCGGCGTCCGCCCGCGCCGCCGCCGGCGAGGACGCGGTGCGCGGTGGTGGTGAGGACCCCGTGATTGAGGACGCGTCGGGTGCAGCGTATCTCGGCTGTGCTGAGTGAAGCGCGGCGGGACGTATGCGTGTGGTCTGACATGCAAAACCGGGACCGGGTGTGGCCGCTGGTCGCTGCGGCCTTAGATCACGATGATGCCTCCACTGACGTATCAGTACCAACTAACTGGTGACACCGTCAACCGCTGACGGCGGATGCGTTCTGAAGCCGAGCACGGCGTGTAACATACTCAGTTGCACGATCGACGCCAGAGTTTGCTTCTTGACGGGAGGGACGACGGATGTTGTATGGTTAAAGTAGTGCTCGGAAAGAGCACAAAAGCAATGAATTTAGCGGCGGTGGTCATCGCTGTCACATGGCTGCGCACAATTCCAGGGAGGTTAAGGCCCTCATTGACGACACTCATTGTATTTGGACTACGTGCATGCCCGCATGTCAGCGAAACGATGAGAGCATTTATCTTAGCAAGGAGCATCCAGTCCCACCTACATGGCAGCACTTTCAGCGGCCGGACCACGCTCCCCGCTTATAATTTGTAATTTTGTTATTCGCCGCATATTCCAACTCAAACTTGATAATTCTTGGAACGTACGAACGGTCACTTTGTTGGGACTTTGCCTGGACCGACAGCTGAACGGAAGCAGGAACGGAATGTTCGCCCGTCTGCACCCCCAACCTTACCAGTAGCGCTAGAAAATGATGTCACCTATGGTTTATCTTGTGACGTCAGATCCGGCTCGTCTCCTGCCACTCCCCCGTAGCCCGGGCACCACCCCAATACGGAGCTGTGTGTCATCGGTGGGCGCGCATGCATCACATCGCAATCATCGTGTTGAGCGCGCACCGTCAGGCCAAATGTACCCATGAAGACTGATAATTGTATTTGTCATGAAGCTCTGACCAACCCATTGGGCACTTTGAATGAAATGTAAAACGTGACGGGATCAGCTAGTGAAGTGGTCGGGTGGGGAGAATCCAGACATACTGGGTCCCTATTAATTGGTGTTAATGTACACGAGAAATAAAAAAGATGACCACCATAACTATCAAAGACCACTCTGAATTGAGTAGAGTTCACTAAGCGACCTGACTACAGTAGTTAGCGGCTGTCACATGTGGACTTTTTCTCAGCTTGATGGCCGTTCCATAAATTAGCTGTGCCTTTCATATGCACCAACGCATTCGTAAATGACGCAGGTTTGACATAAACGGCGGAAGCTAGCGAAACGCCCTTCCCGGGGCGTGTAACAGTGGTTAGAAGCCAATAGCGTAGCCGCCGTCGCATCCGGAGGATATGTGACACTGATTTTGCGGTTTAAGTTGGTCGAACTAAGCCAGACAGGATAGCTGCACTAGACTTAAAGCATTGTGGTGAGACATACTGCACCCAACAGTTGTGAGGTGGCTGTAAAACTGCTGGGGGTGATAGGGGCGTGCTGGTTTTCAATTAGGGGGCTGTGAAGGTAATGTGGTAAGCGTGCCGTCCCTGTGTATTGGCGTGTTTTGTTGATATCTGGTTGAAATGTGGTTATAATCACAGCTCAATCATCTGACTTAAAAGAATACATATCATTCCTTGTTCATATCAACACAAATTAGGTCAATCTGTGGAGTTGTGTAGACATGACCAAGGCTGACAGTTTTGGCAAGGCACAGATATTTCATCTTATCCACCTTACACAGTGTTAACATTCTTACTATGCCAGGCCAGAGTTTGGTTGTAATAATTGATTGTGAGATGAGGACTAACTCCACTTGGTTTGTCAGTAGGCAAAATATGGCCTTGATGGAATTGCTCTTATATGCAAGATTCAAAATCTGTCACATAAATATTTTAGCTCATGAGCGCAGAAGTAATAAACCATGGCAAATATGCATGCAAATTATGACACAGTGCTGCTGTGTAGGTATGAGACAGCTCTCTTATCAGTGCATTACAAAAGCTAGATCTGTTAGGCTGTGGACAGCATATTTATTCACATGCACCTGTCACTAATGGTTCATCTTTTATGCATTCTCCTTGCTTTTCAATGCAGTACTCCCAGCAGCATACCAGGTGTTTCATGGCCACATGAAGTCTGAATGGGGTATGTTTGCAATACCGAAATGTGGTCAACCATAGCACAGGCCACACAGAAACAATCACCATGAAAGTGGTTTGTTAAAAGAATCAACCAGAAGGCATTTTGGGCAAGAACCCGATAATGTGGTTGGTCTCCAACTGCTCAATGTTGTTGTCAGCAAGAGTTTCAGTCATGACAGTGATGTGATCAGGGGGTGGGAGCTTTGTTGTAAAGAATGAACTGATCTTGTGCTGTTTCTTGAATGTGCCTAGTGATATTTGGTGGGAGATGTTTACTCAGGGTGGCATCATATGATTGGCTGATGACAAGTGCCTTTTTGAGAACTAGTTGAGCAAATGTCACACCCTCGTGGTCCCCAAAATGTGGCAGACATTACCTTTTTCAGAAGATTCATGCACACAATTGGGGGAGGTGAAAAGCACATACATGCCTTAAGCTCCCCCCCCCCCCCACAAAAGGCTTCAAGATCCAATCCAAGGATCCTAGAAGCATGGAATACAATTGGATCTTGGATCCATCCTTGGGATCCATATACACATCTGGTGGAAAATCTGCATGTTTTCAATGCATCAACTGTATGTTGGTCTCTGGGTAAAACATCAAAGACAGCTTTTATTTGCAGTGACTATTTACTCCACAAATCAATGTCTCATCTTGGTAGCTCTGCAGACCCTCATGCACCATTTTGAGTCTGTTGCCCAGTTGTGTCATGTCATGCCATAGCTGTGGTGACACACACTGTGAGACAGATTTGAACATCGTCAGGCCATCACCCTCCTGGCACTCCCGTTCCCACCTATACTCCTGTGATGTTGAACAGGCATTGCCCCCATAAACTTTGAAAGGCTCTTTGTGAATCTTGCATGCCTTCTTCTTCTGCAGTGGCATGAATTTGATGACCAAAGGCTGCTGTCCTCTGATAGCCTTTTGAATGCACCTTGTAGAAGCTACTGAGGCAAAAACTTTCTTCTTGGATGCCCTTTTCACAAACCAGGCGTATATATCAGATTGCTTAGTGTGTTAGCGCTAGATGCCGGATGGATTTCCTGAAAAACATGCATCACCTCATTGGCTATGTATGGCCCTTTTGGTATGTCCCACAGCTTTCAAAACCTGCAGGACATGAGCCCTTTCGACGGTTCAGGCTGCTCGGCCACGTCAGGGCCGCTGTCATGAGCCGTCAGCTGTGACGACCGCCGTGACGGCCAGCCGGTGTAGGTCACGCGTCAGGCCGCCGTCCGCGGCCGCTCGTGTGACAGGGTCCTCTGTTGCAGCTGACGGCCGGGCCGACCAGACGCCCAACATGTCGAAAAACGAGAAGACCAAGTCCAGCTTCGTAAGTGATGCCGGGACGTGGGGGTTTGTGGGCGTGCCACTTTTTAGCTGATGCTCGTAATCTGTTACAATTAGTTTTAAACCCTTTGGCACTCACATACTACGACACGAATGTTGCAGGGTGCTTTCTGTATCTAACTGACTATGCCAGCTGATCACGAATTGAGTGTGCTCGCTCACCACACGGAGCCGGCGGCGGCGCCGCGCCTCGGCGCGTGCTGCGGGCACGCTGACGCGGCTCTCCGGGTGTGCCGCCAGCTGGACAAGGCGTTCCACAAAAAGCCGAAGAAGGGCGGCCGGCCCGCGTCGGTGCACGAGGCGGCCGAGGACACGGTGGACCAGGCGCCGGCCGCCACCACCGACGCTCTCACCGAGGCCGACGTGGAGCGGGAGTTCGAGAAGATGCTGGTGAGCCTCGCGTACCGGTGCGGCGGCTCTGATGGGAGGAGGGGCCCGGTGTCTCGTGTCTGCTGATGGTGGCGTATGAGGGTCTTGTTTTTGTGAGGAGATGTGATCTGAGCTGTAACCAAAGGCTAGCAATAACGTGCAAATGCGTTAATGCAGAGAATCAACCAAAATACCGGGCCTGTTGTATTGCGTAATGTGTTGTTAGCTGTGGTTGAATAGAACTGTTTAAAGAATCAGTAGCCAGGACCGTGGTCTGTATCTGATAGAATTGCCCGACACGAGTGCCTGATAGCGCAGTAGTGCGTTTGATCAATGTCTGTCACTATGGCTCTCAAACCCTGTTATTCCCTATGCGAACCAGAGAAATATGTCTGGTAACATTTCCACCGTGTACCGGGTTTATGGATTGCCATCAGGCGCTCACTTCGTAGCATCCGGCTGTCATGAGCGTTTTGACTGCTACGCAGGACGACATGAACCTGACTGATGACAAGAAGACCCCGCTGAAGAACCAGGACATCGACAAGAAGCGTCGCATGCTCGCCATGCACTACAAGGGCGCGGCACCGGTGAGGCCGTCGAATCCGGAGCGTCCGTGAGAAGCTGCCGTCACGGAGACCGACTCCGGTAGCGGTCGCCTCAAATCGCAGTGTCACAAATCGCAGGTCATCAACCCATCGCTGGGGATCATGTATAGCGTGCACAGTCTTTGCGTACGGGTGGCCTGTCAGCTAACGGAGACATTGCAAGTGAAAGGCCAAATCCTTTGACCAGATGCACCTTCCGCTGTGGACTCCGGCATTCGGCTCATTTCCGTAACGGAAATGCTCGCTCTCGTTGGACCTCAGCTGGGACGGACGGTCATCTGTTGTTGGTCACGTGTCCCACGCCCTGACCTGCTCTTCGGGCCGAGTGGCCGGCGCTGGCGCAGACCTTGCGGCAGCTCACGGCCCACGCATGACAGCGCTTCTGTGCTATCTGCCCGTCCAACTGCAGCCGCTCTGGCGATAGCCCTGTAACGGTGGCCCCTGTGAGCACCTAACTGGTGCGCGTGGCGAAAGCCCCCCCCCCCCCCCTCCTCTCCACCCCCAACAACCGCACTTGTGACGAGTGCCTTTAAACGGCGATCATCCAGCACTAGTCCTCGCCAGTGACCGCGTGACCAGTGATGTGAGTCCGTGTGACCGTGTGACCAGTGACGTTAGTCCGTGTGACCGTGTGACTCCTGCCGTGCCAGCAGCGCCAGCGAAGCCGGTTCGTCGCGCCGGCCGACTACACCAGCTACCTGTCACAGCCGCTCAGCGTGCAGAAGACCAGCGAGTGTCTCGAGTCGCTGCGCATCGCGCTCACCAACAACCCGCTCACCTGGGTGCAGGAGTTCGGCGAGACCGGGCTCAAGCAGCTGATCGCCATCCTCGGCGAGTGCTACCGTGGGTCAGTCTGCGGGCCGCGGAGGGGCCGTCGTTGTATCCAGTGCGGAACATCTGGAATGGGTTAACGTAGCGAAGAGTGACAAAGAAGGTAGCAGGGAGGACAGGAGAGTAGATTGTGAGGGATATGAGTAAACTTAGCAGAGGAAACTTTTCCGAGAACACGTCATGAAATCGTGCAGTTGACGAGCAGAACTGTTGATGATGCGTGTCAATGTATTTTTATGGTTGAATGTAGACGCGTAACTTATGCAGGTGATAAATGAAACCCTAGCATAGCAGTTGCATGCGCTGATAAAGAATTAAATGGTAGTATTGCAAGCGGGTTCGCTCCCACTGCTGCCGTCCCCCTCGCGCTCGTGGTGGACGTCAGGTGACCTCTGGACCTAGCCCACCCCGAAGCCCTAGTCACTTATCATCCTTGCCCACCAGCAACAGCAGAGTCTTCTGATGGTGTGCGTTGGGCTCCCCACGTGTTTGCCTGTCTGCGCCAGGGCCAGAGTGACATGTGTGCAGTCACAGACGGCGCGACTGGATGGGTACAGCTGGATCGCGTGAGCGTACCGACCCGTCTGTTCTGTTGCGCCCCTTCGCCAGCTTGTGGCCCCGTCTCGTCCACTTAACCTGTGTCCCATGGACTGTCGTGCCCTGCCGGAGCAGCCGCCTGGCACCTCCATCTCACACCCCTGTCCAGGGACATCAGAGACCGCCTGCACACCAAGCACACCATGCAGCACCTCGTGCGACGGGACTGCAACGTACCCACTTGTGGCCGACACGTCTCCACCCGCTGACAGGGACAGCAAGTGGGACCGGGTGCAGCTAGAGTGCGTGCGCTGCCTCAAGTCGCTGATGAACAGCACGCTGGGGCTGCGCCAGATGCTGGCCGAGGAGGGCGCGCTGCCAGCTCTGGCGCGCAGCCTCGACCCGTCGCTGCCGCAGGTCATGCACGAGGTGGTGCGCATGCTCTCCGCCTTCGCCATCGTGCCGCCGGACGGCCACCGGCGCACGCTCGACGCCATCACGGCCAACGGCGAGCTGGTGCAGCGGCCGCGGTTCGCGCCGATCGTGCAGGGCCTGATGGACCGCAGCAACGGACAGCTACGGGTGCGTGCGGCGGATGGAGGGACGGCAGCCAGCCGGTGCAGGGCTGCTGGGGAAGGGAGAGTTTGCGGGAGTGGGGGGAGGGTGTGCCCCGGTGGAAGCCGTTTTCCCGTGTGCCTCAAAATGTTGACGCAAGGTTCTGAGAAATGATATCTTTTGCGATGCATCTCGAAATTGTGTGTATTTACTACCCCAGCGGACTGTACGTGTGTTCATCGTTTTAATGTCTTCAGTGTGGCAGAAACAAGCTGAAGACTATTTGGGTGCGTGTGTCACGCGACGGGAGCTTTGAAACTTTGCCGTCTGCTATGCGTGATCAGCTTAAGGATACTACCAGACTCGTGCTGGCGGCCCTTCGCGCCGTCATCCAGACAGCATGCACGCGACATTGGACCAAATCGGCAGTATGACATTGCATCAAACTCAGCATGCCCACGTGATGTGACACCTGTCCCGGTCGTGCGTTCTGACGTCAGGTGTGCGTCATGATCCTGATCAACGCCCTGGTCAGCTCGCCGGACGACCTCGACTTCCGCATGCACCTGCGGAACGAGTTCATGAGAGACGGCCTCATCGACATTCTTGAGGTTCGTGCCCTCGCCGTACCGCCAGGTGCGCGGCACGCTGCTTCTGCCGTCGCTGTTTGGATACAGGGAGATATGATGGTTTTGTGTCTAACGTTGTGGTAAGTGGAGGGTTTAATCCAAGCATCAGCTGGCTCGCTGTGCTCCAGATTGCTTTCGAACCATGTTTCAAGTATGCCAAGACCGTCACATGACTGACGAATGTTTGAAGCCTCGTAGTTTTTCACATTGCGTCTTTTTAGGTCGCAAACCTACCTAAGAACCAACATGCGCGCTGGGTTATCAGGGAATTGTTTTGGTGCAGGAACTATGTCGAACCGGTTAACTATACTGTCTACCATGAAAAACGTCGGCAGTCAAGTCTTGGAACCGTATTGCTAACATGAAAAAAAGAAAGTGCAAAGTAGCTATTTTAAAAAAAAAACTCGATTTACTTCACGTTTGACCCGCGTGGCCGCGCATCGTTGCCCCGCCACTGCGTGACGTTCGCAATCCGCCATCCGGCAGACCATGGCGGCCGACGAGGCTGACGGCCTGCAGAACCAGCTCAAGATCTTCAACGAGCACAAGGAGGACGACCACGACGAGGTGTGCCAGCGCTTCGACACGATTCGCCTGGAGCTGGACGATCCCGATCAGTGCTACACGCTGCTGCGCAACTCGCTGGCCGACTCGCCGGGCGAGCCGTACTTCCTGTCGGTGCTGCAGCACCTGCTTTGCATTCGGGACGACCACAACGCGCGGTGAGCGACGGGGCGGCTCGGCGCTGGCTGTGGAGGCGTGTCGGCGTGGGGGGTGGGGGTTTGGTGTACGTTGGCGTGGGGAGTTGTCGATGATTGTGCGGCCTGGTGGTGTGTTAGTCATCGTAGTCGTGCCTGCGTTATAGAGAGAGTGGCGACGAATGAGGATTTGCGAGTTCAATTATGTTTTGTTTGCGGTTGTGTCTGGTGTTCAGACTCTGCACTGCACCCGGATCTGCGTCTTGGTAGACCAGCTCCCTCGCCTGCCCTGGAGCATTGTGCCGCTCCCTTGCACCGCATGCTGCCTTGTCTGTTGGCGCTGCCAGCCGCCTCTCGCACCTCGCCCGCTGACCCGGCTCGCCGCCCGGCCGGCAGCATGGCCTACCTGAAGCTGGTGGAGGAGTGCGTCTCCCAGATCGTGCTGCACAAGTCGGGCGTCGACCCGGACTTCCGCGCCACACGCCGCTTCCAGCTGGACGTCGAGCCGCTGATCGAGACGCTGGTGGAGCGCAGTCGTAAGGAGGAGGAGCGCGCCGCGGGCGAGCTCAACGCTAAGATGGAGGAGATGCTGACCAGCAAGCAGGAGACGGAGGCGCGGCTCTCGGCGTCGGAGCGGCTGGTGGCCGAACTACAGGCGCGGCTCGCCAGCGGCGCTGGCCCGCCAGGCTCGCTGGTCATCCCCAGCGGTATGCCGGGGGCGCCGACCGGCGGCGCGCGGCCGCCCGGGGTACCGCCGCCGCCGCCGCCGCCACCGCCGCCCGGGGCCGGAGGCATACCGCCGCCGCCCCCGCCGCCCGGGGCCGGAGGCATACCGCCGCCGCCCCCGCCGCCGCCACCACCGCCGGGCTCGGGCATACCGCCGCCGCCCCCGCCGCCGCCACCACCGCCGGGCTCGGGCATACCGCCGCCGCCTCCTCCGCCTGGCTCGGGCATACCGCCGCCGCCCCCGCCTCCAGGCGGCGGCCCGCCCCCGCCCCCGCCGCCGCCTGGCTCGGGACCGCCGCCGCCGCCGGGTATGCCGCGGGCGCCGGCGCCGCCGCAGCTGCCCTACGGACTCAAGCCCAAGACCAAGTGGACCCTGGGCCAGAATCTGAAGCGGGCCAACTGGAAAAAGGTTCGCCGGCCTGGCCGCGGCGACTCACCGTTGTAGTAGAATATATATTTAGTTGCTTCTTTTTCCCGCCTGTGGAGCACCCGTCCGTTCCGTTTTGAGTGTTATTTGTGCATGGTTGTGTGCCCCGCATTTAAACTAACCGCTTCCTAGCTTTATTTAAAGGGTGAATATTTCGGGTTAAGTCGGCTGATTTCAGCAGCAAGTGAATGCATTATGCAGTGCATGATATATCGTTTCACTGGAGACAACGCTGCGATTTTCAGATTCTTCCAAACAACTTGAAAGAGAATTCGTTCTGGGTCAAAGCCAACGAGGAGGCGTTGGCTGATGATGAGATTCTGGAAGGTCTGAAGAGCAAGTTCGCGTCGAAGCCACCTCCTCAGAAGGCAGAAGTGGCCCAAGCAAACAACAAGGGAAAGAAGGTGAGTATTGCCGTGGAATGCGTGCCGAATTGCGTCGGACGTTTTGCTGCTGAGCTTTTCGTGCTTATTCTTTACGTGGATCCTTAGTGGCTTCGATGGTCAACTGGACAGAAAACGCCCGACGGAGAATGGCGAGTGACGGCTTCGTGCTCGCCCGAGAGGGTTCGTGACCCTGCGACACACAGGCACTTTTTGTCTTGCGAGGGAAGGTCATGACGCATGGCTCCAAATGGATCCATCGGTATTAACCCTGATGCTCATCCTTGGGACCGCATGTTTTGGCCGTAATGCTGAAGCGTCTCTGCTAGACTGGCCACGCCTTCGCCGCACATGCGACCACGGCTCCGCGCCGAGATCGCCCCACCCGCCAACACCTCGCTCTCCGCAGGGCAAGGAGCTGCGCGTGCTGGACGGCAAGGCGGCGCAGAACCTCTCGATCATGCTGGCCGGCTCGTTCAAGCACATGTCGTTCGAGGAGGTGAAGCGCGCGGTGCTGCGCTGCGACGACTCGGTGCTCACCGACAGTCTGGTGGAGTCGCTCATCCAGTTCTGTCCGACCGGCGACCAGCTGAAGAAGCTGGAGGCGCACCAGGACGACTACGATGACCTGCCCGTCGCCGAGCAGTTCGCGCTCACGGTGCGTGCCGGCCGCCGCGGTCGGCGCCGGTGGACCAGTGGACCGGTGGACCGGTGGACCGGTGGACCGGTGGACCGGTGGGCGGGTGGACCGGTGGACCGGTGGGCGCGTGGACCGGTGGACCGGTGGCCGGTGGACCGGCGGAGATGCCGTATATGGGGTGGATGCTAATATGCACGTTGAGTTATTTCCGTGTTGTGGATGTGGGACTGCCTCTCTAGCACATTGCGGTGATATTTCGCGAAAAGCATTACACATGTATTTTCGCTTTCCTTTATTCATGAAGCGTGTTCACTGAGGATTTTCCTCCCCAACGCTTAAACAAGCGTTGACTGGTTAAAGTGACCACCGTGTTGCCAGTACGGATCCACATGTGCAATGGATTCTGCGTGTGGTGTTATGTCCGCAGATCGGCAGCATAAAGCGGCTCCTCCCGCGCCTCAATTCGATGAGCTTCAAGCTGAAGTTCGATGAGATGGTGCAGGACATTAAGCCGGTACGGACGCCGCGGGAGCTCAGCCGCTGGTAGTCGCTGCTGGTCCAGAGCGCTGGTCGGATCAGTTGGCGACTGACTGTCCGTGCCGATTGCGTGGTCTTGTTTGCTCGGGCTCCTCCTCGGCGGACAATGCGTAACCTCAGCGTGGAGAGCTCTTGAGACGATTTGGTTCGTCCTCATTTGGTGCTAAGTCATTCTCTTGGCTTGGTATGCCATCACGGCGTTAGTTTGGTGTTAGCGCGCTCGTCTCCAGTCTGGAGCACGTTTTGCGTCTTCCCGTGATGTCGCCGGCGCCCTGACGTCGGCGCGCCGTGCCGCCAGAGCGTTGTTTCGGCCACCGCCGCCTGTGAGGAGGTCATGTCCAGCCAGAAGCTGGCCCGCCTGCTGGAGCTCATCCTGCTGCTCGGCAACTACATGAACGCCGGCTCCAGGAACGCTGAGGCGTTCGGCTTCGAGATCAGCTACATCACGAAGGTGCGCCGACGGGGCGGCGGCCGTCCGCGGCGCCGGTGTGTCGCGGCGCGTGGCTGTCCGTGGCGCCGGTGTGTCGCGGCGCGTGGCTGTCGGCGGCGCCGGTGTGTCGCGGCGCGTGGCTGTCGGCGGCGCCGGTGTGTCGCGGCGCGTGGCTGTCGGCGGCGCCGGTGTGTCGCGGTGCGTGACTGTCGGCGGCGCCGGTGTGTCGCGGCGCGTGGCTGTCGGCGGCGCCGGTGTGTCGCGGCGCGTGGCTGTCGGCGGCGCCGGTGTGTCGCGGCGCGTGGCTGTCGGCGGCGCCGGTGTGTCGCGGCGCGTAGCTGTCGGCGGCGCCTCTGTGTCGCGGCGCGTGGCTGTCCGGTGAACCTCGGTGCCAGCTGAGTGCAGCCGATGGGGTCGGAGCATACCGGCCGCGCTTCGTGTGACTGATAGACGCGCGCGGCCGCTCGTCCTCAGCTCAACAACACCAAGGACGTCCACAACAAGACGACGCTCATCCACTACCTGGCCGAGGTGGTGGAGACGAAGCACCCCGAGCTGCTGGAGTTCCCCGGCGAGATTCCGCACGCCCAGGCAGCCGCCAAGGTCTGTGCACCCGCCGCGGGGCCTTCAGCGCGTGTCATTCCCAGGTACCGGCTGTACGTGCGAGACCGGCAGCGCCGTCGGGAGCTGCGGCCGCGGCGGGATCACACGCCTCGCCGCGCCCTCTCTTGAGATAGACTATCTAATCGTCATTGTTTGCGGGGCAATTCGGTTTGGAGGAGCTTGGTGATTTATGGGGTGTGACTCACACCCCCTTAGTGCTGGTGCCGACGAACCGTCACTGTCCTCTGCGGCCCCCCAGGTGTCCGCGGAGCAGGTGAAGGCGATGATTAACAAGATGGAGATTGGCACGAGGAACCTGGAGACGGACATCAAGAACAACAAGGTGCCGCTGTGTGACGACGACAAGTTTCTGGACGTCATGACCGTATCCTTTCCATGTCACACGGCCGTCGCCGCTCGTGCTGCGGCTCCGGACCGATGCTGTCGTTGAGTCCAGTTATCCGAACGTCCACCGTGACTTGACGGCGTTACCGCCCGTCTGTGGATGTGACGTCTCCGACGCCAGCCGCCAGCCTTGGCTGGTCGCGTACTGTGCACCCACTCTCCTCGGACAGGAGCACTGCTACCTCCCCGATTGCTCACTGTGTGGTGCTGTTCTCCCCCGGCCCCATCACAGGCGCGTGGCGCTGCGCGTAATAGTGTCGTCAAATGGCCTTGACGCGAAGCGCAGGAGTTCGCGGCCTCTGCCAGGGAGCAGGTCAACATCCTGACCAGCATGGCGCAGACGATGACCGAACGCTTTGCCAGCATCGCCGACTTCTTTGCGTTCGACCAGAAGAAGTACACCATGGAGGACTTCTTCGGCGACATCAGCACGTTTATCAAGCAGTTCCAGGCAAGGGTTTCAGTCGCGGTACCCAATCCCACCGATCCTAGCAGCGGTGGCATTAACAGCGGTGGCACGAGAAAACCGGCGAAGCTTTTGAAATCCGTGGTTCTCCATCCCCAGGTTGATTTTAACGAGTCTGCCTTAGCTATTCAAACAATCCTTGGCCGGCCAGGTTAACTTAGCAGTCATTTCAGTTGCCCTTTTGCTGCCCAGCTGATGGCTACCACTCTCAAGAGATGACTGGCTAGTACCACTGGCTACCAAGAGATGACTACTCGTGGATGTGTTTTTAGGTAGCAAAATAGACGCCGCATTTCTCGAAGTTCGGCTCCCGCACGGCGCACCAAATTAAGTTATAAGCGCCGGGTACCTCAAAGTCTGGATCAAAGCTCGGGGGGCGTTTGTGGGTATGCGTGCGCCCCTGACGCTCAGCTCCGCTGGACCAGGAACGCGCCTGGGTGTGTTTGCACTCCTGACGCTCCGTTCACTGGGGCAGGGGCGTGTCTGGGTAGGCGTACGCCCCTGATGATTCACTCCGCTGGGTCAGGGACGTGTCTGGCAGTGCGTACACACCTGACCCTTATTTCCACCGGAGCAGGGGCGTGTCTGGGTAGGCGTACGCCCCTGATGGTTCACTCCGCGGGATCAGGGACGTTTCTGGCAGTGCGTACACACCTGACCCTTATTTCCACCGGGGCACGGGCGTGTCTGGGTAGGCGTACGCCCCTGGTGCTTCACTCCGCTGGATCAGGGACGTGTCTGGCAGTGCGTACACACCTGACCCTTATTTCCACCGGGGCACGGGCGTGTCTGGGTAGGCGTACGCCCCTGATGCTTCACTTCGCTGGATCAGGGACTTGTCTGGCAGTGCGTGCACACTTGACCCTTATTTCCACCAGGGCACGGGCGTGTCTGGGTAGGCGTACGCCCCTGAAGATTCACTCCGCTGGGTCAGGGACGTGTCTGGCAGTGCGTGCACACCTGACCCTTATTTCCACCGGGGCAGGGGCGTGTCTGGGTGTGCGTGTGCCCCTGACGCTCCGCTCCGCCGGGCCGCGCAGGACGCCTACCAGGACAATGTGAAGCTGCGCGAGACCGAGGCTAAGATCCAGCGTGCCAAGGAGGCCAAGGCCAAGGCGGAACGTGAGCGCAACGAGAAGAAGTCACAGAAGCGCGCTATCGAGGCCATGATGGAGGGTGGCGACAACCAGGAGGGCGTGATGGACAGCCTGATGGAGGCGCTGCAGTCGGGCTCCGCCTTCAGCCGCGACCAGCGCAAGAAGCGGCCCGCCCGGCCCGCCGGAGGTGGGTGGTCCGGGCCGCGCGGCGGGCTCCGGAGGGGCCGAGGTGCCTGATCGTGCTCTTGTATGGCGAACTCGCTTGATTGTATGCCATAGTGTATGGTCATGACGGCGTCGTGTGACTTCTGATGAACATAATGTGTGGCGCATGTCTAGAGGGCGCTGCATTTCTCGTCTGCATTTCTTGTGAGGTGCTTAACATGCATCGATCGTGCTTTCCAAGCCATCATGTGTGTGTTTTTGGCAAACCACGCTTATCAAAGTGAAACGCCGTAAAGCTCACGTACAGAGCGCCGGTGCCGGTGCCCGAGGGTGGCCCTGAGCGATGTGCCGGTGCTGGAGGGTGGCCCTGAGCGATGTGCCGGTGTCCGAGGGTGGCCCTGAGCGATGTGTCGGTACCAGAGGGTGGCCTGGGTGGTGTGCCGGTACCAGAGAGTGGCCCTGGGCAGTGTGATGGTGCCCGAGGGTGGCCCTGAGCAATGTGCCGGTACCAGAGGGTGGTCCTGGGTAGTGTGCCGGTACCAGAGGGTGGCCCTTAGCGGTGTGCCGGTATCAGAGGGTGCTCCTGGGTAGTGTGCCGGTAACAGAGGGTGGCCCTGGGTAGTGTGCCGGTATCAGAGGGTGGCCCTGGGTAGTGTGCCAGTAACAGAGGGTGGCCCTTGGTAGTGTGTCGGTATCAGAGGGTGGCCCTGGGTAGTGTGCCGGTAACAGAGGGTGGCCCTGAGCGGTGTGCCGGTGCCAGGGGTGACCCTGAGCGATGTGCCAGTACAGGCACATCAGGGGGTGGCCCTGGGCAGTGTGTCAGTATCAGAGGATGGCCCTGGGAAGTGTGCTGGTGTCCGAGGGTGGCCCTGGGCAGTGTACCGGTGTCCGAGGGTGGCCCTGAGCGATGTGCCGGTGTCCGAGGGTGGCCCTGAGCGGTGTGCCGGTACTACAGGGTGGCCCTCAGCGGTGTGCCAGTACCAGAGGGTGGCCCTGGGTAGTGTTTCGGTGCCAGAGAGTGGCCCTGAGCGGTGTGCCGGTACCGGAGGGAGGCCCTGAGCGGTGTGCCGGTACCAGAGGGTGGCCCTGGGCAATATGCCGGTGTCAGAGGGTGGCCCTGGGTGGTTTGCCGGTGCCAGAGGGTGGCCCCAAGCGGCGGTGCCGGTGTCCGCGAGAGCGGTGGTGGGCTGCTGTGTCGCCGTCACCCGCCGCCCGCTCCTGGCCGGCAGCTGAACGGCGCGCGCAGCTGAGTCGAAGCCGGTCGCGGCCGGGCCTGAACGGAGACGAGGACCACCGAGACGTGCCTAGGGAGGCAACCACCGAGTGAGTGGGCTCTGCTTCGGGCCCTCTCTGACCGGAGGTGCCCGTGATGTCGCGAGACGCTTCATCTACGCGAGCACGCCTTTTATCGCAGATCTCGTCTGGGTTACACATGTGTCATTCTGTCAGTCCGACCTTCGGAATATGTCGCACCGTCAGCTGCCCGCGACTTTGCCCTACCGTCACCCCTTTTTGACTGTGCCGTGCAGTATACTTTTGGGGCTGCACCGTACTTCGTCCCGACTGTTCCGTGCCATGATTTTTACGGACATTTTGGCCGTCCCGCTCCGTCATCTGACGACCAAGTGATTGCACCGCTTGGTGGGCCACTGAGTTTGTCCCTGAGTACCGCCCCGCCTTTGCCTGGCCTCGCTGCAGTTCGTTCTTCGTCAGCCCCTGCCGTCAGGCCCCCGTCAGTTCCTGCCGTCAGTCCCCCGTTGGTCCCTCCCGTTAGCCCGTGACTCCCCGTTGTACCTCTACCGTCCCTGCGCCGCAGTCCGCCAACCCCACTCGTTAGTCCGACTCCCCGTTGTACCTCCACCGTCCCCACGCTGCGGTCCGTCGGCCCCTGACATCAGCCCCTGACCAGTGTCGTGCCCCTGCCGTCGCCGTGCCGCAGTCCGCCAGCTTTTCCAGTCAGCCCCTGACCCCTGTCGTGCCCCTGCCGTCGCCGTGCCGCAGTCCGCCAGCTTTTCCAATCAGCCCCTGACCCCTGTCGTGCCCCTGCCGTCGCCGTGCCGCAGTCCGCCAGCTTTTCCAATCAGCCCCTGACCCCTGTCGTGCCCCTGCCGTCGCAGTGCCGCAGTCCGCCAGCTTTTCCAATCAGCCCCTGACCCCTGTCGTGCCCCTGCCGCAGACCGGCGCCGGAAGAGCCGCTCCGCGTGGTGGGCGTGCGGCGCCGCTCCAACCAGCCGGGCGACGAGCGTAGCCGCGAGAAACGCGTCAACAGCACCAACAAGCTGCTGGACAGTCTGATGGAGACGGGCTCCTAGCCGTGCCGGGCGACCGCCGGTGCCGCGGGCGGCGGCGGGAGGACGAGTAGGCGACCGAAGCGTGGAGGGAAGGGACTCGATGTGGTAGAGGAACGGAGGGGGTAGGTCGGTAGGAGCTGCTCTGTCGGGCTTTAACTCCAAGGCGGGCAGCGCCGAGCGTGGAAGGTCCCTAATAGCGGATGGGGTCGCTGAGGTACACAAATGGTCTGAGCTAGTGACGCGGCAGTCGTACCGTTTGATGCTAATCTAGGTTTTATCAAGGGGTTTGAAGTGGTGACTATTGTGATTTACTTGCTCAGTACATATCGTGGACGTCCTGTGGGCGCGCTGTCAAATTACGGATGCGTGCCAGCTAATAGGTAAGATTCCGAGCTTATACTTATGTGTTTGTGCGCTTGATTACTGTTGTCCTGTCTGTTGGCAGATCACGTTATGATGTGACACGAGGTGCTCCCGAGTTATACAGTCGTGCGACGAATTTGACGCTTCCCAGCTAAGCGTGCTTCCAGCCAGACCTTTCAAATAGGAAACGTGGCTTCCGTAGGCGTCGCTAGTTATTAACCCGTCATCGAGACTATAGATGCGCATCTCCTCGGAGTTTCGTCGTGCGTGTGGTGGGATGTGTGACCCGCATTGAATGGCTTCCTGTCTCTGCCGTTGCATGGAGCATGTGCATTCCTGCGTGCGTCGCGCAACAAGCTGTTCAGGCGTTGTGAAAGCCGTGGAGGTGCGACTTGTCTGCGACGCCTTGTGCCAAACGGGCGGCGTTCGTCGTCTTCCGTCAAACGAATTAGAACCGTCGTGGCGGAACGAGTCGATGCTGTGCTTGTGCCTGTTCTCCCAGTGTACTTACGATTTTTATCGGAACTTAGAGTCACGTTTTGAGCGGCAGGATGTCTTAAACCGGCGCAAGTTTCGCGGAAGACCTGTGATCGGCCTGAATCAGGCTGTGCGCGTGGCCACGTTAACTGCCTTAGGACTGCTGGCAGCAGCACAGCCTGCGTGTGCGTGCAGTCCCTGCGGTCAGCTGTCTGTGGAGCGGTGGGCCCGACCGCCAATGCAGTGGTTGGGCGTGGTCCGGCAGCCGCAGTATCTCTCTCGACAATATCCCTGCAGTGTGCACCCTGGCGGAGCCAGCGATGTGCTCGCAACATTCCACGAAGCGCGCACATGCGTGCTCCGATGTCCCGATTTCCCTTACAATGAGATGGTGTGCTCATTGGCGATCGCTGGTCTTCGCGGTGGCTGCCTGGTCACGGCGCGCATGCGCAGCGAGCGAACTTACAAGTTGGATTTGACAGCAGCTGGTATGGTGTGGTCCTGCAGTCATTTTCCTGCCGGAAAATGCCGACTTGTCGCATTTTAGCGAGCCCGTTGCGCCTCTGTTGAGACGGGTGATCACGCTCGTTTGAGACGGGAGAGCGGGACGAAGGCGATGTCTTCGCGTCCCCAGTACCTGTACCGTGCCTTGGTCTCGGCCACACCAGTTAGCTGTTTTATTCGACGCGATCGTCGGTTGTTGGGTGCGATAATATAAACTATCGTTTGTGCCGGCCGTGTTTGTCAGTCTCATCAGTCAATCCGGCGCACATGTCAGTCTCATTTTCTTGTCGGCATCCGAGAGCGGCCCAAACAAGCCACCAAGGGCGGAGCAGTGTGCTTGATGCGCTGTGAACTGAGTTCTTCGCCTTCACACTGATTCTTGAACACATGATAGGGGGTCACGGCACAGGGTCATGTTAACACCTAACGGTACAGAGGGCGAGCGCCAATATTGCGGAGCAAAATGGCTCCCGCGTCATCGATGGTAACACGCTCACATGCGGGGACGGCGTTAGCGTGTGTAAGGGCGGAGACGTCTCCGGCGGTAAGGGGCGGCCGCGTGAGACGCACGGCACGCACCATTGCCTCCATTGAAACGTGGTGTTTCGACTTGGCGAACGTTCGAACAAAATGTCTCAATCAATCTCAATCTCAATCAGGCAATCTCATTACCGGTTGCGTTGATTGTGCATCCGGAAGCAGCGAGAACTTTGGCACTGAAGTCCTGTTGGTACGCATAGCTGCACAGGACAGCACTGCCGCCGTCACTGGCCGCAGAAGACGGACTGTTTATCTTGGGGCCGTCGCGGTCAGGGCGAGTTCAGTGCGCTTTCAGCCATCCGCGGGTGGCGGACGCGTGACATCAGAACTCACAGCTCAGAGCGAGCGTGATCTGTGAGTATTAGTGTGCTGGATGCCTGGGTATTGCCACTCTGGGATTTCGGGGCAAGTCAAAATTGGGGCTCTCAAACTGGAAGCTGGGGAACAAGTTGACCTTGAGATCCTTGCGCCTGCGCAGTTGCCTCCATGTCTTCCAATGGGAAAGTGTGGAAACGTGCATGATATGCGAAGCACCATCCCATTATGCGGAATTGGGGTGATCGCCTGGTAGCGCAGATGCAGTGTATGCTGGAGGTGATCACGGGGCCGTAATCAATTGTAGCATGTGACTTGGCAAGGACAGGTATTGACAAGCACACATGTAGCTAAACTGGGAATACACTTAGGCTTAACTTAAGTTTATTAGGTTTAGCTTACGCCTATCCTCCGATTATATTCTTTCCATGGTTTTACCTCAGAACCTTTAAAATTACGTCCTTTCCGATAAAGCACAAATAAAAGCTGCGTCCCCGGCCTGACTGAGTCCACACGTATAACTAGTGCGGGGGGGGGGGCTGGGGAACCATGCCTCAGTTTTTACAAACGGGGTTTTGTTTCCTCCAAGTTTGCCCGTGAAACGTTCACTTTTGGGTTTTGTATTAGAAATGCATGCTTAAGTGACGCTGCACTTCTCAGATTTTAGTCGACCCCTCAACGCTATTCCCCCAATCTCAGAGACATGATGACACCCATACGACAGCCATCCTACGCACGTTTATATATATATATATATATATATATATATATATATATATATATAAACATGCAGAGGCTGACGTCATTTGCTGGCTGTGCTGCCGCCTCTGCTCAGCGCTCACGCCTGGCACTGGCGCGCCTCGCACCGCACCAGATGGCCGAGCTGACCTATGACCGGGTGGTGGTGGGGGCCGGCATCATCGGCGCCTGCACAGCCTACCAGCTGGTGAAGGCTGGACACAGGAGCGTCCTCCTGCTGGACCAGGTGAGTAGCGGCGCGGCGTTCGCTCGCCGTCCGACCAATGTCAGCCTCACACGCGCTGTCTGCAATGTGCCAGTGCAGTAACTTAACGCGTTATCAAACATTGAATGGAGGCAGCACGCGCGCACGTCAGCACACACAACAGGCCAAATCAAAGGTTATGCTAACGGAATGCATGGCACTGCTGCAAGCCGGACGCTGCTGAGACACTATTGAGACACTACTGAGACCGGCCGCTACTGAGGCACTACTAAGACCGGACGCTACTGAGACACTACTGAGACCGGACACTACTGAGACACTACTGAGACCGGACACTACTGATATACTACTGATACGAACGACCTGTGTTGGACCACTACTGAAGCTAGTGAGACGAACGACCTGTGTTGAACCGACATTCCAATACTGTATCATTTACTCAGTTCTCTGCCCTTGCTGCTTCCCATGGCCAATAGCATGCATGGCTACGTTTATACTTTGTGCGCCTAGTCGGAGTGGCAGCCGAGTAACTGCCAGAGTGATGACCCTGTAACTCTGTGCCGCCAGTTCCCGCTGCCCCACTCGCGCGGCAGCTCCCATGGCCAGAGCCGCATCACTCGCACGGCGTACCGGGACCCGGTGCAGGGCCAGATGGCGCGGCGGTCCCGCACCCTCTGGGACGACATCCAGCGGCATGCCGGCGAAACTCTGTGCCAGTGAGGACGAGACGTTGATTGGTTAGCCGCCGGTGTTCATGTGGTGACGTCCTGCAAATAAGCCAGGGTGAACGCAGTTGAGCTTTGGATTGACGGAATCTACACAAATTCTCACCGGTCATCAAGCATTAACTCTGGAAAACAACTTTCCAAGCAAACTTGAAGTTGAGTGTGGATACCACGTGCATATACAGCAGGAGTCGAGCCTCCCTTCAATTTGGGGAGGGGGGGGGGGGAGGCGGGGCTCTGGCACTTCTTTAAGTCCATCTCTCTCTCTCTCTCTCTCTCTCTCTCTCTCTCTCTCTCTCTCTCTCTCTCTCTCTCTCTCTCTCTCTCTCTCTCTCTCTCTCTCTCTCTCTCCTCTCTCTCCTCTCTCTCTCTCTCTCTCTCTCTCTCTCTCTCTCTCTCTCTCTCTCTCTCTCTCCTCTCTCTCTCTCTCTCTCTCTCTCTCCCTCTCTCCAAATTTGGAAGAAAGTGGGCCAGGTCCGCGGAGAAACCCGTTTGTTGTATTTTGGGGTAATTCCATTTTATATACCTCAGCCCTCGCCCCCCATCCCAACGTATTTTGCGAAGCTACGCCCCTGATATGTAGTCAGTATAAATGTCGGTTATAGCTGCATCATCTGTTTCTTTCGATGCCGGAGATCTCAGAGCCCCCTCAACCAGTCCGATCTGTCCCCAACCGTCGCTGCCGCCGTGCCTGCAGCGACTGCCCGATGCTGCTGGTCTCGGCGGCCGAGAACCGGGAGCTCTTCGAGACGTACCTGGCTTGCCTGGACGACCAGACTGTGTACTCAGGGCGGCAGCTGGCGGAGCTCGTGCCGGTGGCGCGCTTCCCCGTCACCACCGTCGGCTGCCTGGACAGGACGGCTGGCGTGCTGCGAGCCGACCGCTGCCTGGAGGCCGTGCGCCGGCTGTACCTGGCCGCCGGCGGCAGCCTGCGCGACAGCTGGCCCGTCACCGAGGTCTCGCCCGGCGTCGGCACGGTGACGCTGGCCGGGCCGGCGGGCCGGGTGCGCGCGCGCGGGGCGGTGCTGTGCGCCGGCGCCTGGGCCGCACAGCTGCTGGCGCCGCTCGGGCTGCCGCTGGCGCCGCTGCTGGCGCCGCTGCGCGTGCCCGTCACGTACTGGCGACTGCGACCCGGCGCCAAGGCGCCCCTCGTCGGCATCGATTTGGGTCCGGGTGACAACACGTCGCACTTCTACTGGCTGCCCAGCCTCGAGTACCCCGGCTTGGTGAAGGTGCGCCGCGGGTGACGTCGGACCGCAGCGGGACTAAGCCGCGACTAGGCCGGGCCGGGTGATCCTGCGGTGTCTGTTAGGCGATGACTTATGCGGAGCTCGACAAGTGCCGCGGGCCCAGGACGCATTACCATATGCTTAAGATGCAGGTAGTAGAAAGGCGGTAATCATTCCGTGGCTATGAGGTGTCGTGTGTTGCCTGCAATAACTATAAGCGGGCGATTCCTTTACGTCTGTGTGCGCCAGGCTGGGGTTTCCATTGGTTGGTGAGACGAAGCAATGCATGATTGTCGTACACATTACCACGCATCCTAAAACTCTCCGCACACCACCACCGAGGGGATCCCTACCGACGTTAATCCCGGTTACGCTCGCGCTGTTCCAGTTGTGCATCCACACTGGAGTCCCCTGCGACCCAGACAGGAGGGACGCGGTCTCCACAGAGGCCGTACTCCGGCGCCTCACCGAGTACGTGACACAGAACTTCCCGGGCCTGGAGCCGGAGCCGGCCATCGTCGAGACGTGCATGTACACGGTAAGGCGTGTTCACGCCCTCCGAGAAACCCAGCGCAACCAATGCCTTCCCCACTGTCCACCGCGAGCACAGGCTGCTGTGTTAGTTTCTATACGTCCACGTAGCGAGCATTCGTGTAACCATCCCGGCCAGCACTTACCTATGAGCCCGACACGGCAAAGGGAAGCGCGCGTGGCACCACACGGACCGCGTGCACGCCACACACGGGCAGCCGGTCAGGAGTATAGGCTGCGGCATGCTCGTGACAGCCTGACAAGGGCGATACCACGTCGGCCGGCAGCCTGTGCTAGTGCGAAGTGATTGTGCTGTGTTTCTGACACGGATTTCACGCGGTTTGCAGACTACTCCGGACGAGAGATGCATACTGGACGTCCATCCGGCCCACCCAAATATCGTGTTCGCAGCCGGGATGTCAGGTACTGAGGACTGGCACCTCGGAGACTTATCGCGCCCAGGGTTCAGACCTACCTGAACAACGTATTTTCATGAACATCTCATCTTTTACGCAACATTGCCAGGACAGCCGGAGGACAAGGTGCTTTTGTTAAATGCATATTTCTATGTGCAACTTTGCAGTACTAACGTTGATTGTATGGAATGTCAGGTAAGCAACTACAACCACCCCATTCCCAAAACAATAACTTTCAAGATATCTGGACGCCTCGCACCCTTCCTCCCAGGAAGCAGATACGAGCCGGCTACAACACCCGGCTTGTGAGGAGCTGCAATTCCATCAGATGTCCCGTGTTGTGCAGCAGCATCACAGCCAGAACAGCCGGTCAGACCGGGTTCTCCTCCACAGGCGAGGGCTTCAAGATGGGGCCGGTGTTCGGCGAGGTGCTGCAGCGTCTGATCGACGGCGAACCGAGCCAGTTCGACCTGGCGCGGTTCTCTCTGCGGCGGTTCGACGGAGCCCGCCAGCTGGCCGGGCTCTGATCTGCCGCATCCTCTCCGTGACCGGCAGGAAGCCTCGGCGCCGCCACGCTCATACGGCTGTCGGCCCATTCTGCACTGGTGCTGGTCACTTTAGAGCCAGCGCGGGAAGGCTGTGGGGCTCACCATGCGAATACAAGCATCTGGTTTATTTTTGTGTGGCCAGTGTATATTTGGAGGCGGGCGCGTCCACCTCAGCCTTGTGACGTCACTATCAGAGGTCGTGGTTGACCAATTCCCGTCCAATGCTGAGACCATTGGCAGTGCGGGCCACCACGCGACAAACCGCTCAGTCGCCAAACAGCACACAAGTAAGCACATTTGTTGCAAATTTATTGTCTTAGGAATCCCTTCGCACAACACTGAAACCGTATTATAGCTGCATCGTAATCGATCGACTACACCCACGTACGGGATGTTGAACTTGATGAGGGAAGGCGTGGACCGACCAACGCCCACCGCCCCGCCGAACCGGTGAGAGACCGGGCGGACAGACAAGGCCAGGGAGGGGGGCGCCCGGGGCCGACCGGCGCACCGGACGGGGACATGACCCGCGCGGACAGGGCATAAAGAGATACCTGGAGCGGGTGGTCCTGGCCACCGGGGGCGCCGTCGCAGCGATGCCCCCACGGTCCGCCGCGGACGGCGGTGGCGCCACGCGCGCACGCCCAGCGGAACGAACAGAGCACAACAACGCTCGCCCAGCCGGGCCTGCTGCGGCGCCGCCTCGTAACAATACAATACACGGCTGGTAAAAATGCAACAAGATCTTAGCTGTAAAATGACACGCATCAGTGTACAAAAACATCGCAACGGACCGCAGCGGGCGGCGGAGGCTGCCCGGCCGCCCGAGCCGGGCGCAGCCTCTAAAATAAGATGATCCCACCACCAAGAAGATGGATTATGCTATACGTGTCGAAGAGGCGAATGCTGGGGCCGACGGCAGTCCCTGGCGCTTACCTGGCGCGGACCGCCGGCCGGCGCGGCGGCGGCGACTCCGCCGACGCTGGCGGCGCGGGCGGCTCCCGACGCCTCACGACTCCACCACCATGGTGACGGTGCCGGTGGCGTTGGTGAGGATCGTGACGGCCTGCTGGTGCGTGACGCCCGTCATGGGCACGCCGTTGACGCTGCGGATCATGTCTCCGCGGCGCAGCGAGCCCTCGTCGGCCGCCGCGCCGCGCGCGAACACCGTCTTCACGTAGATGGGCAGGGCACCCTGCGGCGAGCCGTGGCCGCCGACTACTGAGAAGCCGAGCCCGGCGGCGCCCCGTTGCAGCACCACCACGCGCGCCGCGGCCGGCGGCGGAGGCGGCGGCGGCGGCGGCGGCGGCGACGGCGCAGGTGACGGCGCGGGCGCGCTGCCGGGCGGAGGCGAGGGTCAGGCGGACGGAGCGGAGCACGCGCGGCCGCAGCGGCCGACGGCTCAACGGCTGCTGTCTTAGGAGCCGGCGTCGACGCACTGACGTGCCAGCGGCGACGACAGGCGGGCATTGACATCAGCAGGCCCGTCGTCTAAACGCCTAGACGACGCATCAGCGGCCAGTGGTTTCGTGGGAGACCGAGGTCCACAGCGACGGTTGCGATAGAACGGAATCAGTTCCGAGTTCCGTTCCGCTCCGAGTCGACGGGCAGGTACATACATGCGGACAGGGTGTCGCCATAAAGTCAAAGTGGCGAATCAATACAATCACTGCTTACGACATGCGTTAATTTGATGTCACTCAAATAGCATGCGTTACAAATTCCATGTTTGCATGACCACTGCATGGAAATTCGTGGCGTGTAAAGTCATTAGAGGGGAGGGTGAAATCCAGACAAGCACGAAGCTGCGCTAAGTAAAGCTAGCGAACGCACACAGCTTCACTTATAAGATGATTGTCCTTTAGTGTGATCAAGACCCTTAGCATGGGATTACAGATCTGAACATACACCATCGCTCAGTTAGGAGGCTTCAGCCAGGCAACATCGTAGCCAGTGCAAACATGTTCGCGAAACACTCATGCATCAATGCGTTCTATGCTGCGTAGGAAAATGTGCGTGGAATGGAAACGATACATCTTCCATAGCCTTTGTTGGCTGCTTGCTTTTCTATTTCAATGCGTGGCGCGAAATTTACGGAACGCTGTTCGTTCCCCGCAACGCGCGGAAATGATTGCTTCTTTTATTCGCAACACCGTTGCCGGTACATGGGTGAGCCTTTTGCTATTTCGACGTGCGATCTGCAAGGCAGCCGAAACACACAACGACAAAAGAAACCGAACCGACAACCTGGCAGCACTCGGGTGCTTTTAAAATAGGAAGAATCTGCACAGCCCATGCAAATAAAATCCATGCACTCTACGGTGAAACAAGAGAAGCTCGAACGCTCGAGTACGTCACTAGAGGTAAGCACTGTCGCTGGCGAAACGCCACGGGACTGCATGCAGCAGTGCGGAGCGCCACAAGGAATCTACTCACCATCACCTTATTTCACCTTCCTGGCGACCCCAGATCAACAGAAAAGAAACGGGAGAGAGTTAGCACCCTAAATGGGTCCAGCCAGACAGCATGGGACAACGTTATTCCACTCACTCGCACGCCCCGCCCCTGTTCCCACTGGCATCATGGACACCACACCACGTTCATAGCTAGTACAGTTCTCGGCAACGACTGTCACACAATCGGGTACACATCACGAGGACGAGCGCGTCCACAGCTGGGCTGCAGTGCCGCGGGCGATGACCGGAGCGTGCCCGAACCACCTCGGGCGGAGGAGTCCTACAATACTCACGCGTCAGGCACTTTGCTGGTGGCGTTGGCGGCGCCGGGCGAGTGACGCACTTTGAGCCGCCCCACTTTCATGTTGATTTTGCCCATGGACGTCTTGAGGATGGAGGCGGCCTGCTCCTGGGTGGCAACCTTGAGGTCCTGGCCGTTGACCGAGAGGATCTGGTCGCCCTGGATCAGGCGGCCGTCCGCTTCCGCCACGCCGCCTTTCACCTGTCGGACACGGCCCGATGGTGGGTCAGAGATCTCGGCAGACCCCGCCACATCGCCCTTCACCCGTCACACACGACCCGGCGGCGGGTCAGAGGCCTCGGCAGACTCTGTCACACCGCCCTTCACCCGTCACACCCGGCCCGGTGGCGGGTCAGAGGCCTCGGCAGACTCCGCCACATCGCCCTTCACCCGTCACACACGACCCGGCGGCGGGTCAGAGGCCTCGGCAGACTCTGTCACACCGCCCTTCACCCGTCACACACGGCCCGGCGGGTCAGAGGCCTCGGCAGACTCCGCCACATCACCCTTCACCCGTCACACACGACCCGGCGGCGGGTCAGAGGCCTCGGCAGACTCTGTCACACCGCCCTTCACCCGTCACACACGGCCCGGCGGGTCAGAGGCCTCGGCAGGCTCCGCCACACCGCCCTCCACCCGTCACACACGGCCCGGCGGCGGGTCAGAGGCCTCGGCAGACTCTGTCACACCGCCCTTCGCCTGTGTCGGTCACGGCCCGGCAGCGGGTCAGAGACCTCGGCAGACTCCGCCACGAGAGACCTCGGCGGACTCTGCCACGCCGCCCTTCACCCGTCACACCCGGCCCGGCGGTGGGTCAGAGGCCTCGGCAGACTCCGCCACATCGCCCTTCACCCGTCACACACGGCCCGGCGGCGGGTCAGAGGCCTCGGCAGACTCTGCCACACCGCCCTTCACCTGTGTCGGACACGGCCGGCGGCGGGTCAGAGACCTCGGCAGACTCCGCCACGGGAGACCTCGGCGGACTCCGCCACGCCGCCCTTCACCCGTCACACCCGGCCCGGTGGCGGGTCAGAGGCCTCGGCACACTCCGCCACGCCGCCCTTCACCCGTCACACATGGCCAGGGGGCTGCAGATTCGGCCCAGGGCACTCCATCCATCTGGTCGACACCATCCAGAGACAAGTTAAAGAACTCTGCGGAGCCCGATAAGCTGCGCTTCATCTGCCAACCACGACTGAGAGACAGCGCAGACCCCGCTAAACAACCGCCAATCGCATGCGCCCCATACCACACAAGTACCGACCGCCATCCGCCATACAAGTACCGACAGCCATCCGCACATCACAACCCCACATACTCGCACAAATACATCCATGCCGGTCAGGGTCGTGATAACCGATCGGTTGTGGTGATCGGTTCAAAATCGTGGATCGGTTACAGGATCGGTACGTGAAAATATATCGAAAGTTAGAAAGCATAAACCTTCCTGTGTCGTGGGTGTAAAGCTGCCCATTGCGTGGCATGTGGGTGTGTTGCGTGGTGTGTGGTCTAGATATTAAGTCAGACATGACAGGCGCCACCACACCTCCACGCGGCCAGACCACAAACCCGACACGAGCGTCGAGCGGGAGCCAGGCCGAGCCCGTCTCATCACCACCACCAGCGACGCAGGCACGAACAGAAGCTGGACACCGCCAGCCCCGGGCGGCAGCGGCTCACCAAAGCGACCAACACAACGCCAGGCACGCGACGGGCGCGAGCGCCGCCGCCTCGGACGGGCGCGAGGCCCAGCGACGAGATCGCACACAGCCGGCACTCACCACATCTGATATGAAGACGCCGGGTCCGTTCTTCCGGCCGACGATGCTGAGTCCGAGCCCCTTACCGGGCTTCTTCACCATCTGCACGTCCATGGTCTCGAACACGTCCTCCTCCTTGGTGGCGCCCTCCTCCCGATACACCAGCATCCGCACCTGATCGATGCGGGTCAGGTCAGGCCGCTGTCGAGCCCCACTACTACTCATGCACATGCATATACGCCCATGCAACCATTAGTCTGAGTGTTGTAACTGCGGCACGCATGTGATTTCAGCGCTGCCAGCCGATTTAAACGGCCATTGATTTCAGCGATCCCGACCGATGTAACCTGCAGCGAGTCGCGGACATCGCACGCCTCCAGCGACATCCGGCGAAAAGAACGCAGAGAAAGTTCTGAACGCACCCCGAGGGACGCAACTCGTGCCGCGCCGAGGGCCTCTGGCTGCCAAGAGCCCGCAGCGACGGGGCGCACGCCAATACAATCACTCGTGGCCCGGCTCGGCTTTCGACAACCATGCGCTGCCGCGCGCGGTCCCTGGTTTGTTAAAGCGGGGATGTTCGCCGCCGGCGCTGATTAATGACTACCTTGGAAGCAGCCGTGGTGCGCGGTGGCGGCGTCATTCATATTCATTTCAGTTTATTTTCGGGCCGTCAGCTCCACGCCGCGACGGCCCGGCCGGCGCGAGTGTCTACGCATAACGCGCTCCTTCGCCGCGGAAGGGACGGTCTGGAATGGAGCGAGCCGGGAGCGGCTGGCTGCCCGGCACCGGCAGCCGTGAAATGGAAACTGGCGTCCGGCAGCCGCCACCGGCCGTTTCACAGCCACAGCGGAGACCGAATCAATGGGCGATGTCGTGCCGAAACTCGAGATCCCGGATATCGAGCAGGAGCCCTCCCTCCCCCGGGGAGGTTCTGGTGCCGAGATGAATGTCGTCCAAACGGCGGGCATTCCGCGGGTCTTTGTGTGGATCGGTGGTGGTTTGGAAGATAAGGCTGGCGAATTCGTCATGACAGGGATATAGCCGAATCAAACGTTTATTGTGCAATAACTCCGGACCATAAAGCATGAAGCGGCAATAACTTGAGATAAGTTTCCAAAAGGAACTATCTTCCAGCCTGATATTCCTTGGAAGCCAGAGCAGTCAAATGTGTGGGGGCGGTCGTAGGGCAACTAAAGCCGCACCAATCTTTCTCACATCATGGTGTAACTTGTATGCCACCTGGGCACCAAAACATATTGACGCGTTCGGATTGGGTCGCTACTGTTCTGCGGTCACCCCTCTGCCAAAGCGACACTAGGAAGTGTTGGTAAATACACTGGAGCTGCACTGTGTGAAAAGTATCAATGGTCCGAGTGGCTCGGGAACTCGGATTCTGGTTTCTAATATTCTGCGTCAACTTTGGTGGGAGCCTGTCGCTGATTATTGCCGATGCTATCACACTTAACGGATGCCTTTCGCTTCACAAACGTCTGAACTCTCTGACGCTATTTCGGTGACGAAGACCAGCGACGGGACGAACATTCAAGGGGCCAATTAATCACATCTTTAATTAATTCTTAAAATTCAATGTTATCAAATTTTTGCAGGAGAGCGTAAACAGAGTTAAGTGTAATCTGCATGACAGACTCACAGCATATCTTACGATAACGATAAGCATATCTTACATATCTTACATATCAGCATATCTTACGATAAGTCCTGCCATGCCAGTTCAACAGATACCCTCGCCGCTCCAGCAGAGTCCACGTGGCGTCTTCACCGCCACTGCGCACCCAGCCGCCCAGGCACACCGCCACTGTCCACCACTCCCCGTTCCCACCGACCCGCGCCAGCGGTGGTAGCAGCAATTGGCGCTTACGGGCGCTTCGACTGCGCGGTCATACAGCGCCCCCCGGTCCGAACGGTCATACAGCGCCCCCCGGTCCGAGCGGTCATACAGCGCCCCCTCCGTTCCAAATGGTCATACAGCGCCCCCCGGTCCAAGCGGCCATACAGCGCCCCCCCCCCCCCCCGGTCCGAATGGTCATACAGCGCCCCCGGTCCCAGCAGTCATACAGCGCCCCCCGGTCCGAGCGGTCATACAGCGCCCCCCGGTCCGAACGGTCATACAGCGCCCCCCGGTCCGAGCGGCCATACAGCGCCCCCCGGTCCGAACGGTCATACAGCGCCCCCCGGTCCGAACGGTCATACAGCGCCCCCCGGTCCGAGCGGTCATACAGCGCCCCCCGGTCCGAGCGGCCATACAGCGCCCCCCGGTCCGAACGGTCATACAGCGCCCCCGGTCCGAGCAGTCATACAGCGCCCCCCCGGTCCGAGCGGTCATACAGCGCCCCCCGGTCCGAGCGGTCATACAGCGCCCTCCGGTCCGAGCGGTCATACAGCGCCCCCCCCCCCCCCCCCGGTCCGAACGGTCATACAGCGCCCCCGGTCCGAGCAGCCTCATCACACCAGCACGGCCGGCCGTGCTCCCCGGCGGCCCGGTCGTCACACCTCGCTCGCCATTTGGCGGCGCCCCTGGACGACAGACGTGCGCGGCCTGACGAGCCGCCCGGCCGACACCGGGCCCAACTCGTCGGCCGTCCGCAGGGACGCCCAGACCAATTCGCAGCCCACTCGGCGGCTGTCCACTCGATCAAGCGGCGCCGCGCCGCGCCCGCACGCGCGGGAGGAGCGCGAGCGCGCGGAGCGGGCGGCGACGGCGGCCGAGCCGACGGCGAACACGCGCCAGCGGAGGGGCCGACATCAGCCGAAGGTGGATTCACCGGGACCGGGCGCGGGCGATAAAGAGTGGTATGGCGCCGGGCAGGAGCCGAGCCCGACGGGCGCGAACTAGGCACAGGGAGCCGACAGACGTCGGGCGTGGCCGCTCAGGACCCACGCGACGCCAGGTCCCACGTGGCGGCCGTGCACAGAGCCGGTTCGACTCCCCTCTGGCGCAAACTGGTGAGCACATGTGAGCCCAATCGGCCGGCCAGAGGCAGGAAGGCCTAAGCGCCATCAGGTTAATTGCTCAAAAGAAGCGTTTTCACGTTTCCGCGGACCAAACATGCCCATGTGCTTAGAAAAGGGAAAGCTTTGCACGCAGCTTTTCCCGTTTTTTACTCTACATTTTAACCCGGCATTGACCGGGCTCCTCAGCGGTACACCATCGACCAGCGGGGCAGATTTGACCCCCTGCTTATATCAAGGACAGCCATATCGAATTTAAAAATCGCAATCCATAGCGCCTTGGCGTGCGGTCTTCCACCACACAACAAACTTAAATTTAAGTGTGTATTAAGGCCATAGGTCCACGTCAAATTATAAACAAATTACTTTGGAACACCTGACCGCCGCCACAACGCATATCATTCAGAAGCGTATCTCATGGCGTGAAATCAGTGCGCCCTAATCAAACGAACTACATAGGAAGGCATTCAATATTACGCGCGCCGCACCGGGCCTAGAGCCAAGGTCGCGTGTTGTGCGAATGAGAGCTGAAACCTTTGTGTGCATATCTGCTCCGGTCCATTTATTTCCGTCACGTTTGAACCATCTGAACGTGAAGCGGAGGAGCTTAGCAGTAATTATGGGTATCAAAAACTTGAGCAAGGGCGGTTACTGGTTCTTAGGCCATCTAATGTCAAGGCAAAATGACTGACCCCCGGTAGTAAATAGGCGGTTGGATCGATTTTCGCGTTGTTTTCGACGGTTTAGTCCTGCCGACAGCGCAACCTGATACCCTTCAACACCGCCACCAGTCACATGGTCGCTGGTTTGCGTGTGAAACTGATAACCTGCTTCCGTCGCCCCGCCACCGCGCCGCCGCGGAAGACCTGAGCCCCGCCGCGCGCCACCGCGGGCCGGGGACCTGGGCACGGGCCACATGCGCTGTGATGTGTTTCAAACAATAAACCATAACACCGCTACAGAGAATTGCTTGAAACTTGGTGCAGACATCCTTCATAGTCGTCTCTAGGACACCTTTGCCATGTTGGAAAATTGTGAATCTAAGACAAAGAAAAAATGCTGAGCGTACTTTTGTCCATTTTCTTTGATTTAACAAGCCAATATTTTACGGTGCAATACTGAAACAACACAACGACAAGGCATCTGAATGCTGGACTCATTGGCTCACATTTCCCGTTTACAGACGTTCGTTCTTTCGTTCGGCTCACGTGCCACTTTGTCTTCGGCTATGCACTTTTGTGAAAAAATCGGCCAACATGACGTCACTCTGATATTACTCACGCTTGCTCTATTGTGGCAAGCGTGAGTAATTATCATAGTTATTATCACACAAGGCGTAGAACTCATCAATTGGGAGCTACGGAAAATCACGCAGCGATATCTCCAGGTGTTGTTGAATTATCGCAAATGTTGCACATAGGAAGGGGAGATTTGACCTCTGATCAATGCCAGGTCAACATGCAGTTCTTCGAGCTTCTTCGAACGATATAAATACCTCCATTTCCGAAAAATGTCGCTCGGGTCTTTTGAACTTTAAGCGGCAGACATGAGCATACCCCTCAGAAGTTGTCTGAGCTCACGTGGCTGCCTGGAAAGTAAGCCGACGGGAGCTGAGGAAGTGGGAAGAATACGTCGGCTCAATGCCAAGATAGCATCTAACAGAGCGTCACCACGGCAGCGATCTGAACCGCGAACCATTCGTGACAGGACCCCGCCTAACCAAGCCAACATCCACCATTCTCACCATAGTCAAACCCCCGCTGGCCTGCTGATTCCGGTAAGAACCCGCCGCCTGACCTCCGCCTGACCCCTGCCGACCCTGCCCCCTCGGCTGACCCTGGCCGGCGTGACCCCTGCCGACCCTGCTCCCCTCCCCGGCTGACCTTGGCCGGCGTGACCCCTGCCGACCCTGACCCCAGCTGACCTTGGCCGGCGTGACCCCTGCCGACCCTGCCCCCTCCCCCGGCTGACCTTGGCCGGCGTGACCCCTGCCGACCCTGCCCCCTCCCCCGGCTGACCTTGGCCGGCGTGACCCCTGCCGACCCTGCCCCCTCCCCCGGCTGACCTTGGCCGGCGTGACCCCTGCCGACCCTGCCCCCCTCCCCCGGCTGACCTTGGCCGGCGTGACCCCTGCCGACCCTGACCCCAGCTGACCTTGGCCGGCGTCTGGCGCAGCACGGCCAGCGCCTTGTTGTGGCTGGCATCGCGGAAGTTCTCGTTGTTGACCTCCAGCACCTGGTCGCCGGGCTTGAGGCGTCCGTCCTTGGCCGCCGCGCCGTCCGGGTACACCTCGTGGATGATGATGGCCCCCTGGCGGCCGCCGCGCAGGCGTCAGGCACACGTGCACGCGGGACCTCGCCGGCAGCCGCTGATAGACCACGTCGAACCCTTCGGCGCCAGCCCCGAGGCGTTGTTGCCCGGTGGAATGGGATCTGCACTGGCGCCAGGTACGCCGCACAGCGGGCGCGTGCGTCCGCTGTGACAGACACGCCTCTCGAAAGGGGGCCACTGGCATACCGCCGTCCGTCTGTTCAGAACGAAAGAGCGAGCGGCCCATCCCAGACCGTCGGCTGCATTCCAGAGAAGACGACACCGCAGGCAGGCTTCACACAGCAAATCTGAAACCCCTGGCGTTTGTATGTGCGTGGTGAGAGCGGACAGACCGTACTGAACTGGTTCGACCGACTCATACTATCTCGCAATACTAACCAAATCCGAAGCTGCCCTCAGAACGCCTTTTTGGCGCCGAAACATTCCGAATGATGCGACTAACACCGGCGGGCTGCTCTTTCCATTCAAGCAGCTGGCCACAGCTGGACACAGCGCCGCTCCACCGACCACCGCCAGCATGCCGTGTGTCACGAGTGGCGCTGACCGCAGCGTCACCGGCGCCTGAAGCGCCAGCCGGACGGGAGCGAGCGCCCGGGCACCCACCAGCAGCGTGTCCGAGCCGCCGACGATGCTCAGGCCGAGGCCCATCTTCTCCTTGCTGATCTCGATGGTGGTCTGACGACCGGGCACGATCGGGCAGGCGGCCGGGTCGGCCGGCGGCTCCTCTGGCGGCGGCAGGACGTCAGCCGGCGCCGCCGCCGCCGCCGGCGACGGCTTGCTCGGCTTGGGCGGCGGGCGGGGCGCCACCGGAGGGGCGGCGCCCGCCGCCACCACTGCCGAGACTGGGACCGGGACCGGGACCGGGGCCAGGACCGCTACGGGCGCCGGGACGGCGGTAGGAACGGGGATGGCGGTGGGCACGGGGGTGACGACAGGGACAGGGACCGAGGCCGGGACCGGAAGCGAAGGCGAAGCCGGGGTCGGAGGTGGGGGCGAGGCTGGGGCTGGGGCCGGGGCCAAGGCCGCGGCTGGGGCTGGGGCGGGGACGGCGGTGGGGGGTAAGGGTAGGAGTAGGGACGGGGACGGGGACGGGGACGGGGGCGGGCGCCGGGGCCGAGGCCGGAGCGGGGATCGGGACCGAGGCGGGGGCTGGGGTGGGGGTCGGGGCCGGCGCGGGAGCGTTGGCTGCCGACCACTGGGACGCATTCAGCACCGGCTTGGGAGGTATCCCTGCAAACGAAGGCGTCACCGTTAGGTTTGGATGGCCTCGTCATCCCAATCAGATTATGGTCCAGTTAAAGCCAGTTACGGGCTCATTTTCTTTAATTCCCCGCCTGATGATGACGATGACGACTGGGGTTTTCAGTGCATCAGCTTGACGGTCATATAGCACCAGCGTCTCGGACGCCATTATTTTAACCCACCGGTTCACTGGGACTATTAAACGAATTAAGAGCCAGCAAAATAATCCACAAGACTAAGGTGTGCTGGTGGTTTCACTGATGACTGGCGACAAGTTAAGTGCTTCGTTCGACCGCCCCGTCGACACTACGACCTATTTGCCGTGCCACACTAGGCTAAAGGACAAGTCACGTTCGTCACGCGACCCTGCTACAGAGCGAGCGCGGCGACGGCTCGTGACCGCGGCGCGAACGGCGCCACGGGTCGCCTCCCGCACCTGGACAGGCCGCACGCATGCGCCCAGCGCGGTGCACAAGTGCATGCGGTTGACGGGACGGTGACCAGCCGGTGCACCAGTCTAATGTGCAGGCGCACCGCAAGTGCTGCCGTGGAAGGTGACCGCAGCAGCACGGGACTAATGCATGATAACGGCGAGGGTTTTCAGTCTCATGAGCCAGGCGTCCACGCAACACCCGTGGCTCGATTTGCGCACGAGGCACCACAGATCTGGCGGCGCGGGGGCGGGCACAGGCCCAACAGGCAGAGACGACCTACACCCCTGCGAGGGCGGCAGACAGCCGCCGCGACCTGTACTTACATAGCATGCACCAATACGTCAAACCGCCGGAGTGCAGCATTCTCCGTGATGGGGGGAGCAAAAACAAACAAAACAGCGGCGGTCACGTGTGAGGCAACGGGCGGCCGTCAGCCGGCGGCGGCGACACCGAGCAGCGCAGCCCAGCCAGCACCACAGGCACGCACACACACGCGGCCGTACAGCCAAGCCAAGCGGCCAGCGTCGCCGCCAGCCCCAGCGCGCGGCGGCGTCCCCCAAGCGCCGCGGAGGCTGCCAGCGGTCACCAGCGCGCGACGAGACGGCGCCGCGGCGGCGGGCGCGCGGAAACAGATGGCGGGAAGACCGGGGCGCTCGTGTGCTGGCGCACGGAGCGGAGGCGTCCCGGCACCCAGCCGGCCGCACGTGAGCGCCGGCTCGAGGCGTGCCCGCGCAGGAGCCAGGCGCACGCGCTACACATCCCATGAATAATTCAGACAGACGAGTTACGCACTGATGCTGACCCCGTGGGCGAGTACAGGAAAGAGAGAATTTCCCACTCCCTCCATACACACAACCACACACACACACATATAACGTCAGCTCTTCAACGATGATCATATCGTGCAAAAGCCAGTCTGCATACGTATCTGCAGCCACCCCCACCACATCCAACCAAGAACGATAAAGCAGACACCCACCACATTCAAATCGGGTATCATCACAAGCAGCTATAACAAACAGCCCCACATCCAGACCGCAGTCTCATTTCATAACGTATATTTCACGCCACGAGGGCACACCGTGTGGGTGAAAGCGCCGGCAACATGCTACTTCTCCTTTGCACGGCAACACTCAAACCTCGGCAACGCCGCCCAGCGTTGAAGGCGGTCCTTAACTCCCGTCTAACACCCACACGGCGCGCCTCGACGGAGCGTCACGGCGCGGCCGCTCGCGATGAAGCGAGCCGGCGACGCAGAGCGCCGGGGCGGCGGGCGGTTGTCAGCCGCGGGGACTCACGCGGCTTCTCGGGTTCAGCGGCGGACGGCTGTCCCTGCGCAGGTGCCTGCGCCTGGCCCGGCGCCGACGCGGCGTGCGACGGTGAGGGCGAGGCGTCCCGCACCGCTCGGCTCGGGTTCGACACCCACAGCGCCAGCACGCCCTCGGCCCGCTTCAGAATACCGGCCGCCTGCGGGAGCACCGCTGACGTCAGCTGGCGAGGGACGGGGGCCGCTGACGTCAGCTGGTGAGGGACGGGGACCGCTGACGTCAGCTGGCGGGGGACAGGAACGACCGGCGTCAGCTGGTGGGGGACAGGAACGACCGGTGTCAACTGGTGACGGATAGGGATGGCCGGCGTCAGCTGGTGGGGAACAGGGTCGGCTGGCATCAGCTAGTGAGGAAAGGGATGACTGGCATCTGCTGATGAGGGACAAGGATGGTCGGCGTCAGCTGGTGGGGGACAGGAACGACCGGCGTCAGCTGGTGCGGGGCAGGAACGACCGGTGCCAGCTGGTGGGGGACAGGGTCGGCTGGCGTCAGCTAGTGAGGGACAGGGATGGCTGGCATCTGCTGATGAGGGACAATGATGGCCGGCGTCAGGTGGTGGGGGACAGGAACGACCGGCGTCAGCTGGCGAGGAGCAGAATGGCTGGCGTCAGCTGGTGAGGAACAGGAACGGCCGGCGTCAGCTGGTGAGGAACAGGAACGGCCGGCGTCAGCTGGTGAGGGACAAGAACGGCCGGCGCCAGCTGGCGAGGGAACAGGAACGACCGGCGTCAGCTGGCGAGGGAACAGGAACGACCGGCGCCAGCTGGCGAGGGAACAGGAACGACCGGCGTCAGCTGGCGAAAAGCAGAACTCTCCTGCCGAGAAGGGAACAGGGCAGACGGGAGCACAAGAAGCTCAGCGTCCCACGTTCAGGGAACACGATGTACCCAACACCTCTGTTCGGGAGATCCACTCCACCACAGCAAGTGAAAAACCGGCGCAAAGTGACGGGAGCGAACGCAGCTGCGAACCAATGTCATTTCTAACCGCTGATTCTTTACAATGGTAGGCAAGCTCAACGGTATCGAATCCAATCATCCGAAGGCATGCATATTTTGAACACGGTCGCTTAATTTTTGTGCTGTGGAAGTCGTTTGCTTTTTACAGCCTCACGGAAGCCTGAACGTCATATCGATTACATTATATCCGTCTGGCCTCAAATAGCATGTCTGATCTCCAGTGAGAAATAGCACAGACACGCGGACGGTAGCGACGGAGACCTTCGTGTGACCTTTCACAGGCTGGCGTTCCGTCGGGTCGCAGCACCCATGACCTTTGCCCGAGCTCCGATCTAGAAATTGCCCGAACTGGGGAAAGTAAGTTTTATCGCCATGGCTTGGCTTTTTGACCTAGCTGGGCAGCGAGTCCCCATCATCTGACGAGCGAACACTAGCCATGCTCGCAACGACTACCAACACTCAGATCGCCCACGCTGGCCCCGTAATACAAGAATTAATCAGGCCGCCAATGACTTGATCCCACGCAAAGCCTCATAATCTATGGGGTTCATTGGGGCCCAAGGAGCAGCCTGATCCCTTAACGTGCCCTCATTATTCCGGGCCTTTGTCCGGATAACAGCATCCAGATCCCCGAACGGGGCCTCATTATCGGAACAAAGGCTTGCGCCGCGACCCGTCGCCGGTCGCCCTGGCGCCGCACCCGACGAGCCGACCGAGGCTGGCCGCCGCCGCCGCCATCTGAAAGCCGAAAGCGCCGCTGAGAGGCGTCGGCTGCCGCGGCCCCGGCGTCAGACGGACCGCCGCCGCCTGGGCGCACCGTTCTCTCCCGATCCGGGCCGATCTGGCCAACGGGCGGCGCCGCCCGCTCGTCGGGGTCGCCGGGTCAGCCGGCACCGAACTTTCCGGGCCGGCTGCCGGGCGCATGGCTCGCTCTCACGGTGGAAGCGAGCCGGCCAGTCGCGTCCGGCGCGGTGCCGTGCCACCGGCGGGCTCATCCTTATTTCAGCGCCGGCGTCCGCCCAGACGGGGCGAGGGCGACGGCGACACAGCCGGGAGCGCTGGGAGCGTCGCCGCAGGTCTTACATGGTTGAGTCGTGTGAAGCTGCCAAACCCCGCGGGGCCGTGCGAGGTCGGACCAAGCCTTCACCTAGGTCATGCCGCGGCCGGGTGGCTGCAGCTTCTGACTAGGTCGCATCTGCGCCCAGCCTTCCATCCGCCTCCCCAGACGCTCATCCATGAGTCGGGTGCTGCCAGTGTGCTGGAACGCCGCCACCGCGCCGGGAACAATTTTTCTCATCGTCTAATGGCCGGAAGCGCAAAAAGGCCGAGCAGGCCGGGCCCCTTTCGGCAAGGCCGGGCGCTGAACGGCGGCCTCATGTCCGACGGATGGACGGCATCATCAGACGACGACCAGCCGCCCGGCGGCGTCCGCCGGAGCATCAACTCCGACAGCCGTCTCAGTCAACCTACTCCAAACTTCGCTGATGCTGAATCGCCGTCAGACGACTGGGGCAGTCCGAAGGCGGCGGCGGCGGCGACGGGGGAGGGCATGGCGCGCCAGCGATCATCCGCTCTAATGAGAGGAGCCACGCCCGTAGAGCCCACACTACGTCTATCTGACTGGGTCCAAAGGTGAGAGGTCGGATAAACCCTTGCTCCAAGAAGCACAACAGGTGAGTTTTCCCCACTGGACGGCGGACAACGGGGCAATGAGACCGGCATTATCAAAAACTGGCGCGTGGCGGGTGCCCGACCCGGCTGACAAGCCCCGCCCGGCGGGTCGTAGAGGACTGTGTCGGCGGCCAAAGCCGTAATCAATATCGGGCCGACAGAGAGCCAGCCAATTATCGCCCGGCCGTGTCCCGACGGGGGTCCGACGGCGCGACGGGCGGCCCGCCGCCACGCCGCCAGCACTGTCAGATTAACGTGCCGCCGGCCGGTGGACGGCGACACGTCCCCCGGCCACGCCGCACCGTTCGAGAAAGACGTGCGCCCGTCTCGGGGCGACAGCACGGCCCGGGAGCGGCCCGCGGCGCGCGGCGTGGCTGGGCACGGGGTCTGCCGGCGCGCGGCGGCTGAGCACGGGGCCTGCCAGCGCGCGGCGGCTAGGGACGGGGTCTGCCAGCGCGCGGCGACTGGGCGGCGCCTGGTGTCGGGTCGCGTCAGCCTGTTGGCTAGTTACCACCAGCGGCAGCCGAGCCGGCAGCTCGATCCCGGCATTCAACCTGGCAAACCCGACTGTCACTCGGAGTCGGCCGGCCGGCCCGGCTCCGGCCGAGGCGGGCACTGCAGACCGCGGCGCTGTCGGGCCGGCTTTATCTGCAGATGGCGCGGCCGACACCCGGCCCGGATCCGTCTATTACCGGGCCCGTTACACGAACAGCGGCCGGCCAGCCAGGCGGCGGCGCACCGCCCGGCCGCGATAAAACCGAACTGAGTGAAGCGGCAGCGGCGGCCCGGCACGCCACCCAGGCGGCGGCCCGCGAGCGGCCCTTGGGCGGCGGCGAGCGCTGCTCTGCCGGCCGCCGTACGTGGAGGGCGACAGCGGCGCGCCGACACGTGACGCACGGCTGGCTGGTGTGAGTGCAGTATTTTGACGATCGTGGGCGAGGACAGCGAGGCGAAAAAGGCGCAGACGCGGCCCTAATCGAACCAGAAACGCAAGCGCCTGCAGCCAGTCGGAAGGCAGACTTTCGGTTAGGCGAATCAGTCGGCTGCGGGAGGATCGCAGCGGCACTGACAGGAGGGAGGACCTGAGTCCCTGGGCCGTGAGAAACTGATGGCAAGAGTCCTATGACCGGGAAACTGCAAGATCTGCCATCAGTTGCTGGACAGCGGTCTCCTGACGACAGCTTCACACAAACCGCAGCCAAAACTGATCTGCCGTCCGCGCCAGCGGCCGAGAGTGGTCACGCAGGCCGATGGTCTCACCGTGTCGTAGTCGGCTCCCACCAGGTCCTCGTTGTTGACGGACAGGATCATGTCTCCGACCGACAGGCCCGCCTGCAACGGCACGTCACACGTCACGACGGCACGCATGCACGCACACATGCCACGCCGCGCTGGCACGGGCGACGGTCAGCGGCCTCATCTCCACCGGGAGGCGCAATACCCCCACAATCCCATCTCATTGGCCATGTAATAGGCACGGTCGTCCAGCATACCTCGCGCCACTCGCGCCTGGGAAGCGGGCTAATTAGCGGCGGCTGAGTAAGCCAATTGGCGGTAACACGATCGCTCGTGCACAAACACGACGGCACGCCGCCATCGTCGCCGAGCAAACACGGCACCGCGCCGCCGCGCGCCGCCCGGAGCCGCGCGACGGGAGCGCGCGCTCGGCGGCGCGCGCCGATCGCGAGAGAGCACGGCGCGGTCCGGCGCCGGCTGCGGCCAGACAGGAGCGCGGTCGTCAAGCGGCGCACATCGCACACGCGCGAGACGGCACCGCGCGGCAGACGGGTCCGGTCGCCACCGCTGACCTGCTCGGCTGGGCTGCCCGCCTGCAGGTCCGAGATGAAGATGCCCTGGCCGACCTCGGCGTGCTTGCCCTCGAAGATCATGATGCCGAGGCCCTGCGTGCCCTGCGGAGGAGCGCGGCGGTCACCTGGCGTCGAGCTGAGGACGCCGACCACGGACGGCGGCCGCGCGGCGCCGGAACCGTGGCCGGCAGCGGACGCCACCGAGAGCGGCGGCACGGCGCGGGTCGCGACCAAGATCGCCGGCGGCTGCAGGGCGCAGGCAGGCGGGGGGCGCCGGAACATCCGGCGGTGGTGGCCACCCGGCTCTTCCACTCCCACTGATGGGGAATGCTGAGAGCTGAACTATGCATCCGGCTGACGTGATGGAGGCTGAAGTGGTGCCGCCTAATGAGCTGAAGTGTGTACCGAATGGACACGGATGCTACGCTGCTGTGAGCGTCACCTAATGAGGCTGCGCATTAGGGCGATGATATGCTCTAGTGGCACGTCACAATGCGATGATTCAATGCGATTATGCGGCGTGGTACCGTGACGCACGCATGATGGCACGCAGGATGCAGGACACGGCACACAGGAGCGTGAGCAGTCATGAGATGCCCCGACGGAGCTGGACACGCATGACGCGGAACACAGCACACAGCAGCGTGGGCAGTCATGAGATGCCCCGACGGAGCCGGACACGCAGGATGCGGAACACAGCAGACAGCATCGCGGGCAGTCATGAGATGCCCCGACGGAGCCGGACACGCAGGACGCAGGACACGGCAGACAGCAGCGCGGGCAGTCGTGAGATGCCCCGACGGAGCCGGACACGCAGGACGCAGGACACGGCAGACAGCGGCGTGGGCAGTCATGAGATGCCCTGACGGAGCCGGACACGCAGGACGCGGAACACAGCAGACAGCAGCGCGGGCAGTCATGAGATGCCCCGACGGAGCCGGACACGCAGGATGCGGAACACAGCAGACAGCAGCGCGGGCAGTCATGAGATGCCCCGACGGAGCCGGACACGGCAGACAGGAGCGCGGGCAGTCATGAGATGCCCCGACGGAGCCGGACACCCAGGATGCGGAACACAGCAGACAGCAGCGCGGGCAGTCATGAGATGCCCCGACGGAGCCGGACACGGCAGACAGGAGCGCGGGCAGTCATGAGATGCCCCGACGGAGCCGGACACCCAGGATGCGGAACACAGCAGACAGCAGCGCGGGCAGTCATGAGATGCCCCGACGGAGCCGGACACGGCAGACAGGAGCGCGGGCAGTCATGAGATGCCCCGACGGAGCCGGACACCCAGGATGCGGAACACAGCAGACAGGAGCGCGGGTGCCGGGATCGAAGAGGACGCCGACCGCCTCTTGTTTGGCGTTGGCTGTCCTCGGTTCACCGACAGCATGCGTCGATACAGTCTGGCATGTGACAATCAGCTGTGAGTCAACTCGTCCACGCGTACACAGCAAGCACGCCAACACGGCCACGACGCAACACCAGCACACCACAACACAACACCGTCCGCACACACGATATAAAACGTACCTTTTTCACTTGGACATTACGCAGGCCCTTGTACTTCGCGTACTTCTGCTCTGGCGTCTGTAACACAGCACCAGCTGTCAGACACATCAGACGGATCTGTACCTGTCATCTCACGTGGCTCTGACCCGCCGCAGCCGCCCCAGCACTTCACACCAGCGCTGGGGGGGGGGGGAGGGGCAAGGAGGGTGCGCTTCGTCACATAACAGCACGGTTATCAGGTGGCCAGAGGGCTGCCAGCAGCCCAGCGGGGCTCATCCCAGATAGGGCTCATCCCATCTCACATCCCATCTCATCAAAGTCGGCCGGCCGGCGGCGCGGGTGCGGCGCGCGCCCGCTGGCTGGCGCGTGATCGGAGAGCCGGCTGCAGGCTCTGGTGGTATTGAGCCGCCAGAAGCAGATCGATCCATCCAACGACAAAACACGCGTAATGTGAAGAGGGAGATAGCTGTTGTCCGTTCTCCAAATAGACGAAACGGCGGGACCACGTGGAGGTACTTTACCCCGATTGGCTACCTCGCCGTCCTGCACGCGACAGACGACAATCCAAAACATCCGAAAAACACGACCGATAGCCCGCCCTGCACGATCAGTGATGGCCTCAACTCCGACGCACACCTTGCTCCAACCTAACGCCGACCCACAGCGCGCCCCGTGCGTGAACCAATGCCCAATCGTCTCATTACTGCAGCACCACCTGCGGGCCGCGTGTCGCCGACGCATCGTCACCAGACCCCGGCGGCACGCCGCGGTCTGGTGACGAGAGCCACTCCGCCCCAGCGGCAGGAGTTCACGCACCGCCGCCGGCCTCGACACAGACGGCGCACGACGCTGCGAGGTCCCGTTTCGCCCGGCGTCACATGGCGGTGCATTGCACTGGATTGCACGGTGTTGACCTTCGCGAGTATTCGCTTCTTTGCAGCCATCTTCACACCCGCGTCACTGAGTAGCTTGATGAGCATACAGGTCGGCATCAGTACATGCCTGATGACCTGCACCAGTCACAATGCATCGGTTGACCACATCACCACCAGCGGCTCCCAATGTACCGCCGTGTCTGTTGAGCTCAGGACTGTGTGAGCACGAGATTTGCCAGCCGCGAGCGCGAAGGCGAGACCGACAGCCAGCTGCAGATATCAACGCATTCTAACGTTCTTGAAATAACGTAAAGAGAATCTGAGCAACATCAAATACTAGATCGATGTAATTGAAACCCATATACAACCCTCCTGATCCGTAACAACCACCAATTAGCATATACAAGATACGCTGTATGGCCGCCATCTCATTATCCACGGCACACTAATCAACGTCGTTGGCTTCAAGAGTCCACCACGCAACAAGCTATGTTTAGCTGGATTGACTACTCAGAGATACAGCGGAGGATTTCGAAATTGGCGAGGTGAAGCTTCAATAACACCAAATGAATGTATAGAATGTAAGGTCCCTGGTGTGATAATAAGAGAGAAATTGTGATTTGTATATGTAAATATAAATAAATAATAAAAATCAATAAATACCTACTAAAACATGAAAAAATGAAAAAAAATGGAAGCATTAACATTCGTTACTATTACTTCGCACGTAAGCATGGCAGGAATTAGCCTTCCTTGCTATGATTTTATGCATGCCTAACACTAACGCCGCTCTGCTTCCTACACTTTTTATGTTTCCGCCTCTCAACAGAGGAGGGGGGGGGGGGGGGCGACTCGCTATTTTATGCTCTCTGGTGTTAACTATTGCCGCTAGGGTAGTAAGAGGGACTGATGATTGCCTGCTGATGGGTGGCAGAGAACAAAATACATAAAATCATCGAGTGACGAATTTTCGGATGGTGCATATCACGTTCTCTTCCGCTTTCCCCAAGCCGTGAGTCATCCACGAGCACAAAACGGCACTGTAATGCCTCAACCCATCATCCCCTTCTCTCTTAACGTGAATCTCACGTGAATCTCAACGTCACAAAGTGGTGTTCATCCATCGCCACAATCCAAATCGGGTGCTTCCAAGCGTTAAAGGCTTAGTGCCAGCCTCCCAATGCGCACAAACAACCAATGTAATACTACACTTGATGTATGAGGACGTCAATTACGTCCAACACAATTGGACGCGCGGCCCCGGGACAGCATAATTGAACGCCGGGCCCCGCAGCCAGCATAACTGAACTCATCCAAGCTCGCAGAGAAGGAGTCTGGCAACACAACGCGACGGCTGCGACAGCCGGCTCCTGCCGCTTGGAAACACTGGTAGGACGCACGCGTCTGCCGCGGCTGGCCACTGTCGCCACTGACTGCGCTCCACCCCCAACCCCCCCCCCCCCCCCTGCTGACCCCCGCTAGCCGGAACGACGACACGGGCTGCTCGAGACGGTGGCGTGAGCGGCGCGGCGGCACGTGTGACCACGCCCGCGCCAGGTCGAGGCATGCGCTCCTGAGCTGGTCTGGCGCACCTGGCGCCTCCGCGTGTCACGGCTTCTGGACTGGCTAGCGCGGGGGGACCAGGGTGGGGGTGGGGGGTGGGGGGTGGGGGGGGGGGAGGTCGAGTCGATTGGCTGTCATGGAATCGTCTGGCTGTCTCAAACACGCTGACTTTATGCCCGAACACATGGCGCACGTAATCGCACGATCCGCTCACGGATGGTTACGTGCTCAACAGTCTCAAGCGCATTAAATTCACTACGCACAGCCGTTCGAAACCGCTCCAACAGTGATATAACGACTTAAACAATCCAACGGAACAACGATAAAACCCGGTGAGTTACGCGCCGCCGGTTCGTTGGCAAGCCGATGCGGGCGCGGCCTGGAGCGGCGCGGCCTGGAGCGGCGCGGCCTGGAGCGGCGCGGCACCGAGCGGACCGGCGGCTGGGGGCGGACCGGCTGAGACGGTCGGTGCGCCGGATCGCGCCGCAGCGCCGAGCCCGGAGCGACGGCGGAGACCAGATAAGCCCGTCCGGCGCCGCAGCAGAGACGGCGGCCGCGATCGAACAGCTACACCCGGAGCCGCCGGCACGCCAGGCGCAAACAACGCCGAGCAGGCCAAATTGAACACCGGCGGACTAATAAATCACGGCTAACCGGCGTACAAGAACCGACAGCGTGGGAGTCCAAGCGCAACAAAATAACCAGAAAAGAGGAGGCCACGGGATGAGCTATAATCCGCCCGCGTCCTGGGGCCGCCTGCCGAGACCGGTCCGCAGGGGCGGTCTACCCCAGCCGCACCGCGGCTTCTCCGACGGGCACCGGCCAGCCGCTGCGGCGCTCGAAAGCGGTCCCCTCCAGCCGCCGGGCGGGGACGGCCGCGACTCTCACCTCGTCCTGCAGCGACACCGGGAACTGGGTGATGGGACGCACGGCCAGGTCGTCCAGGGCCTCCTCCCGCCTGCGGGCACGAGCGGCGTCAGCGGCCAGCAGCGGGGTGCGGCCCCGACGCGGGGACAGACGGGCGCCGGGCAGCAGATCAGGCGCCCTGCCCCCTGCTGTAGGTCCCGCCCGGCACGGACATGCCATGCTACTTTGGCCACACATTCAGGCAGAAGGCACAAGCCCTACTGTGGCCACATGCACATGGCCAAAGGGCAAGGAGACGTTTCTGCCACACTTAAAGGAATTATGCCAGCTTTTTACACTTTCCGCTCATTATTGGAAGGGAAGCGTTCGAGTTGATTGGTAGCACCAGCTTTCTCGGAATTCTACCGAAACCTTGGGATTTTGAGTTGAAGTGCCCGGTCCAACGGGAAAAATGCCAATGGATTATTCGTACACCACTATGAAAGACATACTTCTTATTTCTGTCTCTTTATTTCTTAGTTATAATTACTTCCATTTTCTTTCTATTTATTATTGTTTCTATCTATATATCAAATAATTTCTTATTTATTTCTTTTTCAAGCGTGTGTGCTATATAACGTTACCAATTCATTAACTAGCCAGAGCGCTTGTGTAATAAATGCTATTAATACTTGAAAGACCCCAGTTGGGACAAAACATATGCAAATATGAAGCCATTGTCATACGGATTTAACGAAACATCAACCTCAGCAAACGACATTGATTTCTCTCCTATGACACTTCAGCACAGTGGGCCTTTTTGAAGCGCCTTTGACTTTGGGAAACACTGTTTAGTTCGCTGCTGAGTTCGGTGCAAGACCGTGTTTATAAAGGACGTAGATTCCAGCGCCACATCACATGGACTAGTGGCGATCTGGTTCAAACTCCTACCCATGTACTTGTCGGTAAACGGCTTAAGCCACCCACTGTACCAATCACAGACGTTTCTTCATACCCAGTCATTCATGCCGGTAGAGGTGTCACTTTTCAGCTCGTAGGCCTGCAATACGCGGGTAAAGAGAGCTAGCCGTGGCACCTCGAGTCGGCAACAGCTGACGACGGCTCGCGGCAGATTCCGCCGTCAACTGCTACGGAGTAGAGGTACCAGTTTTGAGCTTTTTTGCTCATGCCTTGCGGGTCTGTGGGCCAAAAAAGCCCTAACCACGCAGATTCTCAAGCCCAGTCTCAGTGAAATCGCGGAGGTAATGATGAATATTTCATTTGAATGTTTGCACGTTCCAAGATTATCCATATCAGAAATGAACTCCGAGGTTTCAAACACAAAACGAAGTGCCGTGCTGTGACAAAACGTCACCTGCGTAATATGCACTTGATGAAAATCATAATTATTTTGCTTATCATATCTTGTTGGTGCTGCAGTGGCAATTCCGCGTGCTACTATCAGACATACTGGTCCTGAGGTTTCCCTAGGGTATGCTCCGGAAGTACGCCCTAAAAGTGACACTCCCTTTGAGTCTGCAATCCACCTAATACTGAGTGAAGTATACGCCGCACATACACCCTAAACCTTAAAACTGCCAGCTCAAGCCAGCTTCCATTCAGGTCTCATCCGTGTCCAATTCGCATTTCATTTGCAAATGGGTCCCCGCATCGCAACTCCTGTCTAGCCGCACACGCCAACGGACGCCGCGATCATAAGTTTCGCGCTACATAAATTCCGTACCAGCGGATGAACAAAAGCAATTCATTATGCCATTTATGCCCGGTTTGTTTGGTCCCGTCAGCGCCCGCTCGGGCTCGACAGCCATATCAGAGCGGTGGCATTAAGAACGGGACAAAAAGCGGCGCAATTCCGCTGCGACCCCGGCTCGACCCCGACGCAAGCCTCCCCGGGAAGCCGCATTGTGCCTCCGACGGCCCCGTAAGACTGCTCAGTTGGGGCTGGGGCCCAAGGCTCCGCGGAAGCTCGCGGCCGGTAAACCCCGGAGCGGTGAGCCGTGCAGCGCTGCGAGTTCTTGAGCTCAGAGGACCGCAGTCGGGATCCACAGTAGGCGCAAAGGAAGCACGCATCGAGAAATCTGCATCGAGGAGGGTTTTCATCGAATTGCGGTGCGTGTAGATACGCCGAATTGCCTTCTGTTGAGCGCATGCATCCATGCAAGCAAATTGTGTATTACCATATTCTTATAATAACAACTGGGCCAGGGGAATTATGCGGCAGCGGATCCTTTTCAACATCTGAATATATTAACTACAAAATGTTAACGAGCCAATCTGTTCATGTGCCTTCTGTGCCTTTTATCATGATCAACTACAACTCTTGCCCCGATGTGCAGCAATTTGAAGATTTGGAAACCTTGGCATATCTCGTTCAGCGACTTAGCGAAACTAATTACGAACCGGCCGGCACCCAAATGTATATCTCATCAGCCGACGGCGGTATGTACGGAGAGCCGCCCTCCGTTTATTTAGACGGGCTAAATTGCCAACGCATAACAAACAGAGCCTCATAAATGTCAGCACTAAAGTCGAGGCATTTCCAATGAGGAACATCGTATTTCAGATTGCATAGCGCACATCCGGGTCGCAGTCCTGGCTAGTCCGTATCTGCGCTACTGTTGACCGTCCCTGTATCTGTTTACAGTGCCTTTCAATTCCGACTACTGGTGGTAAACGCCTGAACTGTCACGCTGCGGGGAGGGGAGGAGGGCAATGACTAGCACGACACGTCTAAGACGAGGTATAATATAACTGGCCTATATACATATATATATATATATATATATATATATATATATATATATATATATGTGTGTGTGTGTATAGAATAACTGGCCAATACGACACGCCTCTGACGAAGTTTAACACTGGGCACCACGACACGTCTCTGACGAAGTTGAACACTGGCCAACACGACACGTCTCTGATGAAGTTTAACGCTGGCCAGCACGACACGCCTCTGACGAAGTTTAACACTGGCCATCCCGACAGTCCCAGCGCCGCGGAGATGAGAGGCGAGCACCGAAGTCAGCAGCACCAGCCGCCTCCGAGGCGGCCGGCGGCGGGGCCGGCCCGGCCGGGCGACGTCGTCTCGGCGCCGCGTCGACACGAGGCCCGGCGGCGGCCGTCCGGCGGCCGGCCGCCCGGTGGACGAGGTGGGTGTGGCGGCCGGTCGGATCGACCGTCAGCAGCCATCGATCCCATCTCGGGCGGGCCGGACCGGCGGACCGAGGAGCCGACGCCGCCGCCCGTCGCCGCCCGGTCTGGCCGCGGCCAACATCAATTGACCTCCAGCTGTCCGCCGCCCCGCCCGGGCGATCGCCGACGCCGCCGCGGCGCCGCGCCGCGCCAGACGTTAGCCGGCGCCGCGACGGCGGGTCGGCTCTGGCTTTGTGCGCCGCTCCGACGCCGCGGCTTCGAAGAATAGCACCGCCCGACTGGTCGGTACTGCCGTTTTGCTCGTCGCTGCATCCAGCGTCGAAGCGCAATATCGCCCAGGGATGTACGAGATGAGCCGCTTTTACGCGTTTTTTTGCTGTCGTAATCTCTACATTTGACATCGTTTCTGAGACCGACCGCGTCCAAATACAAACCAATGAAGACGGCCAGTACTTCCCAGACGTCAACAACGCCTACGTCCCCAACGCAAATACTAACCAAGACGGATGAAATACGCGGAAGCGACCCAAGTGGGGAAAACACATTATTTGGAACGGCAGCAATTTAAATAAGTGACATTTAAGGCCGCGTTCTCAGAACTTGAAAGACGCAAGAAATGCGTGTTCGCAGAAGTAGCATACTATGAAACGCGCGAACACAGCACCGCCCGAGCCAGAAATCAAAGTGTCTCTGACGACATTCTCATCGTTCTGTGCTGTTCCGCTGTACGATGGCACGATGGCACGATGGTACTGGCAGGACCCACAATGCGCTTCCGTACAGGGCAGACCAGGTTGCAATGTCACAGCTGGCGTAGCTTCTCGTTTCTTAGCCATGTCTCATTAAGGAAGGCGCTGATTTCTTGTATGGGGTATGAGTGATACGTGGTTTTGGGGACTCAGGACTCCGCGACTAATTTTTATTAGCATCGTCACGTATAAGTCAGGATTGTTAACAATACTGGTGCGGATGCCCCGGTAGTTTTAATGGAACAACAAACCCAATCGCGAGATGTGCTGCTACCGTTTCTGGTCCTTGGCCCGCCATATCCTTTTAGTTTGCTGGATATTTTTGCGAACGGACCATCTGAAAAGGCGAAGCACCCTGACCGCTTTGATTTTCGTCACGCCTCAGGACGCGAGTCAGATTACGCGTCTCTACAGGCTTTATTCTGCCCGCGTCTTCCTTGTACGACAGCAGGGTGTCAGAAAGCATTTCAGATGTGAACAACGCTTCCTTGTCCGACAGCAGGGGCGTCAGAGAGCATTCCAGATGTGAACAACGCTTCCTTGCCCGACAGCAGGGGCGTCAGAGAGCATTCCAGATGTGAGGAACGCAACATTTTCGTGTCAAAGTGGAGCGGCAAAGTTCAGGCTTCAACGCCCTTGTAAAAAATCCAGCACGTCCTACAATCCCTCTCAGAAGTGAGTTAGCCCGGCCTTCAGAATACGGCATCAGCTATGCGGAGGATGGCAGTGGTCTTCAACATGGCGAGAGGTCGCCAAAGCCTGTGCACTACTGCCTTTGTCGGTGATCTCTGGCGTGGTCGCGATCGGGCTGAGTCAAGAGCATCGATGTCGCCCGAAGTGTCAATGATCTGTTAAAGTACAGTCAGGAGTCACCGGTCAAAAAGGGACTTCACACCAGCAAGAACGTAGCACGGTTCACATGGCACGGCCAAATGCACGCAGGTGGCGGGAGCACAAATTCTCCTATCTTTATTCCTAATAAAGATAGAGCCATGACCTTTTCAGAGCACAATACCTGGGCGGGCTTTATTGAATGCCTCGTCACGGCACCCATAGGTCACAGTAGCCATAGGTCACAGGAGCTGTAGGTCATGACAGCAATCACTGACGCAAATGCTCCATACCGAACACATCGAAACGCTTGCGAAGGACAGTGGTCATCCATTGGCTAAGCAAGCTTGAAACATGCGGCTTGCCGTGACGTTATGACAGTCTCTAGAGCTGTGGGCCAAACACGGTCAAACTGAATCTGGCCATTCTGATGACGATCATGATGATTGGGGCTTTTGGTCGCGCCGACAGGTACGGTCACTTGGCGTCCATGGCCATTCTGACTACAGGGGAGCTTCCTCTGTGCCTAGCCCGATGCCCGACGACCTATGCGTTGGATGCTCTCGCCGGGGTTTACTTACTGTGAGTCCAGCGGTCCACCAACTGAGCTAACCGGGAACGGCGCTAGGCTCCTCAGTAGCTCAGTTGGTAGAGCGCTGACCTCACAATTGTAAGACTCCGGTTATGATTCCAGGAATTCCATGGACATAACTTGTGACTTATATAAATAACCTGTTTGCGTTTTGGTGCAAACATGTCTGAAAGCCAACAATCATCCAGTTCTTCTCAGGGATCAATAACATTTGACGAGGGCCGGAAAGTTAACTAGCCAAAAATGTTGCATGCATACTAACACACCAGAATATGACGACAGGTCGAAAACTGCTTAATTCGTTATCCTAATGCTTCGTCTCAAAACCTCCGTAAAACAATTTTCTATTTATTTGATGTTTCATTCTCTTGGAAGCCGCACCAAAACTCGCTGATTGCCAGTTCTAGTTTTATTTCTAAAAGTTCTAATTTCATCGGAAACAAGTGGATAGAGCCCATTTCACCCCTCCCCTCCTCCTCCAGTGAGTGTCCAGGCCCTTTCGAAGCTGGGAATCACCAGATCGTCAGCTATCGATGGTGAGCCCCTGTAGCCTCGAACAACTCGACTTTGTTCCATGTCGCACAGCCCTCGAGTTCTCGGCCGCCAGTGGTCGACACAAGCGCGCGGAAAGCACCCGCCGCTAGGACGAACTCGGTCGTTACGGTGACAGCGGTCTCCCTTCAGCTGAAGCACCGCAGCCGTCCGACAGCGACATCCCTCGTAAAACGCCCCGGATGTCGTCGTCACTGTTCTCTTTCGGTTCTAGCTCAGTACACACTGGCTAGCATCACCACATTTTCCATCCCACATCCCCACCTTACCCGGTCGTCGAGTCCACCAGTGAAGACTCTGATAGCAAAACCAGCCGTCGAAGGACGCATTCAAAAACAATCACCGACCATAAATCGCCTTAAACGGTTGATCGCCTCAGCAGCTCACAAACTGTGACCGAATTTGATGCCACTGAATGTGCCACTATCACGCATGCCCTGGGCACCACCTGGTCAATTCTTGCCTGCATTGCCGGCCATTGGATTGGACATTTCGTGACCTGCCAGCATTCGCATCTTTCTATTCACGCCGGTCTCATTACAGCTCTGGGGGCTCATCTGGTCCCATTGGTCCTGATCAAACGCTACGTTCGTCGAGAGCTCCCTCAGTCAGCATAGCCCATCGGCGCTACTTCCGGGCGCTCCTTCCGTCGGCCCCATTCCCCATCAGCACCACACGCGTCAGCACCCACGGGCCAGCACCAGCCCGTCAGTGTCACTGCTGTCGGCATCTCTGCCCTAATCCCCGCTCCCGTCATCACCACTGCCGTCAGCGCCACTCCAGTCGGTGCCACCTTCACTAGCACTAACCCAGTCAGCGCCGCTTCGTCGTGCTCCTCCCCACCAGCACCACTTATCCTTGTTGAGATGCCGCCTCGAGCCGCGTCACCGTTACCCCGCCATCGCCACTTCCGGCAGCCGCACACCCGTCAGCGCCTCTCCTGCCCTCATTACTCCCTTCAGCGCCCCCTGTCTCACCTACTCCCGTCAGCGCCCCCTGTCCTCACCACTCTCGTCAGCGCCCCCTGTCCTCACTACTCCCTCAGCGCCCCCTGTCCTCACTACTCCCGGTCAAGCGTGCCCCTCCTGTCTTCCTCACTACTCCGTCCCCCTTCCTCACTACTCCCGTCAGCGACCCCTGTTCCTCACCACTTCCCGTCAGCGGCCTCTCCTGTCCTCATCACTGCCCGTCCAGCGCCCCTCCTGTCCTCACCACTCCCGTCAGCGCCCCTCCTGTCCTCACCACTCCCGCCAGCGCCCCCTCCTGTCCTCACCACTCCCGCCAGCGCCCCTCCTGTCCTCTCCACTCCCGTCAGCGCCCTGTCCTCACCACTCCCGCCAGCACCCCTCCTGTCCTCACCACTCCCGTCAGCGCTCCTCCTGTCCTCACCACTCCCGTCCGCCGCCCTCCCACCAGCGCAGTCGATCCCGCCCGAGTCGCTGAACGTGCGCCGGGCGCTCAGGCAGCCGTCGCCAGCGCCGATCCCCGTCGCCGGAACTGATCCATGCCCAGCCGGAGGACAGACCGACGGCCCATTACGGGCGGCACGCGCTGCGTCCCGCCGACGGCCGAGGGTGCCAGCCCTCGGCGCCACCACCGGTCCCCGGACGCTGCCGGCGTCAACCGATAGCCAGCCGCAGCCGGGCGCCCAAAAAAGCCGCAGGAAAAATAACGGTGCTCAGGGATAACCGAGGCGCCCAGTCGGATACCGCATAAAAGCTCCCGCCGCCCGGCTTATCAGTAGAGGCATTTGTCTGGCCGCCAGCAGAGCGAGCGAACGTTACGCGGGCATTTCGGAAGGCGTCCGTTTTTTGCTGGGATTAGGTCAACTCACCTGAAAGGATGATTTTTGATGACGGGACCGGGCAGGCCTTGATGATGGCCGAGGCGTTCAAATGACATCGGCCATGCAGGACTAGGCCGTTGACCTGCGGAGGACAGAGCCAGTGATGTGGGAATTCACATAACTGTAACAACGGACATTCAGCCAACCAAATGACTTTCACAATGGGGGCGGCTGCTTCCGTACAGGATAAGGGCACCGCTTGCGAACTCACGGGGCACCTAAGGGCACGTGTCGCTCCAGAGCACGGCAAATTCTCCTCCGACCATCACTTTATAACATTAGCGAACTTCCGCTACTTGGAACACGGTAGACCTCATGTTCAAAGAGCTTCATGGTATACCCGTCGCGCTCGCCATGAACTTAGGCCATATCCAGCCACTCCCGCCCGGGAACGATACGCAGCAAGATCAACAGACAAAAAACGATTTAACTTCTCTTAAGCAATACCTAACGAAGTTGGCAGAGGTGAGGTTCGTCCACAACACACGAGACAAATCGGAACGCCACTCTTTCTTTCCACGTTGTTTTCGTCAGACCAATTTTACAAGCCAAGTTTTATCTCCTGCTCCCCTGTCGTGCGACAATTTCAGCAGTTGTTTGCGCCACTGGGTCCGCTCTCTTTAGCGCGGAGCGCCGAGCTCGGCAATCGACAGTGTTGCCGGCCGGAGAGAGACTATCCGCCGGCTGAAAAGGACCGTCGCCGGCCCGAGAAGACCGTCGCCGGCGGAGAGGGACCGTCGCCGGCTGGAAACGGACTGTCGCCGGCCGGAGAAAGGTCCGTCGCCGGCCGGAGAAGGACCGTCGCCGGCCGAAGAAGACCGTCGCCGGCGGAGAAGGACCGTCGCCAGCCGGAGAAGTACCGTCGCCGACCGGAGAAGGACGCGTTGCCGGCCAAAGAAGTACCGTCGCCGCTGGGAGAGGACTGTCGCCGGCTGAAACGGACTGTCGCCGGCCGGGGAAGGACCATCGCCAGCCGGAGAAGTACCGTCGCCGGCCGGAGAGGGAAGTCTCCGGCCGGAGAGGACTGTCGCCGGCCGAAGAGGGACCGTCGCGGCCGGAGGAGGACCGTCGCGGCCGAAGAAGGACCGTCGCCGGCCGGAGGAGGACCGTCGCCGGCCGGAGGAGGACCGTCGCCGGCCGGAGGAGGACCGTCGCCGGCCCGCAGACGGACCGCCACCGCGGGGGAAACACCGTCGCCGCTGTTCACGGGCGCGGAGAGGTGCGACCCAGAAGTCGGGTTGAGTCCGGCGGCGGCCGCGGGAGCATGGGGGCGGGTGGACGGACAGAGATGGACGGCGCCTCTCTCGCGGACGGTCTGACCGGAGCACAACTGTATCCGGGGGAAGCGGGTCTAAGGAAGCGAACGGGATGGATGAACACGTCGACCGAAGGCTGGTGACTGAAGTATCAGTGTGTCGACGGCAGCGAGTTCTCCACGCGCGTCGACGGCCTGAACACCGGACAACGAAACCCCGCGCTACCAACGAAACTGCCCCGCCAAGCGGACCGCAAGAGGGGACACGCACGGAACGGTATCTTCGCCACTCAGACGGAACGGCAGACGGCTCAGAACGCACAGTCAGCCGGAGCAGGATCGGCACGCCATCACAAACTCAGGAAACGAGAAAAACAAGAAGAACACACATCACCATCAACGCACGAACAATGACCACCACGCGAACACACATCACAAAACACGAAACACGAGAAGAAGGACCGACAGACAGATCGGAGCGCACATGCAGGCGGGCCAGCCCGTCAAGGACCACAAGACACGTGGCGCCCTCGGGACTCGCACCGCTCGTCTGCCGCCTCACCTCCAGCATCTCGTCGCCGTTGCGAATACGGCCGTCCTTGAAGGCGTTGCCCTGCGGGTTGAGGCCGCACACGAAGACGGACTGCGCGTTCGGTCCTTGTTCCGGCCAGCGAGATGCCCAGCCCGCTGCTGCCCTTCTGCAGACTCGATCATCAGGATTTCGCCCGGCTCAGCTCGCCGTACTTCTTCTGGATCTTCTCTTGCGGCGGCGGGGCGGCCCCGTTAGAGCGTCACGGCGCGTCACGCTGGAGGCGGGCGTCGCGGCGCGGCGTGGCAGACGCGCACGCACGGATCGCACGCGAAACCGCCGGCGCGGGGTCTGCTGCAGACCGGCACGAGACGCCTCCCCGGCCGGGCTGGGAATAAACAGGTGGTGGCAACGTATGGCGCACCATAGCTTCCAAGATAACTGTCACTTTACGACGCGTCTGGAAAAAGCCGGCGCGCCAGGCACGCTCAAGCGATATCAGTCCAGCATGGATCAAGTTTTCCAGTTCCCACAAAAAGGGGGATTCATTCGTGCATCTCATCATCATTGCCCATTATAATTTCCGCGCCGCGGAACATCCGTGGCACAGCTTCGCCCCACACGACGTCTCGCGCTCAGGCGCCGCTGAAGCCAGCAGACCTGCGTCTGCAACCCTGACGCCTTCTGGGAGCCCGCAACGGAAGAAATTTCCGAGTGCGCTTATCATAGGTTCTGCGACTGCGAGCCCAGATATTTCAAGAGACTCTGCGGGCGTTTCTCGCCACTAGACAGCTCTTGGGGCTTTCGGGCGCGCTGACTGGGTGGCGTCCTCTCGCGGAATCTC